CGGTTTGTGGGAACTTGGCACGAAGGGGGAGACGGGAGTATACAGATCAACTTTCTGTGTTTGACTTAGATATGCTAACCCACTATAAAAACGTCACAGTCATGATTCAATTATTGCATAAAAAGTGATTATGACGAGGTGTATTACACTGCAGTGCATATGGCTCAATATATTCAATACGGAAGTATTCCCTGACCAGTTATCCAGTTATCTACTCAATAGGGCAGCGGACAATGGAATAGGCAGACATTCTCATGGACTATTATTCCAATCATGACTAGACGCCTTGCAGCGAGTAGGCCGGCCCTGATTTAGATTGGTTGCACACAAACCAGGAGGTCCCAGTCTTGAAGGGGCCCCCTTTTTTCTCTTTCTGATCCAGTCCCGATCTAGTTATGATTTTTGTTGAAGCTATGTCATGAACCTGTTTTCCTCGCCAATAGGATATGCATAGGTATTATTAGCCATATTAATCCGGACCAATAAGACCTGTAAGACGTGCTTGATATCTGTAAATAATCAAGAGCCATCGAGGTCGTAGGTATCCAGCATCGGACTACTCCCGAGGAATGTAAAATAAAATATAAGCGTATTAATATATATATAATAAAAACCACAAGATCACCCAAAACCACCCAAAACCTGCCCTAAATCGATATCCACAGTCGACCCGTGGTCAAGCAGATCTCAGAATGATTGGCCTGACCGGATAGACCCGTCGTCGATGGATCCAATACAGAAATACTCCGTATACACACATAACTTTGTCTCTCTTATTAGTCTTAGAGACCCCAGTTCTCTTCTATGAACGTTCCAGAACAACTCTGATATCTTTTTTCCCCCCCTCTTGGAACCTGCTTTACTTCGATTTCCCTCGCTTTCCCTTTCTCTTTCTCTTTGTCTTTGTCTCTGCCTCTTTACGGAATTGGAACTCACATGTATGTCTACAGTTCTTTTGCTTCATACACAATATCCCCAATGGGTATTCCGTGTTGAATATCTCTCCCAACCTCTCATCTGAATACCCTAGATGGTTCCCTAACAGATGTCCATCAACAAGCCCCAACCTCGCGGTGGACTAGGGACCATCAGGGATCTGTTCCGCTCTGCACCCCCGTCTTCCCCGACCCCCCCTTCACGACGCCGAGTATCTCTCCTAGTTCGTCGAGGTAGGGATATTTTTTCCAAGTAATAACTCCCCTCCCCAGTCTGTCTTTCATCCCAACTTGCCCCTCCAGTTCACTCAATTCGGGGCCGCAATTCGACCCCACTGGATGCCCAGAACTCGGGAAAAGAGGCGCAGCCCCAGACCAGCAAAAAAAAAAGAAAGAAAGAGAGAACACGAACTAAGAAAAGTACCGGGAAAAAAATAGACAAGTAGATCCTCCAAGACTACAAACCTTACCTTCAACTTCAACATCCTATTCGCCCTCACCATCACCACACCCATCCATGAACTCCCGTCCACAATTCGACCCGGCCGCCATGATCGGTCTAGCCGGTGCCTCACCAGGGAGACCAGACGACAACTTCGATATCTTTGAATGGTACCCTCACTATCAAAGCTGTCAACGCTACTTCCTAGATCACGCCCAGCACAGCGTCCCCGTCCAGGCGCTCTCGACATTCTTAAACATCCGACTCCCCTTCCAGCGCCAACCGAACCCAATCTTCAACTCAACCTCGACATCCTCATCTTCAACCAACATCCAACCCACACAAACCCCAGCCCCACCCTCTATCTCACTGATCCCCTACATCCGCCGGCTCGTCGCAACAGGAATGGACTTCCCAGGCGTGCTGCACGGCTTCTTCGGCGACGACTGGGACAGCGGCGTGGGACCAATGCACGAGCAAGAGCGCCGGAACTACCTCTTCGCCGCTAAGAGTGGCGGCTGGGCATCCGTGAAAAAGGACTATGACATCCCCCCGCTGGAGACGATCCCGTTCCTGCGTCCCTTGCAGGGACCTCTTGATTCAGAAATCGAGGCTGCGGAGCGCAGCTGGAGTGAATGGCTCGCTATGGAAGACTGGATGGTTGGTCCCCGGGCGCCGGATAGTATGCACGACTCGTCTTCGCAGAATTCACGGCCGAGAAGTGCGCGCGGCTGAACAGGTTCCGAAAGGTCTGTTCTCTTTTTTTTTTCTCTCATCGGGTCGGCGACATGGCGTCCATCAGAACCGTATTTTGGTTTTGGTTTCTAGCGATCTTGTTTCTTGTTTGGTTCTATGTCCAGCGCCTTCTTTTGGTCAGCATTAATACGGGGGATCCTGTATATTGGGATATGGGCGCTGGCTTCTGCTAAAAACATCGCGGTGCATTTAGTCATGGGTTACTTGTGCTACGAGTTTCTTGTTCGGTGGTTGTTTTTGTCTTGTCCGGGTTTTATTAGATCGGATGGATAGATTGATGTATGCTTATTGCATCTATACGCTCTTAATCTGAATAAAAATCGCAGCGAGTTGATTCTGCTTATGGAAATAACGGAAGCCTACGGGATAACCTCGGAGCTAAGATACAAAACAGGAAACGGGGAAACTATTGGGCCTTATGGGAAAAACAGCTAAAAATAATTCAAAATCTCAGCCCCCTAAAGTCGATCTTAGTTGCCTAGTACATAGTTCGGAGAATACGAGGGTGTATTTTCGGTCTAAGTATAATTCACCAAATCTTGGTCCAGTGGATAGAAAAAAAATCTCATCGGATATACCAAATAGACAAAATCAGTTCCAACGATGAAACTGTTAGAAACCCCACTGGTTTGCGCTTGTTCCGCTGTGGACTCCCCAGATCCAATATGAGAGGCTACCGCTTGTGGCTGCCCCTTGGGCACTGTAATGGCTGTGCGTTTAGGGGGGCGACTTTGGTTTTTCTATGTTGATCATGAATTTGTATTCGGTAACATAGAATAATATATAGTGAAAAGTGGACTATGTGAAACTCCATGCATATCATGGAAGAATCGGGAGTAGTCCACTTTATTTTACATGTACCGTAGTATTGAGCCCTTATGCGGCTTATTTTCAATGATCTTTCTATTTACGGAGTACTTACTCGATATCGGAATGTAACATGTGCTTACTCCAAACCCCCATTGCTAAGCTAATAACCGACTCCGAAAACCCTATCGAAAAGTCTCACCTCTAAGATTATGAAAGATTTCTGTACTAGATCAGTACAATATAGGGAATAAATATCACATTCGTTAGCATACAGACGAGTACCTAAATCTCGTGGCGTAGCTGAGACTAACTACATAGCTCTTCCAGAGACATTCTTGGCCCTTTAGCCTTCTTATAGGCTTTTTTAGTTCGACGCTTTCTCCGCTAGTCTTGCCGCCTGCGGAATCCCTGGTCTTTCGCGACCCCTGACTGGCGTGTATCAGAAAATTCTCCGAGATCTCCCTTTTTTTGGGTCTTGCGATCCGCAAGGAGGCTCTGGTCTTTGCTTATGGTCTTACCTAGTATTATCCCGAATTCCCGTGTGACCTTGAATTTTTTATTTTAAAAAGTACGAATTTATAGGAAAATACTTGGGAAAAGGCTTGAATTGACACATTCTGCTTGTATTTATGCCGCGTGTTAGTCTCTAATTTGGAAGTAACTAGTGTGACTACGAACAAAAAGAAAAGAGTGAATTTGTAAGAAAAACCTAGTACAAAGAGGGAACAGAAAAGCGAAAGGAATAAATCCTTGATAGAAACCACTAAATCACCCCGTATCCTCATGCGACCTATAAGTTACATTTATAGGCTCACCCAACCATGTATCAATATTAGCGAGGTACGTATTTTGACCAACGGAAACCGTCCGAGAAGTACTTCTGGTCAATTTTCTTAATCCAATCAAGCCTTCCATCAGGTTAAACCCTCGGCCGAAACAATATGAAACATAAGAGGAATTCCACTCAGGATGCCGATCAGGATGCCGATCAGGATAAATCTTCCCGAGCTTGGCAGTAAGACGACCAATCCATCCTCTGGATTCTCCATTCTGGTTCAAGGTAGCCTGTGCCCTTGTCTCAACACAGCTTGAAGGCTTTCTGAACGTATAGCGGAAAGAGCCCTCCAATCAGGGATAGCGTATTCACGCTAGCAATGCGCCAAAGTAATTTCTCTGCCGTAGGGAAATGAGAATTCCGTGCAATGAGAAACATGGGGCTGAAGAAAAGAATTGTTGGAGTAACACGTATCTCGGTCGTAGTATCCACATTTAGTAAACAGTGGTCGTCGGGGCTGAATAGAACTAACTAGCGCATCTTCATGGTAGTGGTTAATAAGAAAGGCCCCAAAGTACATACTTTGTAGTATTTTGGCCCTTTTTTTTTTTTTTTTTTATAACGAGGCTGCCAAGGCCCTAATTGTAATTCTTCAGATAGATCGACCTGTTCCAAAATGTAAATGTATGTTTGCTTGATTCGGGGAAAGTTCGGGAGGCATAAGTAGAAAAAGTCCGGTATACTTCACAGATGATTAAACAATAGAGAGACTATGATGAGCGTTAAATTGAGGCGAAGGCCGAAATGAGGTAATAAACAGGGGATGTAACGAGGCTCGGTTGATAACGGTGACTGAGCTGCAGCTGTCCTCGGGTGATTGGCGAGGATCACGATATCGCGGTGGATATGGTTGGCATGTATATACCCTGATAAGGAGGAAATCAATGAAAGCCAAGTATATATATTAGGATTGGTGCCGGCCAGAAGCCAACTTTTGATCATGAGATTGGTCGAACATCATTAAGTAGTAGAACCAAAAATTAAGCCAAGAGAGAAGAACCCGAAGAGCTTTTGGTCAAAACACCATCGCTGAAATGCTGCAAAAGAAAAATAAAACAAAAGGATTGCCGCCCAAAATATGCATGAAGAAGATAGTGACAACATAATGTCACAAATCCCAAAAAGAGAAAGCGAAAGGGTATCTAAGGAGTTCGCAAGTTTTTCCAGGTATAGTAACAGAAAGAAAGAGGCAAAGACAGTACTCAAACTTGCCAAGCAACGGTCAGGAATCATTGACTCTGGTGTTGATCCTTTGCTTTGAGCCAGAATTGCGGGACAAATGCGGCTTGACACGCGAGCTAGAGCTGGATGTCGATTTGGCTTTTGAAAGCTCACGAGCCAGCGAGTTTTGTTGAACCTCTTCCGGGAGTAGAAGATCTGGTAGGTGGTCCGGATTGGAGGCTAGACTGCGCGGACGTGAAAGCACACCACCCGTAGAAGGATTATCCTTTTCGCGATGCATGCTGTCGACCGCGGTGCGAGTTCGGCGGCGATGTCGGCGGAGATACTCATTAGGAACAGGGTCAACTTGCTTTTTCACGGCGGGTACGAGGTTGAGGTAGATGGGGAAGATGGCGCCGGCGGAGAAGACAGCGATTATAACGCAGAAGGAATATGACTCGCCGTGTGCGAGGTATGCTGCATACTCGGCAAATGGGAAAAACGTGCCACCGCTGATTGCCATCGTCAGCAAGACAGCGGCTGTTTTTGTGTGCTGGGCTGTGCCACGCAGGGAGATGGCGAAGATAATGCTGAATGCACCACTCTCGAATAGGTAGAGCAGCATTGCCATGACGATTGCTGCCGTGCCGGTTGTTTTCATGCAAAGAACGGAGCAGACGATCATGCCGATGTAGCTGACCATCAGAATCCAGCGTGGTTTGAGGAACCACTGAGCAAATGCGGCGAAAAAGCGACCCACGGCGAAAATGCTGTGTCCAATAGTCAGGAAATCGAATGGTGCGAGTGATGAATCTGGACGGGCGGTAAGAACGAAACGTTGGAGAGCTGTTGCGAGCACTTCCTGTCCAGCCACATAGAAGAATTGAGACCAAATTCCCAGGCCGAGAGTCAGCCAAACGACCGGAATACCAATTACTTTGGTCATGTTGTCTTCTCGGCGTCGATTTGCCAGTTCTTCCAAATCTTCATCTGACGCCTCTGGGATTGGTAGGTAATAGAACGCCACTGCCAGCAAGACATCGAATAGAGCAATGCCGAGATATGCCCATTGTACGTCAACCAAAGATGCGACGTCCTGAACATCCTTGAAGAGAACCCGTTTCGCTAGGAGCGGCGATAAGACGCTTCCAACAGCTTGCACACCCTGTGAGATATTCAGTCTGATCTCCGAATTTTCAAGTGGTCCACATAACGCAATGAACGGATTTGCCGCAGTCTCTAAAACTGCTAGACCAAACCCGACAATGAAATTTGACAGAATGAACGCAGGCGTCGACGTTAGAACAGCAGAAGGCCAAAATATGAGAGTCCCACAGGCATAGATGCATAGTCCAGTTATGAACGTGGCCTTGAAGCCCCATATTTTCAAGACAGGTTGGCCAACCACCAGAGGGCCAAGCACGTATCCGCCAAAATATGCGCCGTGAAGACCCAGGGAATGCCATTCACCTAAATGGACGATAGTTTGGAATTGGGAATTTAAAATATCAAGCAAGCCGTATGCGAAGCCCCAAAGGAAGAATAATAGCGTGGTCAATGCAATTGGCGCAATCGACTCTCTGTTGTTTAACTTTAGCATACTTTCCGGGTTCTTCATGTTGACAAAATCAAAGAACGTGATATCCGGTGGGTAAGATGCGCTCGTATGAGTTTGGGTGCCTCCCTCTGCATCGACAGGGGCTGGTTCTGGGTAACCTAAGAAATCCAATATACCAATAGGCTGCGAGTCCCGGGAGCTACGTCGGCCGGGAGAGACACTACCAATCTGGTTCTGTAGACACTTATTCCCTTCGTTATCAGATGGCAATGGCAATGGCAATGGCAATGGAAGCTCTGGCAAATCCGGGACTACCGCCGGTGGTGGTACCGCAACTTGATTTCCCCCTGCTGCGTCTGCAGAGAGTCCCTGAGGCGAAGAAGTCGATGTCTCATCATTTGTGTCTCTAATCAATTTTGGAACAAGTCGAGTGACAAGAGGTTTGAGACTTGGAACACAACCGCAAATGATCGATAGATTGACTTCGACGGCAGACCACATGAAAGATAGCGACGCGTACCCTGCGAGATTCCTGTTGTTAGTCCAATTGACGCATTAATTTCAAATATGGGTGATGAGCAAGTCATACAACTGAAATCCACCCCTCCGATATTTTGAATATGAATCGACTTAACTTCCATCGAACGGGAAGTGGCCGCTTGTTGAAGAAAGGCAATTCGAACCACATCGACCACGGCCACAAAGAAACCAAAGGAGAAAGTGATCACCAAAATTATCTTTTGCTTGAAAGGTAGCCGCATTGTTGTTAAAAGCGGCATCGGAAGCAGGAGGATAGCAAGGTCCGTAATAATATTCACCGGGGACGAGGAGAGGTACAAGGTGACAATGTCGGTGCATTTCGCATGGGCCGGGATGTCGGAAAGGAATACAGCGCCGACGGGATTACATTGAAAAACATTGACAAATGTCAACGCAAGACCTGCCGCATTCACCACAAACAGAGTGACATAGTTTGCACATCGGAAAACCTTTTGATTTCGCGTCAAGGTCATATAGAAGACAAGGATCGAGGTCTTGACGGCCATTAACGCCGGATTCTAGATGGTTGTCAGCATGCCATTGTTTCTATTATTGTCGTGCGGAGTAACAAAGGCGGGGGTTAACAAAGGACTTGTAACTGACGTAGAGGACCGTGAACGCATAATTGGCCTTATTAAAAGCGAGTTCATCTTCAGACCGGACGTCACTCGAATGGAGGCCAAGACCTTTCTGAACAGCAAAGAATAGCGAGAAGGAAAATCCAAAATCAATTATCTGCAGACTGGTTAGCCTCCGAGCTCGAACACGAGGTCTCAATCATGTGCCCGGTGCGCAACAGCTCGAGTCTGTTCTCGCTACATCCCCGGGTACATGCAGGGATCACGCCGAGGGATCCTACCCATGCGACCAACATTAACCAGTCGTGTAACCCAATCTTCCTGACCACAAATATTCGCGAAATGAAGCGGAGGGCGACAAAGATAGTGGCGAGGGAGAAAAAGGTGATTGAAACACCCAGTGTAGGTAGTTGACGGCCCTGCATGGCGAGGTTCACCGATGGTGGACTGTCCCTACGGACAGTCCGGTTCTAACAATCCCGAGTATAGTGCAGAATAGTGGAGACGATTGAAGTCCTCAGATTCTAGTGTAAAATCGCGGTCGTAGGCGGGCTGAAAGGGCGCGTGTGCGGAGGCTTCATCGTCTCGTTTACCGACGGAGTCCGAATCCAGGGTAAGGAGGACCGGGAGAGAAAATTGGAGGCAGAATAACAGGGATTCAATATTTGGTGGGAGATGTTGGGATTGAAAGGAAAAGGGGTTGAAGAAAAAAAGATTGTTGATGTCAAAAGGAATGTGGGGAGAAAAATACAACCGTTTTTACCCCGGCTTTGGTTTTTTTTTCCACCTTCCTCCTTCTCTACACACTTATGACACTGCCTTTAAAAGGTCTACGGGTCAATATTATGATGCTACACAAATACACAGCTACAGCTACACAAACACTACCTACCCCTTGTCCAGGGATTGTCCCTACAACATATATGAAGATCCCCACATACTGTGGCTGGCTCATCCAATGAACATCCTGGTACAACAGACGAAAGCAGACAAAGCGAGCTAACCTACTACAGCCTATGACGGGTAATCCAACAAGTTCGGGCTTCTCTTCGGATGTGATATTAGTATGCGGATTACTCGATATTATGATGACTCGTTTGCAGGATACTTGTGCGAGCTCTGCCAGGGGTTGTGCTGCTCCGCGCCTAAGTAGGCAATTCATCGACCATGGTCCCTGCACATGAGCCCTTCCATCTTCTTGAGTCCTCAAGTTTCACGCATTAGAATACACGTGGCATTCAATATAGTTATTGGATCTGCTTGAGTGATCTGATCCTGCGCCAAGGGATTTATTTGAGAAACTTGGTGTGAGACCGGCAGTTTTGGGGTGTTTGCGATCGACAGCGATTAATTCGCCAATTTTGAATGTGATGCATCAAGCCAAAAGCTGCAGCTCGCCTATTCCATATATTCAACCATCAGACATGACTATGAATATCGACCTCCTCCCTAGATCAACATCCTGCGATTCTCCGTTCGTGGTAACCAATCAGTTTCCTATGCCCGCACGACGAAGTTATCCACCGCAAATCTTGCGGGCGCTAAGCTTGATATGTACATGGGTATGATAAGATGCATTGGCGCATCCCGTTAGGGACTTTACAAAGTACGGTCACTGTAGTGCTATGCATATCTATTTGGGTAATATTCTGATTGTTTATCTATGTCCTACTATTGTTTGAACACCCCAATGACCTCGGGACGCTTGTACGCTTATTTTAAGACCGCAAGTTCCCGGGTATATGCGAACCTATGATCATCAGCCCCTGAGATCAGCGGCTTCACAACGTTACAAGGAACTATCTGCTAGCTCCTTGGCTGCGTTTCTTATTTCAGTATGTAGTCGCGAGAACCCCTCTCGACCGGTCGGCTGCTGTCAAGACCCGCTGCGATGTGTTTGATTGTAGCTTTATCTCCGCTCGCATATGTGTTGTGCATAATGAATAAATGTACCGACTACAACGTTAATATCTCGAGCGAAATGCTGAATACTACTCTACCGCTTATCACATGGTAAAAAGTTGTCCCAAGGTTATGCTAGAGCCGAAAATGATCTTCACTATGTGGGTATGTAGGTGGAAGCCCTTAGCTCTAAGCGGGCCGTAGGATCACCTTCCATCTGGCAAAGTACGAAAGGGTCTCTCAGTGCTCTTGGCCCATTATATTTAAGATGCCCACTGCCCCCGGGTTTACATCAATGCTGGGAAGGTACAGAGTGCCTTGACTGCTTCTAAAGTTGTCTTTGTCAAATCAGCTGCTTCGGCTAGCCAATCCTCGTCAAAATGAGACTTAGTACCTTGCTGCTAGCGTACGGACTTTCGGCATCTCTCCGGGGCGTACAAGCCGAGACTCAAGTTGAGAAGTCCATTGCTTCTATCTGGGATGACTTCAAGAATGCAGTGGACTGTGGTGCATGCCAGGTATGTCAATGCCCCGCACTGCCACTGGTGATAAGGTCGCTAGCTGACCCTATGTAATTCTATAGGTTCTGCTCGGCACTATCAAAGTCACTGCAGGGCTTGGTGAGAAATTTATGATCGATGTATTCACTGGGCTGTGCAAGATCAGCAAGGTATGTTGATAATTCTCATAGGCTAACTCGCCTAGTTCCATTAATCACCAGCATACAGGCCGAGGACCCAGATGTCTGCACCGGGATTATCAATAAAGAAGGACCTGCGCTGCATGATGCTTTCAAAGCTTTGCACCTCAACTCTGACGCCTCCAAGACACTGTGTGCCAGTTTGGTCGGGCTCTGCAAGTACCCTGACGTTCATCCCTACAGTCTGACGTTCCCTTCACCCAAGCCAAAGACTGTGAGGCCGCCCCCGAGCGGCAAGACGCCACTCAAGGTCGTCCATTTCAGCGATACACATGTGGATCTCCTCTATGAGCCTGGATCCAGCTACGAGTGCTCCAAGCCCATTTGTTGCAGATCTTGGTCAGATGAATATGCACCGGAAAACACAGAATACCCATGTGGACCGTTTGGAAACCCAAAGTGCGACCCGCCGCAAACACTTCAGGAGAGCTTGCATGCTGCCATCGCAGACATTGATCCGGCGTTCTCCATTTACACCGGCGACGTGGTGCCCCACGATGTCTGGTTGGCTGACGAGGCTGAAGTTGTGAAAGGCCTCAATGCCACATACAGTGCAATGGAAAAGGATATCGGCACTGTTTACGCTGCCATAGGAAACCATGACACCGCACCACTCAACCTCTTCCCTGCGGATGCTTCGAATCCAGCTGACCCCCAATGGGCATATGAGGCTCTTGCAGAAGATTGGTATGGACTCACGGGCGTTGCTTCCGTCAAATCTGCGGATCAATCTGGCTCGTACTCTGCAGTCCATCCGAACAGCAATCTGCGCATCATTTCATACAATAGCATTTTTTACTACATATACAACTTCTACATGTACCGGGAACCAATGGAGAAAGACCCACGCGGACAATTCGAATGGCTCATAAATGAACTGCAGGCTGCCGAGGACGCGGGCCAACGCGCATGGCTGATCTCTCACATCCCATCCGGCGTACCCGATCACTTCCGCGACCACTCAGAGTACTTCGACCAGATTGTGCAGCGCTATGATGCCACTATTGCAGGATTGTTCTATGGTCATACGCACAGGGATGGATTCCAAATCGCATACTCCGACTACAACAACCGAGACTGGAATACAGCCACTGCAATGGGCTATGTCGCTCCAGCCGTGACGCCAATGGAAGGCTCACCTTCTTTCCGCGTCTACGAGATTGATCCAGTTACCTTCGGTGTCCTAGATTACACTCAATACATTGCCAACATCAGCAACCCATCCTTCCAGACAAAGCCAGAATGGGTACCCTATTACTCCGCTAAAGCTGACTACGGATCCAAGATCTCTCCTCCGGTCACCGATCCAAAGGCCGAGATTAGTCCGGCTTTCTGGCACAATGTGACGGTCGCTATGGAACGCGATCCGAGCATTTTCCAAGATTACTGGGCGAGACGTGTTCGTGAGTTCGAAGTTGAGAGCTGCACTGACGACTGCATGAAAAATGAGATCTGCCTTCTTCGAGCCGCTAATGCACAGTACAACTGTGATGAGCCGAAGGCTTTCGACTTCTCTAAGCGTGATGGGCAGGAGGGTGATATCTTGCTGGAAAAGGAGCCTCATATTGACTGCGACCATGCGGGAATGGCGACGCTGATCTCGAAGATGGCATATCGGGCTAAACTTGAGCGGAGAAAGGAGCTTGAGGCTTGAAGGGTCATGGACAATTATTTGGTAGTTGATACATTGAATCATGGACAGTAATCAGCACCAAAGCTAAATCTGATAATCTTTGTCATCCAATCGTCTTATTTTTCTATCTCTACTTGTTAGTCTAAATTCGTACCAAGCGTTAATGTGCGCTTTACAGGGGGAGAGGAGCGGTGTTTATAAAAGACGGTCGGTTCGTTGCTATATATTTTCGCATGGCCTGCGAGCCAGCCTCCCCTTGTATGGAGGACGCAGCACAATAAAAATTGCCGCTCTATGCTCATCATATTTTTCGTATCATCTACTAAAGGTGATATGCATATTGAAGGAACCAACTGAATCTGGACACGTCAAGGTGCATTTGATTAACTGGACAACGCTAATGTGTTAGTCACGCCACGCGCAGACAGCCCTGGAGGTCTTTGGATATTGGGTGTGAAGTACCTAGTCAAATAGCAGGGATATAACAAGCAGACAGTTGATAGGATGGTATTTTACCCTCTTCTGAAGCAGAAAATACCCAGGCGCTAAACCGAAACACCAGGGTTCCTGAGGAGCGCAGGGGTCATTTTTCTTATTAGACCTGTTAGCATCTAGGTTTGCTGCTATGATCCTCATTCGAGTTTTTGAGATTTTTCAAACTAAGATCTTATTTGTCAAATCAAGTTTGGGCCTCCAAGTTCTCCTAATTAGCATCCCACTACCATGGCCGAAGTAATCGGTATTGTCTCGGGTGCCATCACATTTGCGACTGTTATTATCCAAGTTGAGAAATCTATATCTGAGCTGAAAGACTGTTGGGATCAGCTACAGGATGCGCCCGAAGGACTCCGAAAGTTGATACAGCAAGTTGAGCTGTTCGGTCTCATACTGGCGGATATCGAAGAGGACCTCCAACAAGTGTCGTTTTCGACAGCGCTAAATGTTAAAAAAAATGCGCAGCAAAGCTTAGAATTCTTCAAAGCGGCTTCTCGGGATCTGGAGGCTCTTTGTAAAGATTTGAATCGAGACGGCCCTCCTTCGAATCGCATGCACAAGTCTCGTAAAGCTCTGAGGTTTGTAATGTCCAAAGGCAAGATTGAGAAACATACGACGCATCTAGAGAATGATGTTCACCTGCTTGCACTGTCTCAACAATGTTAAACAAGGTACGCTTTTGTTGGAATATGATTGGAGCCATCCTTCTAACATTACAGGTCGGCTTTACGAATTCAACCCCAATTGATTGTAGAGAAATTAGTAGCTCACCAGGAGCTGAGCTTCGCAATTTCAGCGCAGCCAAAAACAGATGTGATTTCCCAAGGTATATCTATCAGTCACCTTGTTATGTCTGGGCATCGGACCTTTATTGATACTAGGACAGAATTGCGTGTGCGGAATATATACCCTGACACGGTGCGAGGGAAACCCGGGAGCTATGTTCGGACCAGAAGAATTCGCTGGAAAATTAGCTTGCCATTATGGATAACTTCTAAAGTATTCGAAGTGGCAGGTACGAGAGCGCCCGGTGGATGGGATTGGATGTTGCGAATCTCCAATGTCGTCCGACCGTATGCAACAGTTGCCATGTTTACTATCAGGGGGAACATCAAAGGTCTCCAAGACCTTTTTGCTTCGGGTCAGGCTTCACCTCTCGACCGAGTCTCTGCATCCGAGAATATCTAATACCCCGTTGGACTTCTCTATGTAAGCATTGCAAAGTGAAAATATCCACAACTAAAGTACTGATAAACTTCCAAGTACGCGAGACACGCAGATGTCTGCAGGTTTCTCTTAGAGCAAGGCGTGGGTCTGGAACTGGGCCCTGGTGTCTCAGTGTTTACTATGATTGGAGCATATGTGGAAGCTCAAAAATTCCAGTCTCTGACTCCAGCCGCGCGTTTACTTGTTGATTACTTGCATATCAAATGTGAGACAATAAGAGAGGAGGCCAATTTAGTCTTTAGGAATTTTTGTTCCTGCAGCAAAACTGCGTCCCATCTTTCTATCACCTGCCAGTATCGGATCGAATCGAAGTGGCAATTGACATTGCATCGAATGATCGACATGAACCTTATATGCCACATTTCATTCAATGCATCATAGCGAAAGAAGTGCTGGAGGCCAAAGACCTTCAACTAGAGTACCTTCCTCGACGTGAACGAGAAAGAAGGTCTAATATTCACAAGGTAGTGTGGAAAACAACGATATTCCATTGCATTGCCAGAAACATGGGTGAGTGGCAAAATGCCTTACACTACGGTATGAAATTCAGACGAGAAGATCCATACGTGGACTCGGAAGCTCAGAATCGCGAAGCAAAACAAGCCTATGACGAGTGGTGCAACCTATTCCACAACTATTTATCTGCGGGGGCAGACATTCATCATCTTGTCGATGGCACGACTCCCTTCCTAGCATACCTTCATGGATTTGGCTTTTTCTCGGAATATCCTAGCAAGGCTCTATGGGTGGCCGCTGTACCCTGGCTGAAGGCGCTACAAGCAAATGGTATCGATTTGAAGCAGTTTGGCAAACGGGAGCTGGGCATTTGGGGAAAGGAAGACGTCCACAGAGCAACCATTGATGAATCGCACGGTGGACTTTATATAGAGCTGACTGGGTTGCTGGATGGCTTATCCATTGAGGATTGGCTTGTGTTGTTCGTGGCCTTGGATATTGAATTTGTTAGAATATCAGTTGAGGAAGCTGTCCAAGACATGCCAGGTGCTTGGCCAGATCCATAAGTTTGGGAAAGTCATAGCAACACCAGCTGTCATGAATCTAGTATTGGTAAATTACAATTACTCCTGCTAGGGATCAAGCAGTAAAGGTTGAATCGGGATCCGTGGGAAGAAGTCCCTGGCGATCCATCATCGCAACAAGATCCCCATCCATCATGAACTCGCCAAGCTCCATACCAAATGGCGAGAGACTAAGGTCGTCCCCTGTGAGACCTGCTCGAGTACCATGGAGAGCGGGAACGGTTACGGCCGAGGTATCGAAGTTTTTTCCTGATAAACAGTGATGTGAGTATAATATATCACTCAAAGGAGAAGGAAAATGAACGAACCAGGATCGTTCAGCACATTGCTGAATTGTTCCAAGTAATACCGACATCGATCAATCAACCGGTTGCCTTCATCGAGCTTGGAAAGTGCTGCTACTGCACGACCGGGATATTGTCTGGCTTTGCTTGCTTGGTCCGTCATTGGGGAGCTTGTTAGGCTGGTATCGCGGTAGACCCAACTCATTCCGATAAGGACCAGTGCCGCGTTAAAAGCTTAGAAACCATCAGCATATGAGACGTCAGAGCGTGGGATTGGGGGCCTACTGTAGTATAATGAGAACCACCAAGCTCCTAAAAGGCCGCGCTTCCATCCAGGTTCTGATACCACGCGGTGTACGATATCAATGATCTCCATCGCGGAATCCGCGCATATCTGCAAGCTGCTCATACCGATTTGTTGCAACAGTCTCATATCCTGAGGATCGCGATCATGGCACCTGCTTGCGGTGATGAACTTGACCAGTATTGGGCGGTGGAGCAAGACCCGAAGATTGAGATATCTCAAGGTCAGGATGACTTGAAACTTCAAAGAGAGACATTGGGAATCGGGCGAAATTTGATCATAAGGAAGATTCTCAATGCTAGCCGACGATGTAAGTTGTAATGGATGGGCAAGCGACCGTTCCCAGGAGAACAATTGCTGTTCCAAGCTGAAGATATGGGCCACAGTTTCGCTGACTGGCAATGGACCATCGCAGCCAATGTTTTGGCCGTAGAGAAGCTCTAAGACGTTCCAAAGCTGTTTATAGAGTCCACTTATATATGTCAGAAAACCGGAGTTCCATGGGTGTCAAGCTCAAGCACTTACATTGTCGAGTTGAAGAACGCAACGCTCAAGGCCGCGGTCTCGTCATCCGCAAGCCCAGTTGAATTTTCAAATTCCCGTTTCGTGGGAAGCTCGAGCTTGACGTAGCTATCTGGAATGGCTGCCGGTCTGCCAAAGGTCATGCTCAGAGTTCTATATCATCAGCATGTGTTTAGCGTGTAGCGGTTTAGCCACTTACCGATCTAAAACCACACAGCCATACCAAGTCCGCTTTCGCATCTCCTGCTCGATAGGGGAAAATAATTTAGAAGCATGCCGCGAATGTAACCCAAGCTGAAGAGCGGCTTTGACGGCTAAACCGTGGACGGTCCATGCTTGTATTGACTTTTGCGTGCCTTGTAAATACTGGCCCATCAGAAGCAAATATTGAACTAGGGAGACACAGTCAGGACAATCTGCCAAACAAAATGAGCAAAGAGAGCTCGGAGCTACTTACCAACTTCTAAGGTTGTTCCTCGCAAAATTTCACTCCCACATAAGCCGAGGCCACGCTGATAGAAGACATCCGATTCCTCGATCCGAGCATCTGCGCTAGCACTTCCAGGAATTGCAGTAATAGTAGCCATAGCCAGCACCATATTCAACAAACCGAGCCAAGTTCTCCGCACCCGACTGAAGTTCTCCCGTGTCATCTGGTGGTACATGTCCAGGAAGACTGGTGGGTATATGTAAGGAAATAGCAAGCCGGTGTTAGAGAAATAGCGTTCAACAAGCTTCAATGTGTTTGTTTGGGGCGGCAAAGCAAAAATGTTCACTTGTATGCGCCGATCTTGACCTGTCTGGCCTAGAGGCGATGATGGTCTCGATGCATTGACGAAGCCACCCTCAGCGGCGCCAGGTGACGGGAAATACCCTGGTTGGACAATAGCGCTCGACAAATGTCGAAGAAATGCAATATTTGAAGAAGGGCCTAGTCAGGCGTGAGCAATCTAAAACTCTCTTATCAAACAGATACACATACCAAAGAATCCGGAATCCTCTTCATCAGCAAAAATAACCGCACCCATACCATCGACTGAATCCTCCGTTCCAATCAAATCAGGCATTGGCGCAGCAATTCTCGTCTGCTCCTGACCCTCGCCAACATTTTGACCAGAGATTACAGACTCCCTTTCCCTGTCCTTTTCCGGCCTAGAGTCAACTCTTTTCACCAATCCATCCAAATCACCCCTTACAGCCCCAAGCGACTCCTCAAGCCGCTTTACCCTATCTTCAAGTCCGTGCAGATAGTCTTTCTGCACGATAACATTAGCGGCCGTTGGCGGCGGCGTATAAACACAGTCAAACCCCAAATCCTGACATAACGAGCAGCTGGGCCGCTTACCGTCACATCGGGATTTGCGGGTTCGGCATGCATCGCAGGCGATAGCCACACGGCGCCGCTTGGAGGGCCGCTCGTTAGGCGTTTCGTTATCTGGTGAATTCGATGCCATCTGCTAGTATCATATGATCAGGGGTTACCGGGGTGCGACTGTTTCTGGGGTAGTGTCGGGCGGGGAGAGATCGGATAGCTCTCCGATGTCGCCGGGATGTGGGGTTTGCCTCCAGTTCTGGAGGACCTGGGGCCGCAGTGGATTTAGTCGTTACCTCAACTTTGTCAGATATATTTTTTGAAGACGATGGAGTATATCTCTTCTATTTGGTCATTGATTGTGATATACGAATCTTAGTCTTTCCAGACTTTGATTTCAGGGGAGATATTGCGTGAAAAGGGCATAGGAATAACGGGTTGTTCATGAATGTGCTGTTATATGAAGCAATCTTGTATATATAGTATATATATACCCCGGATATAATAAACTCGTATAGTCGTACAGCAGACTAGCTGACGTGATCAAGGAAGAATAGATGATCTTGCCCAAGAAAGGCTCAAGGCTAAAAAGAATGATATTCATTGCATGAGGATTGTAGGTACGTTACCTAGGTAGTACCTCCAGGGCTAAGCACACCTGGGCATACATTTATGTAGTAAGCCGTCTTCCGGGGACCGCCTTCCATATCCAAGACAGTATTATTAAACGAACCATGGGTCGGTCGGCATGAAATGTATTGAGGTGTTCCAGTGATATATATGTACGCCCCTCACCGCTTTCTTCTCGAAGTTCCTATAGAAGGTAGATAATAAAATAGGTAGGTACCTACAATTTGTATGTAGCTATTAGCAAGAATAAGTCAACCCTGCTACATCTCATTCCACAGGGCTTGGTTAAATGATTTGATATTCTAATTCTTTTGCGACAAAATGCATGTTTTTACTTGAAAGGCAGAATACATGGCATAATTCTAATTAGGAAGGCGGTACATATATATACAGTCAACTTCCCAAAGCGACCGTGCGGGGTCTCCAAGTTTCGCCAATTTCCAATAGTATTCACTCTCAGCATGGGAATTTCTTGTCTACCTAATTCTAAGCCAATCAGAATCTCATCTTTGTCTCGTGCATGTTTCACTTGTTTTTGATTGCTCCTCCCTTCAAGGCTCAGACCCACTAACCTCTGGGCGAAAATTTCTCTTCCTATCTTATCACAGCTTTCGCTTTCGCATTGCATTAATATCGAACTTATTTACTTTGCCTGCACTCTAGTACAACTTTAATAAAGCCCATTCTTGATCCGCAGACAGACCTTGACTGGCCTTCATTAGGAGCTGAGCTCCCATCTCTCTCTCTGGCCTAAATGACAATCATTTGAATTTGTCAATGTAACTATGAACACAGTTCATTCAATTTTTCCATATTCTTGCCAAGCGCTCAAGCGCAGGAGATAGAGAGCACCCTACAGGCTCTCCGGGTTTTCGATTGACACTCCCAAACAGTCTATGAAGATAACAAAAACGAAACATTCAAAATGGACGACGAGCTCGATACCTCGAAAATTAAAAATTGGAGATCAATTATCACCCTAATCGTTTTTGTTATAACTAGTGAGTATGGCCAGGACTACAATGTGGGATTGTGACTTAACTTTTCTTGTGGTGCAGATGTTATTGTCCTTTTCCCATTTCATATCCCTATATATCTCCCACGATGGCTCACAAATGGGTTTCTGGACCTATTGAGTGCCATGCGCATTACGTCTCACCGGACTCGACCTCAATCCAATGGAGGGCAATCAACCTTTCTGAAAATTCGCTTTCCATTGAACTTTATCACGGCACCTTTAATAGCGGATCTCTTCCTTCTCGCTATTTTAGCTATTGGCCGAAAAGAGGTGCATGATGGAATAGTCGGCGCAGACAACATTAATCCCATTGATACCATGGTCTTCTTCCTCACGCTCGCTTATATTGCCATCTCAATTGACGCCTCTGGCATCATCAGATATCTGGCTTTGATGGTTCTCCAAAAAGCAGGCAAGGCCGGCCACCGGCTATTCTTCTACATGTTTACCTTCTTTTTCGTGCTGGGCAGCTTTGTCGGAAACGACCCAATTATCCTGTCGGGTACACCATTTCTTGCATACATGATCCGTGTATCAAGCAATATCGTCCACCCCAAAGCATGGATTCACAGTCAATTTGCCATAGCTAATATTGCCTCCGCAATTCTTGTCTCCTCCAATCCCACCAACCTGGTCCTTGCTGGTGCTTTCAAGATCAAATTTATCACCTACACAGCAAACATGATCGTTCCCGTAGTCGTGACGGCGATCATCATTTTCCCGATCTTGTTATATCTCGTTTTCGCCGACGAATCCCTTATCCCTCGATCCATCACAATGCACGAGCTGTCCGAGGAAGCCAAAGCCAAACCACCCGTGAACCCCAATCTCCCTCGCGCCAGACGAATTGTGGAAGAGAACGAAAAGTCTAACAACGAGCAAGTAATGGAGCAAGGAAAGCAACTCGAGCTAGAGGAGATCATGAATCCATTCTTGGAAAAAAAGGGCGCTTTCTTGGGAGCTCTCATTATGGCCGCCACGCTAATCACCGTCCTAGCAATAAATGCCTCAGCACCAACAGGCGAAGAGCGCCCTGTTTTCTGGGTCACATTACCTGCTGCCTTCGTTATGCTCTGCTGTGACGGCTGGCTCCATCGCAACGAGACCCGTGAGTTTGTCGCGAAGGATAGTCAAGAGGCCGAGGAGGCACGGTTTGGGCGAGAAATGTGCGAGCGGAATGAGCAGCAAGCGCTGCGAGAAACAATGGATCCAGAGGCACTGGAATTGAACCAGTCTGAGCAATATGATGCCGTAGGCTTGCGTCATCGCAGTGAGCACACATATCAAGATATCTCGCCTGAGGCTAGTGATATCGCCTCGAAGAATCCTTATCCAGAAGGCGACAGCTCATTGTCAGTCTCTGTTTTCACTAACAAGGAAAAGCTCCCGGAGCTATTGCCATCAGGCAGTAGTGTGATGAATAGCACACAAGCTCACGCACCTTCTCCCGAGGCATTAGGCCCGGGAAACGCTAGAGACACGACGGCCCATCAAGAAAAGGGCAGCTCTGCATCTAATCAAGACAACGGTCCACGCACATTGGTTTCGCTCTCTGTTGATTTCTGCCGCTGGTCACAGGAGAGATTCCCCACTGTGACCGCCGTAGTATCCAACATGCCTTTTGCACTAGTACCCTTCGCTTTTGCAATGTTTATCCTGGTGCAGGCGCTTGTTACCAAGGGCTGGGTGCCGGTTTTTGCACAAGGATGGGATCAGTGGGTTGAAAGGACCGGAACAGTAGGCAGTATCGGTGGAATGGGATTCCTATCCGTGATTCTGTGCAATGTGAGTATTGAGCAATGAGCTTACCACTTTTTCTCTCTCAATTCGAACCCACTAACTCGTCATTTGTCTAGTTTGCCGGCACAAACATCGGCACCACAATCCTGCTCTCGCGGATTATCCAAGCATGGCAGAAAATCCACGAAGTCAGCGAGGTTCCCATCAGTGAGCGCACATGGTGGGCCACTGTCTACAGCATGGCACTCGGAGTCAATTATGGCGCATTCAGTACTGCGTTTAGTGCTTCGCTGGCTGGGCTGCTGTGGCGGGATATCTTGGAAAGAAAGCACATCCATGTCGGCAATCGGGAATTTGTACGAGTGAACTTCCCCATTATTGCTATCTCTATGGTGGTTGGATGTGCAGTTCTCGTTGGAGAGGTATATCTCGTCAGAAGTGATAAGCCGTACGTGCCGGCTTGAAATTTGTATTGCGGGAGGTTATTTTTAGATGATTTATGGATTTGATGCTTGTTTGAGGCGGTTTTATGTCATTCGATACGCAGACCATCTTGCGAAGTCACTTCATTTTACATTTTTACAGAACTCTTTCTATGGGGAAATACCTTTAATATGTGTTGTTCTCGTTGTGAAATTCCACATTGAGGTGGAGTTGTGTTGCATTCTAACTATCACTTGATCGACATTCCTACGACACTGCATCTAATCACGCCGTATTGAAGGTTTCACTCATCCACAAGGGACTCGACATCCATATCCTCCGAGCGATAGAAGCCCAATGCATCAATCATAGGCTTATCGTCAAACCGATACAGATAGACCGGTTCTTCAGCATCCGCAAAATGCTGGTATCTGTACCACGCCGGAACACAGAAGGTATCGCCCTGCTCCCAGGTATATTCCTTATCGCCGATAGTGGAGTGTCCTTTGCCAGTGATGACATGATAGACAGCCGACGTAGTCTCGCGCCGGGAAGGCGAAGCCTTAGATGCCGAAATGCGCTCAGCACATCCTCCAAGGACACGACTCACTATAAAACCATTAACCATCTTTTCTTCCACAGAGCCAAGCAATACAAAGAGACCACATACCTTCGCGTCCATCCTCCTTCAAGTATCTCTTACTAACCCAATCCCCATCAACCCCATCCAACTGTGCCTTCATGGTAACCCATGGGAAAACCAACGGCGAAGTAGTACTATCGACATTCTCCGCCGGATAACGGGGCTTATCGAAGTGCTCCACAAAGTGCACAGGGAAATGCCTGAAGTTGGGCAAATCCAGCCCATCCAACCACACCATAGGTCCAGAACCATCTTTACCGTGATCATGATAATTCCAGGTCGGTGTGAGAATGACGTCTCCACGCTGCATTGTGATACGTCGGCCGTGGACAGCAGTGAAACCACCCTGGCCTTCAATGATGAAGCGCATGGCGAAGGCCGTGTGTCGGTGAGCGCGTGCGGTCTCGTTGGGCATCACTAGCTGCAGACCAGCGTACAGAGTGTCGGTAGTGAACGGGGCATCTTTGATGGTTGTCAGAAATAGTACGCAGTATATAGTAAATAGAAAGGTATCAAGACGCGGAATCAAATAATAGCTTTGTACATACCCCGAGCTGGGTTGGTAAGCATCAGCACCCGGCGCTCAGCCTGGGATGCTGGGACAAGCTTTCCAGCGCGCTCCAAGTTAGGTCTGATAGCGCTGTACTTCCAGACATTTGGGACTGTTGTTGGATTTGGCGCTGGGGGGTTCAGACGGGCCATCTGCTTCCACAGAGGGAGGGTCTTGCTTGCTTCGAGGTCAGCGAGAAGCTGCTCCTCTGTGTCGATGACGCTTTCCATTTGAGTTGAAGACATTGTTGTAGTTGTTCTGGTAATGCGAAAGAACCTTGGATTATATTTTTTAAAGTCTATGGAGAAGTAATCCGGCAAATATATCTTGAACTCTTTCGTAGAATCGTCGGCTCTTGCTAAGGTCCGGGGCAAGATCGGGTAGCCTTCCCCGTTACATTCCCAACTGAGGGGTCATAAAGGCGGTAATCCGACGATATGCGCTGTGCATGAGCGCCAATTATTTCTCTGTGAAACAAAGCAGGTGACAGTAAGCAAGATGGTGTCCAATGGTCAGGCCAATGGCCATGTTTCTCAGGCGTCTTTGAAGGTGGGTTTCTCGTCCCGAAACGGCAATGTGAAATTCCCATATACTAATGAATTAATAGACCCCAACATATCCCAGCAACTGCCTCGAATTCCTAAATGAACCATTGGCAGGCGAAAAAACAATCACTGCAAAGGTCCCCCTGAATATTATCGTCGTCGGCGCCGGACTCGGCGGACTAGCAACAGCCATTGCGCTCGCAAGTTCCGGACACACCGTGACTGTCTATGAGCAAGCACAGAAGCTCGGAGAAGTAGTAGCCCAATTCTATTGAAATTAACCAAAGCTAATCACCTACCCTAGGTCGGCGCTGGTATCCAAATCCCATCCAACTCAACTCGCCTCCTGAGCAGACTCGGCCTAGACCCGTACCTAAAAGAGTATGTGACCGAGCCCGAGTCCATTTCTTTCCGACGCTGGCAGTCAGGAAATGTTATCGGACTTACTCGACTCATTCCGAACTTCCGAGAACAGTTCGGCGCGCCGTACTATGTGATCCACCGCGCGAACTTCCATTCCGCGCTGCACAAACGTGCCCTGGATCTGGGTGTCACGGTCAAGGTTGCTTCGCGGGTTGTGGGATATAATATCCAGGGACCGAGCATTGTTCTTGGGAATGGCGAAACTGTTTCGGCTGATTTGGTCGTTGCTGCAGACGGTACATACCTGTTCGCCCCTGAGATATATAACAGATTCTAATCCTTTACAGGTGTCAAGTCCATTGCTCGTGGAACGATCGATGAGAGCGGCAAGCCCTCATTTGAGAAGACTGGGTTCGCAGCCTACCGAGCTACTGTTGATGTGGAGCTCATCAAGGAAGACCCAGAACTTTCTTGGCTGTTGGAAAAACCGGCTCTCAATATCTGGTTAGCACAAGTATGAAAGGATCTTCGAAACCCAACTAACATTTTTGGTAGGATCGGTGATCAGCGGCACGTAATGACATATACCATCGGAGCTGGCAAGTCTTTCAACATGGTTCTTTCGCATCCAGATGACAGCGATCCTTCAACCTGGGATCAAGCAAATACTCTCAGTGATATGAGACGCGAATTCCAAGGATGGGACAGCCGGTATGAGTCCATAAATTCCTTAGAATTATTTTCTTATTAACATATTTCTAGACTCGAGAAAATTATCAGCCTCATTGAAAAAACCATCAAATGGCCACTGATCAGTGGTGTCCCCTTATCTCGCTGGGTGAACGGCAAGGTGTTGATACTAGGAGATGCAGCACACGCAATGCTACCATATATGTCACAGGGTAAGTGCAAAAACATAATTCCATTGATAATAGTTACTAAAACCGCACAGGCGCGGCAATGGCCGTCGAAGACGGCGCAGCACTAGCACGATCTCTGTCCAAAATTGAGAATGCCGAGGATATCCCCAAAGCACTGGAAATTTTCCAGCAGGTTCGTATTGAACGAGCTGGAATGATGCAGGAGGCCAGCCTTCTGAATGGAAAGCTGTGGCATTTCGCCGATGGGCCGCCTCAGGAAGCCCGTGATGCGGCTATGAAGCCCGAGACTTTGGGTTTGCCTTTCAGTCATAGTCCTAATCAGTGGAGTGACCCGGCGACTCAGATGTGGTGTTACGGATATGATGCAGAGCAGGAGATTGATCGAGCTTGGACGAAGTCGGAACTGTAGAAAAGCCAGGTTCACATAGACAATATACTACTTCCTTTTGGTTGATTACCTATTATGATTTTCCATGACCTCATACTTGATATATACTATATACCTTGTTCCCTTTCTCTTCACTCTCTGTAAAGCAGTACATCAGTAAGGCAGTGCGGCATTGTCAGATCTATGACAGTGTCCCCTTCACCCCTGTTTATCAACACCATGCGATTTGTCTCACTATAACCTGATTGAATAAGAAGAACCAGCATAGTCACAGACTATTCTATTGAGGACATCTACTATGTTTCTTCGTCCATTATAGTACATAAATGATCCGGTCTACTTTGGAGAGTAAATAGCGCCCTTTTCCATTGTTATATCTCCAGGAATAACATCCAACACATCCACATCGTCCCATGTAGCATGAATAGTCAGTTCTCCCTTCAAGATACGGTTTATATTGAGCATTGTGCTGTATACCACCCCCCAGCTGAAAAAGCCTTCTTCCTCACCAACCTCATCATGGATATCAGAAGACTTTGCTCTTGGCCCTGCCTGATGGAAGCCACCTGTGATCGATGGGTAAGGTGCAAAACACCGCAAGTAACCATTGCCGCAGATACGCCCGAGCGAGACGTCAAACTGGGCACCGATATCAATTTCCTCCGCAAGACCGGACGGGTTCACCGACAGTGCTGCGAGGATTCTTTGTGCGCCTCTGTAGCTCACAGCATAAAACATCGAGCAGACTGCATCGCTTGCTGTGCAGATAAGTCGACTATGATTTGCCCTCTCATGGCCCTCGAATGTTGGAGGGTCGCGCCACAGGGGGAGGAAGTGTTGGGGCATTGGGATAGTCGGATCATTCGGAGTGAGGTAAAATGGAAAGTCGGTTTTACATGACATACCGCAGTGGCCTAGCCATAGGATGTCCCAGTCATCGCCGTATGGTGACTCGGTGGGGATTTTCTGGGTATCCTGAAGCTGGAGGGCTCGGACTGCGTGGGCGAAGCTCTCAAGCTGGAGTTTGATCGATACGTCCCAGTCGGCATCGTCTTCCATAATAATAGCACTGGCTAATCTCTCCTGGACAACTCTAGAGAATAATTAGTTGAAGTCAATATTGTAGTTTCAAGCACATACCGTTGGAGTCCATTTATATGCGCCCGTCGGGCAGCGTACTCGGTTCGTTTATGGCCATGGTTCCAGTTCTGGAATGTCAGTCGGCGCGTATATTGTGTAGCTTTCGAAAACATACATATGGATAGGATTTAGCATCTACCTCGTCCGGAGTCACGCCGTCGATCCAGTCGACGTGGAAATTACTGAGAGATGAGCCCAGAACGATATTATCCCGCTTGTCAGGCCGGCTGATAAGATTAATGGCGAAGATTTTTTGAACCTAAATAGCCATCAGTCGAAAGATCTCCAGGTGAAACTTGAGGTGGAATCATTACCCCAAGGGTTTCATTTCTAATGGCATCAAAGTCATCCCAATTAGGGCCGCTCCAGACCTGCTGGGTGGGGGCGGTTCCTCTATGAGTGGTCGGTCGTAGCTTGAACAAGATGAAAGCGACTCCGAACACGACTAGGAGGAGCTGTACAAAGCGCAACTGGGAAAATGCCATACTCGGTTGTCATTGAAATAATAGAGACAAAAAAATGCGTTGACCATCCTGAACGCGCAGGAGGCGACCGTGATTTGAGGGTACATGAGTGGCCTAGTCTAGAGTCATGTAAGCCACGCTAGCAGCCCTTAGCAGCGCATTATCATCTCGAAAATTTGCGCCAGGCCGATTTGACGCTGGTAATGGTTTAGTCCTAATACAGTAAGGTTGCTTTTGATTTCCGTTTATGCTCCGTCTCAGTCATATTGAATCAAATGTGTACTACGGGGTACTTACACCTGGGAAATCTCCCCTAGACAACCCCTCCCCCCCCCCCTTCCCCCCCCCCCCCCCCGCCCCCAAAGTGCCTATCTCCCCCCTGTTTATATTCGTTTCTACCCTCCATATGGAGTACAATAATCCTGTTAATATAGAAGGGTTCTCTTTCAGTCCAAGCCTAGATTTGCTACCAAGACAAATTATCCTATACTTTCTCCTTAGTTTCACTCCTCAACTTTAGCTCCCCTTTCTCGTAGTATACCCCTTCATCCAGAGCAATGCCGGCTCTATCATGTTCAAATCAGGCGTTATACGCCTACAACATCGAAAGTACTGCTTCCTATACAGCAGCATTACAAACTAGTATTTTATTGGAAAAAGCAAATAAAAATTCTGGCTCAAATTTTCGCGTTCGGCCTCCGTAGTTGGGCTTGAGTTGCCACTGGTCGGTCGGCATCCTCATTCAAGCGCGCTAGTTAAATGCAGTTAAATGATTATATCGCCAGAGCCTCAGGTACTGTGCTCGCGGGATTGTAGTACCTGTTATTAGTGCTGTGAGTCTTCATCGAATACTTGAAATCCTGGGTGGTTTCCTGTACGATCGAGCATCGGTTGAATCATTGAAAAGCTCAATAACTGGGGGAGGGTTAATCATCCGAGAACTGAAGACCTATTTGCGGATTTGCTCAAGAGTCGACAAACTCCAAGGTAAGATGAGAATCATGGACATTGATGAAGAGAGGGTGCTCTTTCCTTCTTGCACATTTTCTAGTATTCTTTCCGAGGAATTTAACCCCATCTAGACTCAGCTCATCCTCCACCCAGTTTCGGAAATTATGATTCGAGGTATTAGGGATATTGTGTTTATGCCAGATCGCCATTTACGGGGGATACACTCAATCACAGTCACCCTTTCGCCATATACCTATATCAGACCTCTTTGCTGATCTTGTGCTGATTTTTCAAGATATGTAGTTACAATTCTCTCAATTCATATACTCGGGACGAAACCCGGTTTCATCCAAGCTAGATATTCATTGGATAAATCTTCCCAGTCGTGATACACGGCTTTCAAACACCCCTCTTTGTTAATAATAGTCAACTACATCCTCCGTACTCTTCCGAGGTCGGTTGGATGGGGATCCCTGGCAAGCCACATGCTTCATAGTTCGCTTCTTTGCTTCTATTTTTGCCACAAACAGATATTTTCTGGGTTGTTTTTGTTTTCATCACTGGGGCATTGTGGCATTTGTTTAATTTGAGAGAAATGTGTTTAGAACGAAAGGAAGGGTTTTCTTTATACTGCTATCTACTAATTCGAAGTCTTTTCTTTGATGGTCCATTCCACGGATCGCATTCTTTAAGCCCGGGCCGGGATCTCGGATCTGGAATCTCACATTCCACGTAAAGAACCCACTATAAATCGACATGCCATCTTTGCCTCTTGCGAAATGCGAAATCTAGGCTCCCGTATTCCAAGACAATGGCAATAATAATAGCTCTGCTTAGCATTCCAAATATTAATACGAAGTACAATTCTAGTGCGAACCCCCCACCCTACATTAGATTCAAATCTGCAATTACAATGCATATATATATGTATGCCATCTAACTACGATCATCCAATCTTGTTCCGGGGAAATGTTCGGTCAAATGGAGCAGAGGGGACTGGATGAAGTGGAATATAGTACGCAGTATGGACGTCAACCGAATTTCCAAGTTTACACCATGTGTGTGACAGGGTTCCTGGCTCGGAAAGAGGATAGTTCGGTCTGGAATACACAGAGGTAGTCAGAGCACTAGCATTTTGTGGGAAGATAGTCGCCCTGATCGGGTTTCCGGTATCGATTATGTAGGAACAGTTCAAGGTTGTTCCGGGTACATGCCCTGTGCCCTGCATTTTGTGTCATAACTGATTAGGGCTGGGAAGAGGGGTTGGGTACTGGTACTCCTCACTCCGTACTTTGCATACGGAGTACAGTGAGACATACAAGATCTTGAAAGCGAAGAGTCTATGTACATAATTGCAAGGCTCAATAGATATAGACGTTGAAATGGTATACATCAATTCACACAATAGAAATCTAAGAGATCGGCACTATTCCACAAAAAAAAAAAAAAAAATTATAAAACGGCTTGAAAACTCAGACCAAGTCCAGACCGTTGGTGGGGATTAAATTACCTGTATGGAGTACAATAATAGTATACAAGTACGGAGTAAAAAAGTGAAATAGGCCCCGATCCCGGGTTGTCTTACCGTAGGATTGTCCAATGGTATGGATCCTTTACAGTAAGATGGCGACAAGACCGGAGTATTCTAACCGGTCCTGGGGTGCATTGTACACGTTTGCAAGGCGACCAAAGATGAGGATGAGATCTCAATATTAGAATATTAGAATATCAGTAAAGATAGAAGAGGTCGGATATGATATCCCCGTGTACCTTCTAAGGTTGAAAAGAAAAGAAAGAAATATTGGCCGCTGATAGGTCGATTAGTTCAGGTACCAGAAGGCAAACCTTGGAAAGATGTGGGCCGTGAAACCCCAATAGGCTTGATCGGCTGAGGTAAACCGTCAGTCTATCCCCAGAAGAGATTAGGGCCAGGAGAAAAATGGTGGCACAAACACCCCCTGGTCATTTTCTTGTTCCAATGAGAATCGACCGGGGCGTCCGGCTCGGGTACCTGGGAAGTTGAGATTGCAATATTCCCGTACTCCGTACACCTTTTAGGATATGTAGGATGTGAGTGTGATATGTAAAAAGAAAACAAACGAGTCGATAGGGATCGTGGCTTGATCAGGACCATGGGTTTGGTGGATAAGTGGGTATCAACACATGAAAGTGGGCCATTTCCCTCTTTTGTGTGCCTTACGTGGATATTTTATAAAGAGTCCAGGCTTCCCCATCATCCTTCTTCCCTCTTTCAACCCATTCCTTCATTTTACACTCACATTCCTTTCGAGTGCCTTTCCTGCTGTGCAGTTGATCAATCTTTAAACAACCTCACACATTCACACTCTTGAGATATCCATCCCCATCTTTCGCAATGGCTCCTATCATCAAGACTCTCGCCCTTGCTGGCGCTTTCTTCGCTTTGACTGGCCACTCAGCTCCCATTGCCAAACGCGCTGTCGTTTGGGAGACCGTCACCGATATCGTCTGGACCACCATCGATGTCACCACCACCATCTACCCCCAGGCCACTCACGCCTTCCCTGAGGTCGCCAACGCTGTCATTACCACTCCTGCCGCTGCTACGACTACTGAGGCTCCTATCAAGGAGCAGGAGAAGGTTGTGCCCACCACTACCTCCACCTCGACTTCCTCCTCCACCACTACCGCTGCTCCTGTCACCACCGCTGCTCCTGTCACTACTGCTGCTCCTATCACTACTGCTGCTCCTGTCACTACTGCTGTGGCCCCTGTCAAGGAACTGGAGAATGTTGCGCGCACTACTACCTCCACCACCACCGCCGCTCCTCCTGTCGTGGAGACTGAAGCTCCCGCTCCCGCTCCCGCTCCCGTCGTTGACACCCATACCGCCAAGACTGAGACCGAGACCACTGGCAGCAGCGGCCACACCGGCCCCTGCTCTGAGGGCTCCCCCTGCAACGGTGAAATTACTTTCTACGACACTGCCACGACCAGTACCAACCCCAGCTCCTGTGGCACTACCAACGATGGTACCGTCGAGAACGTTCTTGCCCTACCTCACGGAATCATGGTCGACAGCGACTGCGGCAAGACCGTCACTATCACATACAACGGCCAGACCGCCACTGGTATTGTAGTTGACAAGTGCATGGGTTGCGATAACAACTCCGTCGATCTGTCCCGTCACTTCTTCGGCGAGCTGGCTCCCTTCGACAAGGGCCGCGTCAGTGGCGCCAAGTGGTACATCCATTAAACGTTGCGTCGACCGCGCGTTGGTGTTGATGGCCATAAACATGAACAATGGACACATCTCTGGTAGATTGCGTAAGTGGATACGGTCTTGACGACCATTTCCTCTTTCTTTTACTTCTTTCTCTTTCACTTTACTGTGATTTTCTTCCCTTCTTTCCCAGTCTCCCCGAGAACCCAATCATTCGACTTTTGGAGAGGCCGGGCCTTTTTTTTACCTTTCGTCCACTCATTTGACCCTGGATCTTTTTACCATTTCGCGTGTCCCTAGTGGACCGCATTCACATTTTACCCCATTTTTTCATGTTCATAGAATCTTCTTCGCCTTCTTGTGCAATACCACCTCATGATGGACCATTCGGCCACAAGACATACGCTTACAATCCCTGCGCGCATGCTGGTAAGCCATGGACGTTGATTCTCTTGACGAGATCTCGAACGTGCAAATGCGACAGGGCAATGACGATTACGATGATCATGTTCGTGAAACGAAAAAATTCCCCCCAAAAAAAGGAATGGCACATCAAGTGCTTGCAGGAGAAGATCATTAAATGAACTTCGTTTCGTCTGGCTTATGTCTGTTTTACTCCAATAATCTCCCAAGTATTCGTAGTAGTATCCACGCATTATTTTTAGGAACGGTAAATGAACCGCAGCAACGCAAGGCTAGTGACTGTATTGGTCCATGCTGAGACAACTGCGCCTCACTCCTAGATTGGGATGTTCAATTGCGGGCCTTGCTTTCCAGCCAAGCCAGGCTATGCGATGTATAGAGTTCTCATGCGATTTCTCGTAAAATTTGGACCGAGAATGTGCTCTGGCGATCTCTATGTTTTGCCTGTCTATAATCTAGCCCTAAGCCCCATCAACGATCAACAACCACATAATCCAGTTCAATCAAACACCACGCCATTTCTCAGCGTTCCAATCCCATCAATAAAAACATCCATCTGCGTCCCAGGAACAAGGTACTTAGGCGGCGAAAGACCAGCGCCGACACCTAACAAAAAAACAAGTCAGCTCAACCAATTCCATCCCAAATAAAAACGAAAAGAAATACAAAACTCACCACCCGGCGTCCCAGTCATAATAACACTCCCCTTCTGCAACGTCGTCCCCTGCGAAAGATACGACACAAGATACGCACAATCAAACAAAAGATCCGCAACATACTCCTCCTGTCTAACCTCCCCATCAACAATCGTCTTCAGCAGTAGCTTACTAGGATCCTCAATCTCGCTCGCGGCAACAAGACACGGTCCCAGTGGTGCGAAGGTATCAAAGCCCTTCGAGAATCCCCATTGCGGGACTCGGCCCGCGAGACCCGGGTCGCGCTGTAGCTTGCGCGCGGAAATGTCGTTGCCGACTGTGTACGCGGCTACGTAGGAAAGTGCGTTCTCCGGGGAGACGTTCCTCGCATCACGGCCGATTACGAGACACTGGGTGTTTGTTAGTATACTGGACACTGGATATAGGTATTACGTAGGTAGGATATAGACAGAGGACTGGGGACTTGTCTTACCAGCTCGCCTTCGTAATCTGCCTGTGAATCCTGGGCAATCTGTGGGATTGAGACTGGTACACCGTGGTCGTGGATTGTGGTATTTGGCTTGAAGAAGATGAATGGGAATGGGGGTGGGGTGCGGCCTGCTTCTTTGACTGTTGACACGGGATGTATCAGTATCTGCTATTTGGTTTTGTTTATTCCAAGAAAATAAAAAAGCTTACCATGCTTCGCATAGTTCAATCCAACACAACGCAGAATAGGGACATCTGCCTGCGCCAACGGGCCCAGGACGGTCTTCACGGAGACGATTTCATCTGTGACCCGTGTTTTACCTGTTGTGTCGTAGAGATCGTCGCCTTCGATCACGCGGGCTTGTAGTTTGTCTGACTCGGTTATGAAGCCCAGGTCTGTTGTTGGGGTGGGGAGGATTGGCTCGCCGCGTAGGGTGCGGCCGTCTGTGGCGATAAAGCGGATTAGGCGTTTCCACGGGAGGGACATTTCGGGTTTCTGGTTTTGGTCTTGGGGTTTTCGTTTTCTAGTTGAAATTGGATACTAGAGGGGCATTCATTCTGGGGTTGAGGGGTTATATGGTTCTTTACTGTCGTTGTGACGGGTATAGATCGGGTAGATCGGGGTTGCCGGGTGTAGTTCCGGGATGGGGTGTGTTTGGGATTTAATCGAATGGGGAATTAGAGGATTCGGGGAAACTAGGGTCTAGCTGTTATAATCTTTCAGATTGGTCGATGTGCGAGCTAGATTCCTTGTAGTGTAGGCTATTATCTCTTAAGGGCATTGGATTCAATCGAGTCTCTTCTTTGCCGAAGATAGATATCAAAACGTGAGTATTGCTTTTGACCGTTGGTCTTTTTTTCTGGCATTTCCAGTTGAGGAAGTCAAGTCTACACTTGATCTACGAAGTCTACAAGGAAAGAATGAATAAATAACATAACACTTTATTGAAGTAATAATAACGAAATCCAGGAAATATCATTTACCAACGCCGAATCACAAAGGAAAAAAAAAGGTCCATCAAAATCATAATATGGGTACACGTGAGAAGCCACGACAGAAGACATGACCATGCACAGAACTCAAAGGGAAACATCCAAAAGCATTCAAGGGGAAATGAAACTTAACCCTGGCACATGATGCAAGCATCCTTGTTCTCGATGCTGCACTGCAGAGCAGCATCGGAGAAGATATCGCCCTCCTTTGCCCTGCTCTCGGCATCTTCAGGCTCATCATCAGCGACCTCAGTCTTGGCCTCGACAGCAGGAGCAGCAGCAACGGGTGCAACCACAGTGCGAGGGGTCTCCTGGACGGGAGCGGCGGCCTTGACAACAGCGGCCTCGGCACGGGGAATGGCTGAGTAAGCAGAGGCACCGGTGGCAACGGTACGCTTCTTAGAGCGAGCAACGTTGGTATCCTCAACCAGGAGCTGTTCCTGATCGACGGTGAACTGGATAGGGGCGGAAGCGGCCATGGTGCGCAGGTAGTACATGCCGGTCTTGAGACCCATCTTCCAGCCGGCGAAGTGCATGCTGGTGAGCTTGCCCATGGTGGGCTCCTTCAAGTGGATGTTGAGGGACTGCGACTGATCAATGAAGGCACCGCGGTCGGCGGCCATCTGCAGAATGGTGCGCTGGGAGATCTCCCAGACGGTCTTGTACAGGGCCTTGATATCGGCGGGGATGTTGGGGATGTTCTGGACGGAGCCACCATCGGCGATGATGCGGTTCTTCATGTTGTCGGACCACAGGCCGAGGTCGACCAGGTCCTTCAGGAGCCAAGGGTTGACAACCTGGAACTCACCAGCCAGGACACGGCGGGAGTAGATGTTCGAGGTGTAGGGCTCGAAGCACTCGTTGAAGCCCAGGATCTGACTGGTACTGGCAGTAGGCATAGGGGCGACCAGCAGACTGTTGCGGACACCAGTCTCGGCGATCTTAGCCTTCAGGGAGGCCCAGTCCCAGAGATCGGTGGGGGTGCGGTCCCACATGTCGTACTGCAGGATACCCTGCGAGACGGGAGAGCCAGCGTAAGTCTCATATGTACCCAGCTTCGCGGCAATCTCGTTGGAAGCAGTCAAAGCACCGTGGTAAATGGTCTCGAAGATCTGGATGTTGAGCTGTCTGGCCTCAGGGGAGTCGAACGGCAGACGCAGAGCCAGGAAGGCATCAGCAAGACCGTTGACACCGAGAGCGATGGGGCGGTGACGGAAGTTGCTCTTCTTCGCCTCAGGAACGGGGTAGTGGTTAATATCAATGATCTTGTTCAGGTTGTGAACGAGAACCTGCACGACCTCGTGGAGTCTGCCAAAGTCATACTCGCCTCGGGCAGCGTCGACAAAGGTGGGGAGGGCGAGGGAAGCCAGGTTGCAGACAGCAACCTCATCAGGGGCACTGTACTCGACGATCTCGGTGCACAGGTTAGAGCTACGAATAGTACCCAGGTTCTTCTGGTTACTCTTCTTGTTGCAAGCATCCTTGTAGAGCATGAAGGGGTTACCAGTCTCAGTCTGGGCCTCGAGAATGGCGTACCAGAGCTTCTGAGCCTTGATGGTCTTGCGGCCACGTCCCTCCTGCTCGTACTTCTCGTAGAGAGCATCGAACTCCTCACCGTAGACATCAGCCAGGCCGGGGGCCTCGTTGGGGCAGAAGAGTGTCCAATCGCCGTTGGCCTCAACACGCTTCATGAAGAGATCGGGGGTCCACAAGGCGTAGAAAAGGTCACGAGCACGAACCTCCTCCTTACCGTGGTTCTTCCGCAGATCGAGGAACTCGAAGACATCGGCGTGCCACGGCTCCAGGTAGATAGCAAAGGCACCAGGGCGCTTGTTACCACCCTGGTCCACATAACGTGCGGTGTTATTGAACACGCGCAGCATAGGAACAATACCGTTGGAGGAGCCGTTGGTTCCACCAATGTAAGAACCGGTAGCACGAATGCGGTGAACATTCAGACCAATACCACCAGCGGTCTTAGAGATCATGGCACAGGTCTTGAGAGTATCGTAGATACCCTCAATGCTGTCAGCGCTCATATCAACCAGGAAGCAAGATGCAAGCTGGGGCTGAGGAGTAGCGGCATTGAACAGAGTGGGGGAGGCGTGAGTGAAGAACTTCTGGGACATCAGGTGGTATGTCTCAATGGCCTTCTCAATGTCCTCACCGTGGATTCCGACAGCAACACGCATGAGCAAGTGCTGGGGACGCTCAGCAACATTGCCGTTAATCCGAAGAAGGTATGAACGCTCGAGGGTCTTGAATCCGAAGAAGTTGTAGTTGAAGTCACGGTCATACACAATGGCCGAGTTAAGCTCCTCAGCATGCTTCATAACGATCTCGTAGTGTTTCTGTGAGATCATAGGAGCAGGCTTGTTGTTCTTGGGGTTCACATAATGGTAGAGATCGGAGATGACCATAGAGAACTGCTTTTTTGTTTGCTTGTGGAGGTTTGAAACGGCGATACGTGCAGCGAGAATGGCGTAGTCGGGGTGTGTAACGGTCATGTATGCAGCGGTCTCGGCGGCCTGAGATGGAAGGGTTAACATAATGCCACAGGCTGGGGGCAAGCAAGCGAACATACCAAGTTATCCAGCTCGACGGTGCCAACACCCTGGTAGACACCAGAGATGACCTTCTGGGTGATGGCTGCAGCATCAACGTGGTCGGGGTCGAGGCCATAACAGAGCCTCGAGACACGTGCGGTGATTTTGTCGAACTGCACGCGTTCCTTACGTCCATCTGCAGTTCCAATTCATGTTAGCCCTTGATCTGAGGAGTGTGGCAAAGCCAGATGGCTGTGGCGAGATGAAGGGGCAGAAGCTATCTCTAGCCACCAATGCCTCTGTATATCAGAAAATCATGTATGCACTTACCTCTCTTGTAGACAAACATTTTGAATAGTGATCACTTTGGTAGGGGCTGAAAATAATAGAAAGAAGTGAACAGGTGTAGAACAGGGGTATCAAGATCACGGTAGCCGGAGAATTGAAATGCTATTAGAGTATAGAAGAAGGGGGAAAGATGAATGTATGAAGCCCGTAGAGGGGTGTGAGAAGAAGAAAGATCAGAGGGGCAGAGGAATCTTTGGTTGACTGGACGCGTTGTCTCGCGTGCCCGCGTTTTTTCAGCTTACCAACAGAGGGATCCACCTTTTCCTTCCAAACCTCAATCCTGCCAGGCAGAAAACATCAATTTATACCAGATACGGTTAGCGCAATGATACCAAGGACCTTGGTGTGGGTTGACTAGTGGGGATACAGAAGGCGGTGAAATAGTACTTGCAGCCAAATTGCAGGTCGTGATCGGTCACGTGAACACGCGAGTGGTCGCGCATGGGTGCCATGCTACCGGAAGGGCTGTCGCCGAACGGCCTGAAGCATTCCGGCTCAGATGATCTTTAAATTCCACTGCTAGATTAAGTTGATCTTTGACAGCTTGAGGTTTACCCCACCATATCCTCATCAACATCATATGTAACACCAAGATGCTCGATCCCAACCTTGGAACCCTTGCTGCATTACGCATCGATGTGATGGATCTACATGTACGTTGTACCTGTGGCCTTCTGATCAAGGGGTGTACGGGGATGATCTCGGGAGTTTGTATAGACTGTTTATTCTCTTCTATAGAGGAAACATGCTGTGGGCTCATTGGAATATGTTTACATCAACCGATTGATTGGAAATTGAGGCAGACTCGGGCATTTTCAACTAGCTATGTGGTAAGGTGAAGAGCACCTAAATCAATGCGATTTTGGCAAATAAGAAGATAAAAGTTCAAGGTATTCAAATATTGGCATCAGACGAGCAACATATTAGAGAATTCGAAGCAAATCCCTCAATAACGATGATTCAAATTAGATCGAAAGCAGCAACATCAAGGCTAATAATCCATGCTCGCATTGATATTCACTTTGGGGTGCTCCCAGTTAATGCCAGGTTCTTACAGCAAAGCAGCAGCGCCGAGGAAGACCGCGGCAATAAAGGTGGTCGCGGAGAACTGGCGGCCGGATGAGGCAGCGTTGAAGGTCGGCGAAGGGGTCGCGGCGCTACCAGATCCAGAGGCGGCAGCAGTGCTACCGGCGCTAGTGCTGGAGCCAGTGCTGGAGCCAGTGCCAGTGGCGGTAGAACCACCAGTGTGGGTGGCAGAGGAACCAGTGTGGGTGGCGGAGGCGCCAGTGGAAACAGCAGTGACGAAGCCGGTGGCGGTAGAGCTCTCAGAAGTGCCGGTCGCGGTAGAGGTACGGGTAGTGGAGACAACAGTCGCTAAAAAGAAGATAACAAATAAGTAACCGATTCAACGATGTAACGTGCTGTTGTGTGTTGAATCCTTACCAACTTTGTGGCCGAGCTGGGCGCAGTTGTCGACGAAGAACTTCAGGGAGGCCTCGCTATCGGCACAGTTGCTGGAGATGGCGGACTGGATCTTGCTGGCGCTGGAGCCACAGATAGTCTGCGAATCGGCCGGGTTGGGTTGGTTGCTAGATGTCATCAGCTCCGGACTTCCACTGAGCATTCCATTCCTTCGAACCTACCCGATGACCTTAAGAACACAGGCAGGGGTCTGCGTGGCAGTCACGACATTGGCCAGAGCCACGATGGCAACGGCGAAGATGGACTTGTTGAAGAGCATGATGAAAGATTGGAGATTTGAAATTGGGGGAAATTGGATAAATGATTGGATTCAGGATCGCACAGCGAGTCAGGAGTAAAAGAGTGTGGGCTAAAGAGCGACTGTAGAAAGAGTGTGAAAAGTGAAGGACAAAGAGTGACGAAGTATGTAGAAAGGAAGATAAGGTCTCGACCAGAGGAAACGGGAAATACAAGAAACGGGGGGGAAATTGGGGCAACCGCAGTTTCGTCGCACCCAATCTGGAGATGGGGGTCAGGGTCTGTTACGGTACACCAGGGACATTACAGAGATGTACCTCTATTATTGTGTTTCTCATATTAAGGGTACTTTACAATACCTGTTATATCAATACAGATATTTTTTGTTTCCTATGGCTTGTCGCACTTTGGTTCGAAAGCGGGTTAGCGTCAGGGACCAATCCCCCAGATATAGGAGTGCCAGTTCGGCTAAGGAGTGACTATATGAATATTGTGCTACTTAGGAGGTTAAATTTCAAAATATATCATCTTAGGGGTGGTATTCTGTAGCATTCGAAGTGAGACAGTTCTTTCCATTAATTTCATGTGTCTTGGTGGCTGGTCCAGATACGGACTAGAGCATTCAAGCTCTATTAATAACTTTCAGTTTTAAATGTTTCACAGCAAATTAAAGGCAAAACAACAAGATGTACATTGTACTAATGTGGTAGGACAATCCTACCTAGGTCTCTACATAGTAATACTAACATTTCAACTAATTATCCTTCTACAGAGTATGCTCAGATCTATTCATACAGTGCTGTAGCACTAGAACGAAGTGTCTTATAAAATTGCCATATCTGCAGCAAATCGAATTAAAAGGGGATATAAATGATTTCATGTCAAATGAATAGGCCCTGGAAATGGATAATGCTTAAGCGCGGTACCCATATCTCATTCACTATCAGCGTAGAAGCGATACCTGATGAGTCGACAGGCGTGAGGGTTTAAACAGCTACAGCTTTGACTTAATTGAGTCTTAGATGTATACTATTGCCCTCGAGGGTATCCCTTACTTACTGTTACTTTCAAATTTCAGCAAGACTGATACTTTGTATAAGATTAACAGTTAATTTATCTTCATATCCCTAAATCCACTTGGTGTGAGTTGAAATCTGGATTTATCTCTGTGAAGTTGATTAACTCATTCACCTCGGAATCTCTCTTCATCCCATCCATGCAAAATCCTCGGCCGCCAGACCATCATGGGAACCCGAAATTCTCGAATTTGTACTGATGTGGTTGGTATATAGGGAATGATTTTTTCGCATCCATGTTTCTCTTGTCATAGGTGCCGACAAACCCATGGTTGTGGTATAGATTCCCCATATACATGATTGCTTGCACGAGTTTCTGTCAGAAGTTGTGCTCGTTTCTGGTGAAAATTTAGCTCACACCCATCACCCATGGAGCTTCTAACTCTCCGGCTGCCCTCAGCTTACCCTCTTTTTGCAAAATAATAGTGCCCGAGATAGACGAGCAGTCTCTCCTCTCACGCTACACTTGAAGTCCCCAAACACTAGGTTGAGCCTCCAAGGGAGGATTTCTGACCTTGGTCAAATGAGCGACAGTGATGGTAGCGGATAGCAGAGTCGAAAATCCATCTAGAGGGCTAGCCTGATTTCAAGACTCTTCGTTTCTCACGAATTTGCCCCTTGTAGAGCTTGCACCGCCCTCTCATCTGTCTATCGGTGTCTGTTGGTGACCCATAACCATCGATCTTGGGGATCGCGTCGGCCGGACGGGATATGACTAGGATCTTCACGGTGTCCCCGATAAGTGCAAAACAATATCGTTGCTCACTTTGCCAGCTTCTTTCTCGGTTATTCATCAGGGGTTGTTGGCGTATACCTCTAAGTCAAGAGGCTCAAAGGTGTGGTGAAGGTGTTTGATACCTTCGACGGTACGGGCAATTGGAAGTGCAGATGGGGTGAACTTTCCTATGAGTGCGCGGAAAGACTTTTTATCCAAGAGCATATGATCGGAGCATCGAGTATTGCGTATTCATTCTTTGCTTGTGGTCGTCTCGGACGATTGCAAAGGGGCTCGGTCATCGCAAAATAGTTTCCGTCGTCCGATAGATGCTGCCTGAGTTTTGCAAGGACTCCAAGTATCGGAACGATGCACTTGAGGCGCAGAAAGTCTCGGAGACAGCCACCAGGAGGTATCGTAAGTTGGCTTGTCAAGGCGTTTTCAATCCTCGTTCACCTGGAGGATTTCACGCTCAAGGTTAAGAGAGATGGATGAAAAAGTGTTATGTGAGGTGGTATCTCTCGGTCCGCTTGTGCGTTCATTGATACCATCAATGGCCTAGAAGTGTCCTTTCTTCGTGGGCTGTGGCCCATTGGCATGCTTGTATGATGCCACAAACTGGCGTATGTGGTAGGGATATTGATCCCATCGATGTAACTAGAGGCAAGAAGAAATTAGCAAGCGAACGAGCAATGCTAAATTCTTGACTCACGATTAGAGAGTTGGCGGGGGTGGTCCGATATGTGAAAGGAAACGGTGACAGGTTGAAAAAGGATATACGTGGATGTGAATTTGCTTATGGAGGAATGAGGAAGGCACGCCCCAGGTTATACTCACCTACGCAACCTTGGGACCTTCCTTGGAAGGTTCCAATTATGTGCGACTTAAGTAATCTGCCTAGGTGGCCGCATTGGATGTCTTCAGGTGTCTTTAGATGTATAGAATACTAATAATCAGTAGATTGCAATGTAGATTCTACCTCAGTACTCTCCCGTTTATATCTTCAGTCCAATTTTTCCCCTCTACTCTCTTTCTCCGTCATTTCTTCCCACTATCAAACAATACACATGTAATCGGACTCCCCTCACGTATCATTTTAAACGTAGGAAACGATACGTGCTAGAGTCCACCATGTCAAGATACATACCTACGGTTCGAGAGACTTGTCAACCATCAATACAAAAGGAGAGATCCTTACACCTTCGAGATACGTGTCAACCGGATCCTTGAGGGCTACACTGCTTTTGCTAGCGACATGACACCCTTGCAAGATATCTGCCAGTTTAAGAGGGCAGTCCTCGGCAATCCTCGATGTCGTATGTTTATCCCGCCTAAACCTCGGGACTAAGAAGGAGACCCTTGCTTGATGGTCTAGGTCCTAGATCTACTGCAATTTCACCATCGCTGTGAGGTTGAACTTTGTCAAATATATTGGATTGAAGACAACTTTTGCTCAATGAAAAGCCGAAGTTTTGTCATACTAAGACAGAAAAATAAATCTGAACACTATGACCGTCTCGAACAACGACTACGCGAGCTGCAAAATGATCTCCTTAACTCACGCTTAGAATTTAGCCGCGCTGCCAATGTTTACGTTATTGTAGGCTAATATCAACAGGAGATCACGCTTTGAAGAGTTACGGACCCTCTACACAACTCTCGAATCTATAGAGCAGCAGACGGATGACATTGAGGTAATGATCCGGGGTAGTAACGGTCTCTTCATTACCTTCGTTCGCAGAGTTATATGAACGAATTCACTACTATTCTAGGTAAATCATCTCCGCATCACTACTACGTATAACCTTCCAAGATGGAGGGTTGGGATGTGGATCGCACTCGCTAGATTTAGTAAAATATGCTTACATCGTCTAGATAACAGTGACCATGATTGAATCACTTAGCAACAAAGGATACATTTGGAACTGGCTGGCCCATTGCTTTATTAAATGAATTGGACTTTGTTGACTGGAACTGAGTAAACAGAACTGGAATTGAGCAATTAGAGAACAGCAATCAACATGCCATAATACTACTGATACAGCAAGGGGCATGGAACCTCAAAAAGAGAAGTGAGTACCTATGTCCGACTCTGTGATATATTCTAAATCCTTCTTTCCAATTAGGATATCGCCTTCTCCTTCCTGAGGGGGTCGGTTATATACTGCATGAAATGGGAGGACCAAGGGAGCCCCCAGCACCTGATTTGCGCTCACATGCACTTGCTGTGCAGAGTAGACTTGCTGAACAGATACCGCTGGTGTTGGAGGGGGAATACTGCAGTTTTGTTGGCACAGCCCATCGATTAGAGGGTATGACACGGGGACAGGAGCTAATTCCCATCTCTCAAAGGTGATTTCGGATTTTGTGATGATAATCAGGACAACAATGCGGACCTTTTTGCCCGGATTGGTAAGCCACTCTCTTGCATTGAGACGTAGGCGCGGAAGTGACTCTAGTACACCTGTCTCAATCACTAGGGTCGGCCACAACCCTGAGGGTCTGATTCGGCCACGAAAACGGGATGGTGGTATGAAGGCTTGATCGGCCTGCTTGCCTTTGCTAACAGGAGCTGCAGGCTTATGTGTGGCCCTTCCAATCCACCTCCATTCCTTCCATGACAATCCCATTGACTCGAGTTTTCTCCCGATTACACTGCTGAGATTTTGTCTGACTATCCCGTGGATCATTCCAGGCGGGATTACCTTGATAAGCCCCGTGCTTCCTTCCCACCGGAAACGGTATGAAATTCCCCCAAGATCATCACAGCGCTCGTCGTCGAGAATTTCGATGGCTTTTGGCGTTAGGCCGAGAATAACGATCCATTGATTTCCATCACTGTTCTCTTTCAGTGACTCGCAGATTTTCTTTCCCTCTATCCGTATGCCCGAGAGAGAAAACTTTAGCACAACATGTCCGGGTGGGAGGCGGAGCCTCAAAGAAGATCTGTGAGGTGGCATTGTGGGATGTGATGGGAATTCAACCAAAAGCAGATGGGATTTTGATGGATGTAAGATGTAAGTAAGATGCAAGCTGTAAGTTGCAAGTTGGGTTTGACACATTCATCGATCCATGGATGGATAGCAGCTATAGAAGCCGCTTCACCGCTCCCTGCATCTTCATATAATTTGATCCGTCGATGATATTAGACACATTATAGTAAGAACCTCTTTCAAATGTCTTTTTTGACGGTCTTGCTTCCATAAAACATCCAATATATAGGTGCCAGAGCACCTGTGGGCATCCCAGTGGACTAAACACAACTATTACACCCGAATATTCATCCCACTCTAATCAAAATTTTCATCGCAATTAGTACAAACTATGGATTATTATTTAGTTATAGTGACTCGCGAAAGCCATAGGAGACAAACAACACGAATGCCCTCCTTGACCTAGGCTTCAACTCCACCTAAACCCCCCCCCCCCCCCCCCCACCCCCGCACTCTTGCTACCCTTCGTCATAGGGAACCTAGTACCTCCTTGACGAATACGTAATCTAAAGAGCGCTTCAAGCCTCTTGAATATGAGGCGGGGCGCAAGCTCTTACTTTGATCGGAGCACCTCATCGAAGAACCACATGCTTTGACGGATCGCAGTGTATCGAAGGAAAATGTTTAGCTTTGACCAAACAAACAAAGTTTTGGATCTCCAAAAAAAATCAAGTCTGCTCCATCCAATGCTGTAGAACAGCGGCAACTTGCAGACTATTCTTTTCCATGAACACCATATGTCCATTTCCATGGATACCGATATCCCCCAGCTGGAGGTGTTGCGCCGGGACGCCTGCCTGTTGCAGAAACCGTACCGTACACCAGTCATACGGCGCATGGTAAGACGATTCACTGGTCAGGACTAGGACGGGCACATGAGCGAGATTGACGAGCTGTCTCGGTGCGGGGGAATCGGCCTGGATTACACAGTCGGAATACAAGGGCGAGTTGGAAGGGATAACGTATTTCACGAGATCAACCGGATCAGCCACGGGGGGCGAGTAGGTTAGTGGGATATCAGTAAGTCCGTAAGCGCGTGCGGAGGAGTTGCCGAAGACGGCGTCCTGGAATGGAGGGCCGCTGGGTTCGATCGAGACAATCGAGTGGACGAGATTCGGGCGCACATCTGCAATGAGCCAGGGCATAGATCCGCCCTGGGAGTGGGAGAGGAGGATTACCGGAGATCCGATGGTGTCGAGCAGGGCGGCGCCAGCGGCCTGGACGGTGGACTGCTGATAGGTTGCTGAACTAAGGAACTCGACCGTCGAGGAATAGTAAGCGTCGAAATTTGGGTCGCCCATGAGGCCCGTCCCGTTCCATTGGGTGTGCAGCGACGCCTGTGGCCAGAGATTGTACAGCTTCGATGCAGAGAAGCGCTGTTGCACCAGCTCGGCACTGTAGGTGCTCAGCGTTCCATTGCCAGGGAACCAGGCACTGCGGCCGCGGAAGGTTTGATCAATTATATAGCATGCGTATCCTTGAGAAAGAAAGTAGGAGGCCCAGCCTTCACCTCCGTCGGGCTTGTTAAGCCAATTCTGCGAATATCATGGTTAACTTTTGGGAAGGTAGAGAAGAGATCGTCAATGATACGTACAGTGCCTGTTTGACCTTGTCCATGGATGAAGACAATTGGATATGGCTTGGTAACGCCCGTGGTCGGAGTAAGTTTTTCCACATACATCTGATTCGCAAAGACATGCTCGCCAGCATTATTCGGAATATATTGCCCTCCAACATACATATACGATCGCCGAGCTGGCACCTCCCCGCACCAGCCTGAAGCCGCAGCCATTGCCCACATTAACAACAATCCCGTTTTCACATGCATCTTGCAGAGAGGATGGTCAGCGGTCAATAAAGGAGAACAAGGTTTATCAGGGAATTTATGTATGTTGAAATCACTGGTGCTTTTGCCCAATTCCCTCCGTTGGGCTTGAATGTTTGTTGATCCCCATGGTGAAGATCATGCACGGCACCGGAGAAACCAATACTCAAGCAAGGGGTAACTGTGGTCTAATATTATATATATCGTAGCATGCCACTCTTTCGTAAAACATACTCAATTACCCTCACATTATTCTAAATATATATTCATTCCAAGGTGGTAGTCAGTCAACTTTGGAAGTACTACCTTATTATATAATGTAACATTGGGGGAGGAAGTATGACGGGAGAATAAAATGGCCCCTAGACTTTGCCAAGTCAATCTTGTCTTTTACGTCGCTTTTTCCAGAAGTCGATAAATTCGATGGACCTTTGGGTTTTATATTTCTTTCGGTTATGAGATAAGAGTGCCTGAAAAATGGTTGAAAACTCCACCCATCACCTTTTGATATAGTCCGTCCCCGTCTCAGTTTTGTGTCTATCACTCTTTTTCATTTTCTCTTTCTCGTGTTTCCTTCTTGGGGTCTCCCCAGAGACCTCAAAGCCATGAATTCCACCCTGATCATTCTTTGGATCTTTACTTGGGTGGCAATCGGCTTGATTGTTCTTCGGCTGCTATTGCGGAAGCTAAAAGGACATCAGTTCTCCCTTGGGGATTATTTTTCCATGGGAGCAATGCTCTGTGCACTCGTACGCCTCGCCTTGGTCCATGTTATTCTCATCTGGGGAACCAACAATATGTCTACTAAGCTCAGACATACGCACCATTTCACTCCGGTTGAGATCCGTCACAGAGAGATCGCGAGCAAATTTGTGCTCGCCAATAGAGTGTTCTATACTTCCTAGTATGTCTTGAGTGAAATGGACTTCAGGTCGTCCGGCTATTCTTTTTCTCATATTTCATTTAGTCTCTGGTTGCAAAAATCCGTTCTGCTTGATACATACCGCAGACTGCTCACACACCTTCGCTGGGAGAAGCCCACAATGATCTCGTATATTGGTATATTCGCAGCAACGTATGTTGCCGTACAGACTGTGACTTTTACTGAGTGCGATCCATTCAATCATTACTGGATCGTGTTGCCGGATCCTGGTATTCCCTTCCCTGATTCATTCTCATTTTCCCCCTTGGTTTGTTGAACCTTCTAACCAATGTAGGCAAATGCTGTCAGGCACAGCTCCAATTGATCGTCCTCGGTATGCATTCTGTCGAACGGTGGGTTCAATGTATCTCTAATATCCTAGTTTTCTCAGGTGTCCTCAATGTCGTCACTGATGTTATGCTTATTGCCTTGCCGATTCCAATTCTGGTTATGGTTAAACGATCCAATGTTGAGTAAGATTGACCAAACCTATATCACCATATGCATTTCGTTGACGCATTATCTCCAGGAAACTACAACTAGCGATCCTCTTCGCCGTCGGTCTCTTCATCGTCGCAATCACCATCGCTAGATTACCTCAAAACGTTAAGAATTACTCTGCACAAGTGAACAGAACGACTTGGGCATCCGTTGAGTTACTCGCTGCTGCTATCGTCGCCAACGCTCCCGTTCTGTACGGACTCCTCAAGGGACAGAGGCAAAAGTCCAAAGAAGCCGCATCAGGAGCCAGATCACCGCGGCAGGGTCTTCAAAAAAGATCGGAAAATGCGCCCAATTTCGAAATGCGAGGGGCCCGTCGCAATAAGAGAGGGTCCGATCTCGGCTCAATTATATCATCCAGGAATTCTAGGAATTACTTAGGGGCGCATGGCGAGAGTAGTCATTCGCTAACTCGAAGCCTAGACTTGTCTGAGGAAAGAACTCCAAGTTAAAAGTACAATATCAAGACTCCGCTCTGAGCTGAATGTGTAGTAAATACTATTCCCCCAAAAGGATGCATCCCCGAGTCGCTTCCCCCAGCCCTAGGATGAGGTCAAGGCGTTATATATCATGAGCGGAAAGGTGGCCGTTTGTGGCGTCGTCAATTCACAGGACCTCGGATGCTAGATGACGGCTGTAAGATGTAAATTAGATCCGATACATACATCCATAAATACGGTAGGTATAGTGAGTCGGCAATTCACCATATAATTTAATCTATTTGATCTATAGAAGTCAACGGGATGGCGAACGTGGAAGGTAGGTCTTTGAATACTGATGCTGAGGGATGACAGTCCGAACGCATGTCGGTAGACTGGAAGCATGCACCCCAAGCCATATCAACTCCCCAATATTTGTCCTACTTGAATCAAAATCCTCAGTCAATAAACTATGGACTGTAGATTTTCAGTTAGTGAGAGTGACTCCTGGAAACTATAGGAGACATGCCTGCATGTGTATGTATGGATGGATCAAACCAATCAAGTTTCCAAATTCTTATGAAGTCTTACTGCATCTAGTTGGGTATAATGGCAGCTTTGGAGTATAGAGCCTTGTTAAGTGGAGATTGTAATTCTTCGAAAGATCCAACATAGTTCCGAGACCAAAGCACTAGGCTGTGATAGTCACAATTAACAGGCATAAGAGTACCAAATTATAGCGAGTGTAAGAACCCCCAAAAGAATTATTCAACTAAACTAAGTGATAACCGCTTCTCGCAATGAATTACTCCAGTGGAGTGGTGGTAAAGTGGCGTCCGGGTTCATCTGTAAATTGTGCCACGGATTGTGAGTCATTTCCAACAGACAATGGACGAAGAAAGTCCACTACGGCCTTTTGATTGTTGAATTCAGCCCATTCGAGAGCAATTTGGCCTGCAGGATCTCGAATTCTTGTTGATGCTCCTCTCTCAACTAAAAGTTCCACGGAGTCAAGTAGACCTCTCTCAGCCGCATAATGAAGGGGTGTACCAATACCACTAAACATATTGGCATTATAGTCCTCAGAATCTTGATACATGATGTTGTTGATTGGTAGACCTTTCTCAAGCAGGAACTCCAGAACTTGAAGTCGATCATCAAATTGACGAACTGCTGCATAGTGCATCACTTGGCCTTGGGATAGACTGGCACCATGGTCAAGAAGAATTTGAATAATTTCGAAGCTAGCCACTTCAAATGCGACAGATAGTGGGGTGCAATCTTTATCACATCGCTGGTTGGGGTTTGCTCCGTGGGCTAGGAACCACATGGTTAAATCGGCGTCATGATAAGAGAAGCTGGGATGTATTAGTATTCGAACTAAGAACCAAACATGACTTCACGTACGCTAATCCCGGTGGCGTATTCGAGTCAATCGGCGTGTTAATGTCCCATCCATGATCAAGGAATGCCTGCAAGATTTGGTATGACGTATTTTGCGTCGCCTTCATAAAGAGTCGTGCGCTCATGGGGACTTGATGACCGAGGAGACATTCAACCAGGGAGACTGCATTATTCTCTATGGCCTCGCAAAGTAGGGGGACCGTTTCCAGTTCGAAGGTGTCCGTGTCACTTTTTAAATCGTAAAGCAAAGTATCAAGCCTCTCAATGCTGCTCGAATGAGCATCCCATGACCGAGCGATGATCAAGAGAGACCTCAGGAAATACCCATAGTTCTTGAAGAAGTGGGGAAATGTAAAAGAGGAATCCGGGGCACATGATGCGGGAAAAAAAAGGTCCTGAATTCCGTTCACAGTCTACATCACATCATTCTCACAGACACTAAAAGCGGTCAATGCGTAGAATTTCAAAGCCTACTACTAACTACATATTGAAGAGGGGAACGCTCAAGGCTGTGTGCTCTCGGGCACACGGGTCGATTCGGCACTCGCAATCCAGCACCATACCCAACTAGCATACAGAGAGAACTAGGGATGTTCCCCGAGAGGTCAATTCAGGGAGGTGCAGGGGTGTGTATTCACAATCTATATCTATCTGCTATGTACATACCTACCTAGTTATAACTACCTAGTGTAATGGGGTGCGCTGTCATAGACGCGGGTAATGCCTGTCTGCGAACCAGACAAAACCAGTGCAGGTTGTTGAATAGCGGAAGATAGAAGAAGGAGACCCAGGGGTAGTTTTGTAGGAGAAAGGATTGGCTATTCTTCTAATCTCTTCCAAGGTTGCTTCCAGCACTTAGATAACTACACGTCTTTTGCTTAGTCAGTTCACACCGTCATTTCTCACGTCTCCCTCTACACTAGGTAGAGGAGGCAAGGCCTATACGTGGTAGTGAGGACGAGGTTCCCCACTACAATATGTATGTACTATTAGTACAATCAATCTTAGCTCTATATATACATTCGTATTTCTCCTACCATCTACAACATATCCTGTTACTAGACTTCCGCACCGGCCCACAAAGCCCAAAGCCCAACCCGACCCAACCCGTAAATGGGCCGGGTTTTGGGCCCGGTCCTTAGGCCCATCGATGGGCTATGGGCCCGGGGTGAAAGCCCACTGGGCTTTAATGGGGGCCCAATGGGCCCCAAACAATGCAAACATACTAAGTTGAACCCCCTAAAAGGGTTTTTAGAATTACCCTTTGTTTTACCCCCGTTTCTAACCCTTATTCTAAAGGTAATATTTTATTAGTTTAAATTATTTAGAATCAATTACTAGTTATCTCTCTATATCACGTTCAAAAACGCGAGAAAGCGCGTTATTTAGATAATTTATCAATTACAGAAGTTCACGTAGAAAGTAGTAGTATTCCTATACAAACCCAGGATATATATCTCACCAAAATACTTATTTTCGGAGTATCTCGACCTCTACAGGTTGGATTTTATTCAAAATTGAAATTTATACTTATATAGCTAGTAAAATTCTGAATTCTGAATTTGAACTTTATATACCCAGTGGAAGGTTGTAATACAGCGATTACAGAGGCCGATAAGATGGGCTTTAATGGGGGCCTTATGGGCCCCCATTAGTGGGCTACGGGTTGGGTCAGGTTTCCAAGGTTAGGCCCATAGCCCACTGCGGGTTGGGCTTTGGGCCTAGGGGGGGGGGGCCCATTTGTGGGCTTTGCGGAAGTCTACCTGTTACTACATGTATATCCTGAGGTTTTTCCTATAATAAACTATTATTGTAACTAACCTGCCTGTCTTTCTCTTCCCTGGCTAATTTCGTTGCCTGTCATAGAAGTCTTTTTGTATGACTTTTACAAAATACACAATTTTGCTAGTTCAACATATGAAGTTCATGAAAAGAGAGTGGCATTATATTCATTATTATAGTATCGGTATGTGCTCAAAGAAACAAAATACTACATACATATGCATACTACGGAAGAACTTTGTGTGCTAAATAGTAAAAGCAATGTGGTAAAGTGCGGGTTGGTGATTTGCCAAACTATGGCGCTCAAGAGCCAATACACATGTATAGAATACCCTCACTCCGCTATCAAATGAGAACCAAACTATCATCAACATACACAGCAACAGCTCCTGATCTTGCATCAATGAAAACAGTACCCTCCGCAGGTCCTCGATATTGACTCTAGCTCACGCTGTAAGATCTGAATCCAGGACTGATGCCCTCCCTGCTGAGTATGCTGCGTATTTCTGTCAAGTGATCCTCCAGTGCCATTGTACCTCTGTAGGTGCCACCGACCACAATTGACGTCACATCGCTAGGAAATTCGGCAAGATGTTGATGATAGAGCAAGATGAATTGCCCCATCAAGCGACGCAAATTCGCAATCCCCAGTCTGGGATCTGGGTTGGGGGGAATATGGGTCATAATTGCTCCAGCAGGACTGAAAAGCCCAACAGCTGTGCAACCATTGAGATTTTGTGTTCCGATTGAGCGTATTTGAGCATTGAAGGAGATAAAACGGACATCGTCCATAGGCACCTCCAATACCTGGCGAGCATTTAGAGCCCGATGGAAGCGCGATGTCATAATGTATTGTCCGGCAAAATGATTTAGCTTTTTGATTTCATGTAATGTGAGTGTGTTATGATGATGATAATGATGATTCCATTAACCTGATGTAGCTCGCTATTACATAGATGCTGCTATGCGGGGATGGGTGTGTTATGATATATCTACAAAATACCTTTCATCGAGATCTTCGGTTACAGGTTTTATGGACTCACAAGGACATCAGAGTCCCATTTTTGTCTCGGGGCTTGCTTTCATCCATTGTGCATGGATGGGTTACCAAGGTAAACAGTGATGAGACAATCGCTGTATCGGCGTCTATGCATACTCTTTTTTGGGAATTTTCTATAGTCCCCATAGGACTAGCATCTCTAGAAATATATGCAAAAAAAAGAATAGTTCCAATATTCTAAACTGAAACATCCCGCCATCTCTCAAGACAGCTGGGGTGTTGCTACTCCGAGGTATGCAACCTGTAGAGCATATCGATGTATACATCCTAGTGTCCGAGATTGCCTCTACCTATTACCACCTCTTTACCAACAACCACTTCACTTCCTGGCTATGATATCATGATAAACTAGCTTTATTAAATTTCGTGTGGGTATATTTAAATAACTGTTCGGTTTGTTTCGTCTTCGAGAAACGGTTGATATATATCTGAGATCCACATAGCCAATTCCAATTTAGAAAATCAAACTCCGCGGCACCTCAGTATATGTATAAATTAATTAAATCATTACATCGCATATTGCGGGGATAGATCTTGTCCTTATATATCAATGTCTCCTATAGGTTATGCACCTATACGCTCAGAAACACTAGGTACTAGCGTAGGTTGAATAGCATTAGCACGTTTCTTTATCGGTATCATTGATTGTATATCTCAAACTAGTAACGCAGTAGCGTCTTGGAGATGGGGGAGTATCAATTCAGAAGTATTCGCATGAATGAGCTACTATGGGTGTAACTACTTCGAGGAAAACCCACACTCAAGTATCTCAATGTCCTAAAGTAGCATAGATCGTCACCCTCGAATCTAGCGGCGCAAGGACGACAGAGGCAGAAGAAGGTCAATTTCTCTCCAAGAATTCTCATTCCTGATGGGCAGCCTGCCCTTTTGAATTAATATTGTGCGGTGTCTAAGACGTTGTCCGCAGCCGAGCGTGCACGAAGCACCTCTTCCACTCCTTGGAGCGGTGATCCCCTCAGCCCTCATCAGCGAATCATCAATTTCTCATGGCTTGTCTTTTTGCACTGGAGAATTTCTACAAAGGGCATTCAATCCATTAGCACCAAGCTAGTCTAATATAGCAGAAGTATTATTTCCTACTCCACTTATTTGAAATGGCCTGACAGCTTAGAACAAGTCGATGATGTCCCTCACTATCATCTACAGAGTCCATCAAGTTTTTAAGAATCTAGTACACATCGTGTGTTTCGTCGCCAGAAAACAGAGTTCACACACGATACATCGATTTCATGAACTAATGTGGTCTCAAAGGTGAAATTTTCGCAGATTCTATCCCGACACCCATGGATGGATGGATACTGATACTCAGCAGGGGTGACTTGACTGGATTACGTATATTATCAGATGATCTCCAGGGCTGTACGCTGTGATCCCTAATGAATATTGCTACAATGACAAGCCCACTTTCTCTTTGTCCTTACGATATTTTGGCCTACCGTATTTCCCAGGCAAGCTGCGCAGGCCGAAACACATAGTAAATGCAATAATTTACAACTTGATATCTTAACAATGATGGCCTATTGGGGCTTTGACTTTTAACTTAATACTTTTCATATTATATCTAGCCCCTTGAGGGAGTTTTAGGAAACTGAATAAATTAGTGACTAAGATATAGTTATAACTATCTAGACTTTAGTGATGTAATTCTCGATACCGTGATAATGCACGCTTTCGATTTACTCGAAATTGATATATAATATTAAAAGTGCTTATCGAAAGCTATCGGCTCACAATAAAATAAAATAAAACCGTGGTTGTTAACAAATCAAGTTGTAATTTATTGCATTTACTATGTGTTCCGGACTGCGCAGCTTGCCCGTGGTGCGCAGCTCGCCCTGGATACGTTAACTACTAGTTAACTAGTTAGTTAACGTATTCGGTAAGCGAGCGGCGGACGCAAGCGAGTGGCGGACCCCACGCAAAACGCGTCCATGAATTAGCACTTAGTTAGTTCAACCACCCACTATGCCACCAATTCGCTCTCAATCCTCTACAAATTTAATAGAGCAAGAGGGCAGGCTTTTATTAGCTATCCAGGCCTTTAAAAATCAAGAAATCTCTTCAATTTGTGAAGTGGCGCGCCGTTTTAGTGTGCCCGAAACTACCCTCCGCCGCCGCCTTAAGGGGGTACAGAGCCGCGTGATTTGTCGCGCAAATTCCTCTAAATTGACGGAAATTGAAGAGGAGTCTCTTCAAAAATGGATTCTCTCTATGGATTCTCGTGGAGCAGCCCCCCGGCCCTCTATGGTACGAGAAATGGCGGATCTTCTTCTTCAAAAGCGTGGAACTACCCCGGTTCTTTCGGTTGGCGAAAAATGGGTATATAACTTTGTGAAACGACATCCTCTTCTCTCCTCCCGATTCTCGAAACGGTACAATTACGAACGTGCAAAATGCGAAGACCCTAAAATCATTAGGGAGTGGTTTGATTTAGTTCAAAAGACGATTCTTCAATTTGGAATCGATCCCGATGATATTTACAACTTCGATGAGACTGGTTTTGCAATGGGATTGACTGCAACTGCAAAGGTTATTACGAGGAGTGAATACTATGGTCGGCGTTCACTTTTACAACCTGGAAATCGAGAGTGGGTGACTGCTATTGAGTGTATAAATGCTTCGGGCTGGGCCCTTCCTCCGTGTATGATTTTTAAAGGCAAAGTCTTTATTGAATCATGGTTCGACGGCCTTCCGGGGGATTGGCGCTTCGAAGTTAGTCCTAATGGCTGGACCTCTGATGAAATTAGCTTTCGTTGGCTTGAAAAGCTCTTTATTCCGACTACTTCTTTACGTACGAAGGGGAGCTATCGGCTTTTGATACTCGACGGTCACGGAAGTCATTTAACGCCTAAATTTGACGCAATTTGCGAGCAAAATAAGGTGATACCAATCTGTATGCCAGCGCATTCATCTCATCTTTTACAACCTCTGGACATTGGTTGTTTTGCGGCATTAAAACGTATATATGGTCGGATGGTTGAAATCAAGATGCGGAACGGGATCAATCATATTGACAAACTTGACTTCCTCGAAGCATACCCCCTTACACGAATTGAAGCTTTTAAATCGGAGACTATTAAGAATAGCTTCGGAGCAGCTGGTTTAATACCATTTGCACCCGACCGAGTGATTTCAAAGCTTAATATTCGACTTCGAACCCCAACCCCCCCAGCTAGCCGGGGTAGTGAATCAAGCCGGAATTTTACTCCAAAAACCCCCTTTACGGAGAAAGAACTACGTCGTCAGGCTTCATCAATTAAAGCCTTACTTCGTACAAGGTCTCGAAGCCCGCCTAGCCCGTCAGATCGTGCATTAAACCAGCTTGTGAAAGGCTTCCGTCTTACAATGCAAGGTGCTATCTTACTCGCCAAAGAAAATAAGGAATTACGCGCCGCCAACGAGAAGCAGAAGCAAAAGCGTACTAGATCCCGGAGGCAAATACAGGCAGAAGCAGGCCTTTCAGTACAGGAAGCTTCTCAATTGATTACTGAGCCGGTGGAAGCAATTAAAGCACCTCCCTCCCCTCTACGAAGAAGCCCTTCGCCGGCTTTACAACCACGTACGCGGGCCCCACCAAAGTGCAGTGGTTGTGGAGAAATAGGACATAAGATTAATAGATGCCTAGCTAGCTAGATGATTTCACTGTATTTAATTTAATGGAGTTTTGGTTGACATATTTATATTTGAAATTAATGCATTGGTTGGGGTCCGCCACTCGCTTGCGTCCGCCGCTCGCTTACCGAAGTTAGTTAACGTGGTCAAATGCTCTTATGTAATAGCGGCCTAAGCGGAGCACAGGATCACAATGCCTGTGTACCAGCCTTATTATTGTACCTAGTAGGTGGTATCTATCGATGCCAAGTCTCTTACCCCTCCTCAACCGCTAGCAAGCGACTATCACTTTCATCCTTGTCCACGAGAATACTACTTATCATATTAACGTACGTCTGTTGCTAATGCCTGGCCATTCTATATCTGACGGCCTTGTAGACACTGCCTCGATCCCCGCCGATACGGCCCTTCGAATGGAATCCCACAAACTTTCACCGGCGGCCGAGAACATTCGCCATGAAATCACGCAAATGATATCCGAAACTGCTGCCATTCAATACACTGGGACTCGTGCTATATTTTTAGGTGAAGATGAGCAGGGAGTAAAGGCCTACGGCGGGAGGATTCTCGCGAGAAAAATATCCCTACTGACGGAGGAAATGAATATAGACAGTGTATGTCCAAATGAATTGTTTGCAGAGCTTGTTCCTAACTATTGTCAGAGCTGGAAGTGGCGCGTAGCATATTGGTCGAATCGTACGAAGCTCTTGAACATTTTGAAGCAGGGATACCTGATACCGTTGTCAAAGGATATTCAGCTTGACCCAGGTGGTATATTGCAAGCAGGATATTACATTCAAGTTATAAATGAGCCATGGCTAAGCTCAGGAGCAGCCGCCATTTTAATTGTTCCTCCCTCATAAATAAGAAACTCGTTTCAGAACCAACTCGAATATCGATACCAGGCTCCTAAGATACCAACGCGCTTCTATGGAATTCAGTCCGAATAGCAGACGGGGTTTCTGGCCTTGCAGTTGGTCTCCTATAAACCTTACTGGGAAGATGAAGCCATGAATATCATCAACCTGAGTAGATTGGCTATTCGCTAGGGACATTGAGTCTGGTGAAAGTTAATTGGATAGTGCTTGAATCGCCTTGTCCGGTTGAGTGGGTAGTATTGCATGTGTATCCAAAAGGTTTCCCTGGGAGTTGCCCGATGACTTTTCTGTAGCCCCCTCTGGCAGATAGATTGGCGGTGCTCTCGCGTACTTGTCCGGAAAGCTGCCTGGGGGGCCTTGGAAGTCACTTAAATGACTTTCAGGGGCACTATACTCCCATTCCCAAGAAATTGAATTGGCCAGGTTGCTGCATGCATGTTGAGCACACTGTCTTCAGTGCCCTGTGGTTCACTCAAATAATTCCATGGGGCCCTATAATCCCATTCCAAAGAAATCGGCCAGGTTGCTGCATGCATGTTCAGGACGCTGCCTGGTGGTATATCACTGTGATTATCCAGGCAGTGTTCCTGTGTATCACAAGACATGAATAGAGCATTCGTTGAGTTTGGTATATTTGCACCCACATCCAAGATCCCCAGTGGCGCGTTTGTCGGCAATGTCCCTCCCGCTGGCACATCATCATGGAAGATTAGTGGCATTGAAAAATCCATGCTATCATTATTAGGGGAAGATTGATGCATGTGAGAGGTCCGTAGTTCATGCTGTGTAGAATTTATACCTTGTGGCGCCCTAGGTGTGCTTGTTTGATTTGCTGCGCCTGGAAGATATCGAGAGCCAACTGGCTGAGACACTGATTCATCATTTGAAGTCCGCCATGATGACATCTCCCACATAGAAATAATGTGAGTCTGTTGCTCTCTCCATCCTGAAAGAAAATATGAGTTGTGTTGAAGACGGACTGATTTAGGTCGAATCAATACATACCCAAAGCAATTTGAGCGATCCGAATCTCTATAGGACTCCATATACTATCCATAATTGAATGCGAAAGTCTTTGAAGCCTTTCTTTTTGTACCAGATTATATTTATCGTATTTTTGGAAATGTGTGATATCGTCTGTGGATGGGTTGATATTCACAGCGCGAATGCTGGTGAGAGATCAGCGCCATTTAATTTCGGATATAGCTTGGACTCACGATGTGTGATTGACAGAGTTTAAACAAAATAGAAATCCGAGGCGAGAGAACTCATCTCGGCTGCACCATCCAACGCGTTCGCATAAGTTATATATTCGGCGACCCTGTGTTGCAAGAGCAGCAATCTTGGACCGAAGCTCTTTCGGGTCGCATTTGTTATCGGCATTAATGATTTCCATCAAGATGTCCACCTTATCTGCATCGATGCGTTTACCTAAACGTCGCTTGAGCCGAAAGCACACCACTGCGAGGAAACGCTCTTGTATCAAGCCGGGGCAAGTAGGCTTGCTCTTCACAAAGTTACAGAACCCGTCCAAGGGTGACGCAATAAAGTCAGCCGAAGTCTGGAAAAACAATAGTGGGCTCTTCTCCCAAGCATTCAAATCATCCTCCCAAGTATCCAAGCAATTCTCGGTACCCACATCATTATCCCTATTATTCACCTTGTTCCCCGGTCGCTTTGGGGGTTTCGCTACTCTCTTTGTTTTCTGATTACCATTTTCTAACTCTTTGTTTCTCTTTTTTCTTTTTGATTCAATCTGTTGTTTGGCCCCGTGTGGAAGTTGAGCCCATGCCTGTTGTAGTATGCTCACATCCTGCAAGGTCTGAGTAACTTTCGATATATGATCAAAACAAATCACTAACCTCTGGCAAAAGAGATGAGATATCAATACTATCGTGTCCAATTTCATAGGCCTTATCACAGGCTTTAGACAGGACTTGAATCACCATGCTACTCTGCGTGACGCCCATTACACTGATGGTAGATGAACGGGCACGTCACAGTTTGATGGACTGGCTAGGGAGCAACTGTCTCGGTTGGAAGGGATCATCAGCTTAGACCTAAGAGAGAACACGGAGAGCATAAAAGGATCATATACGGGGGGTTGTCCCTGAGGGCAAACATATAGTGCTCAACGGACGTATGTGATTGGCCTCCACCGTGCTGTATGATGCATCCATGGATATTCATATGCAGCGATACTCACCCAGTGACCTATAGTGTAAGGAGTCCCTCGTGCTCTGTACAGGTGTCCTACGCTTACGACGGTCTGTGCCTCACAGATCAAATCTTGGGCACGGCCCTTCATTTACTTCATCGCTGTTATTCCACACCATCAAAGGCATAGATGGCCCAATATCCTGCTGAGCATGAGATTCTGGGCCGTCGCGTTTTCTTTCGTCTACAAAGTACGGAGTATGTATGTAGAGGCTTTTGACATACGGCGGCACATATAACGTACAGGGTACTTTTGTCCGCGGGGGACTCATATTGGGCTGATTTGCCAATAATCATCCCTGGGCAATAAATACGCAAACTGTACGGAGTACCTAGAGCATACTCACAATTCACCAGACCACCAAACTACATTACTAGGCGTGCCAACGTTCTCCCCTGGCAGAGTCGTCTCTCAAAATACCATCTCTCTTCTGATGTCCTGAGCGTCCTTTATATGGACGATAAGTCTCCTACTGCGCAAATTGTGTTAATGATACGCTGATCAAAGCAATTTCCAGTTTATCATGGGCCTTTTCTTATATATTGATAATTGACATTCATCAAGAAGATGCTCAGGTAATCTGTTCCCATATATTTTCACATCCTTCGGTGAAATACGGCGGGAAATAGACAATCCGCTTGAAACAAAAGGGATTTTGGCCCTGAGGGCTGGAAGCATATGGAGAATACTGGGCCTTTTATACATTCACGTTCTCCGTGTACTATGTATTTTCATCGTCCAAGTTTATTCAGTTAAGTACGGTCCACGTTGCTTATTTGTGCTGTTAGCTATAACCTTGAGCTATCCTAAGAGACTTATGGCCTACTAACTTCGCAAAACAGGGTTGACATGTGTATTCTAAGATCGGCGTACTTGCCCCTTCGCGGGAGATTAAATTTAACCAAAATTCACAGCATCAGAAACAAAGGTTGGACGCTGCCAAGTATAGAGTTCCTGTAAGTGCTAGGCGTCCTGCTCGGTACTTCGAATTGACGAGTAATTCATCAGAGCTAATGATACTCATATCAACATAGTATTTACTGTGTACATCATGGGGCTTCGTCAAGATCAACACAACCGCCCACTCATCATGACATTTCCCAAACAGGATCAAAAATACTAAAAACAACCTCTTGCACCGGCAACCTGTAATCCACAATCTCTTTCCCATTAACCAAATCATTCTCTCTAGCCCTCTTATCCGCATCTTCTGCATCCCTCGCAATTCCCGCCTTAACATGCCTAACCACCAACCTCTGCCTCGCAATATCAAAATCAACATCAACAAACCAAAGCTCATCCATCAATTTAGCGGCTTCATTCCACGGTGCCCGATCCAAACTAAGATAATTTCCTTCAAAAAACACCACCCGACAACTCGGTGCGATGGCAATATCCCCATCAACAGGATCCTTGATAGCATGGTCAAAGCTTGGCGCGTAAAGATTGCCCGTGCGAGCCGTAAGCGGCTCTCGCAGAGCGCGCACAAGCTCGAGGAATTTATCGCCGTCGAAAGTAAACGCTGCGCCTCGTCGGGCCGCCGCGTGCGCCGGATCCGGCATGGCGGCCAACTGTGCACGTGTCAGGTGGTAGCCGTCCATTGGGAGGGCAATTGCTATTGGTGTTGGTGATGCTGGGTTCTCCGAGGCGTAGATCTTGTTAATACGCGCTGCCATCATAGTTGCTAGGCCTGTCTTGCCAGAGCCTGGGATTCCGCTGATGGCGATCATTAGGCGCGCGTCGTCTGCTGTTGAGCAGAATTTTGCTGGGGTGGGTTGTTAGCGTTTTGGACGTGGCTATAGCGTTGATGATGGCGCTTTTCAAGTTTATATGTTCTTCTTACTTACCCCAGGTCTTGTTGACCAGTCGGTCTACCTGTTGATCCATGGTTGGGAGACTAGTGAGGTCACGTTGGGGATCAATTTGTGTACAACAGATGGAAATATCGGAAAGAATTGGCTGGGTGTATCTTTCTGTATTGTTGCAATGTGCTGTGATACAATTGAATGTTGCAGATGGTACAAGGCAATCTTAGGATGTAACTATGTCTTGCCTCTTTGAGTTGTTGCTATATGCTAACTTCTTAACGTATTGGCGGGGCTCTTTGAGTGGGGACTGCTGTACTCCGAAGGAATACGTCACAGAACTTGGCAGGTACAACCAGATTGATCTACAAATTTTAAATGCTTGTTTTGTGTTGACTTCCAAAAAGGTCTTGATGTCCTTTCAATATTAATGGACAATAAAGTAAACCGGACAAAATATGGATACAAAAATATAAGAATACAAGCCCCATAGGACCTGTCAACGCCGTAGAATCAGGTTAGACACGAACTTACTATATAAAATGCGCCAGAAAACGCCATTGCCAGTATCGCCAATATCGCCATAAAATCTCATCCCATTCAACTGTCGCGGTTGGTTCCAGAAGCGCCCTCGGTGTCGGTGGAGTCCATGCTCGTGCTCGCATTGAGACCACGGTCGAGAGTGCGTGCAAGGCCAGCCGCGGCCCACCAGTCAACGGGAATATCCTCACGGCGGGCAAGACGATCCAGGATAACCTGCATATGGTGAAGATCATCATTTTGGTGGTGACGGTCGGAGTGGGAGAGACGACCTTGGTTTTGCCCGTCAGAGAGAGCGAGAATGCTTGCAGGAATGATTGTAGGGGTACGAATGGGAGGATGGTTGCTCATAGTCGAATTCTGACTGGCATAACGCATAACTGCTCGTTCCATATATTCCTGGTCATCATCGTCGGAGGAAGAGAAGTCACAAGGGTTGAGGAGATGTTCATCGGGGTCAAGTCTAAAAAGACCACGCGCAACTTGTGCTACTATCGGTTGCCTCAAGTTAACAGAGCTCCGAGGACGGGGATTGCGCGAAATATCTGGAGTAGCGGCTGAAGTCGAGTTGAAAGAAGTATCAGTCGACGGAAGAGTCGCATCGGGTGTAATTGTTGAGAGTAAAGTCTCCCACGCATCGGTTTCCCGCTCTCCGTCCGGGCTGGGACTGCGCTGGCGATCCCCAAGCCCGTCTATGATGGGGTCTCGGGTTGGTCGAGTTTGTGTATTGCGAGACTGGTGTTCAGGTATATCTAGTGAAGATGGGGTATTTGAGGGTAGATCCGTGTTGTATCTGTCACGCATAGGAGGGAGACGGACGGCGCTGTCTGAAGAGTTTGAAGAAGTGCTGGTGTGGTATGCGAGGGCGGGAGCGAAGTTAGGAGTCAATGAAGGGCTAGCATGGGTATTTCGGTACTGATCGCTCATGCGACCGAGGATGTCGGTAAAGGGTTGATCACGATTAGTCCTGTATCGCCGGTTGACTGCCTCTCTCTGTCGGTCTGTCTCTGTCTCTGTCTGTGTCTGTCGGGGTGCACTCGCGGCACGCGACTGAGCCCAGCTGAGGGCCTCACGTTCGGCCTGTTCCAGAGCTACCGCATTTTCAATAGCCCCGCTCGGCGGTATGAAAGAGAAGCGCGGCACGCGTCTGGTGTCCGCGGCATTTACTCGGAGCTCTAGGCGTCTAGTGTCTGCGGCATTACGTCGGAGCTCATCAATGAGCTGTGACTGATACGAAGACAACACATCGGCCCGGCGCACGCGGGAGCTGAGCCGCGACGGGCCTCGGCGAATCGACGAGCGTGCGGCAGCAGATGGGTCCTTTTCCAAAGCAGTCTTAGGTGCTTCCGATTTAGAAGGCTCACGCCACATACTGTGTATCGAAATCATAATCAACATTGTACCGTGAAGCAGTGGCGCATGCGATAGCTTCGCATTCCAACGGGATGGTATGACTTACGGGATACCCATTTTACTTTTCGTGTAGAAAGCAAGGAGGGAAAAAAACAAAAGGGTTGGAAAAGGACTATAAGTAACAAAAAAAAGGCGATTATAGAACTAGTAAAACGCGACTTGCGATAACGGTGGGGATGGTTGATGGAGACGGGGAGATTGGGTTTTTTTGACAATGGAATGCCTGAGGCTGGAGGTGGCTAGAGTGGCTAGGTCACATGGCATCATATCCAGGGATCTTGCAATTGCATGATCGTGCAATCTGTCCTATATATGGATGGTCTTGGTAAAAGTTCTTGACGGGATTACTGGCGAATTTTTCAACCAACTTCATACAAACCTCTGGATTCTAGTAGATGACAAACACCAGTATGCCTAAGGCATAAACGCGCAGAAAATCACGTGGCAATGTTCCTCCGATCACGGTAAGCTCTGACCTTGAGAGGTGGACTACACTACTGTAGCCCACGCTGATTCTGGCTTTGCTTTTCTTATTGATAATGAAGATTTGGATTTTCGAAACTGCCTGTCATTACCCGATCATTTGGTTGATATTGATAATTAAGCTCGAAATTACCATCGCGCTACACTCGGAGGAATGATCGAGTTAGGATTGAGCCGGGTCGCGAGTCTGCTTCAACAGACTCCACTCTCATGGAAAGCCATTCACATTGCTGGAACCAACGGTAAAGGATCTATCAGTGCCTACCTTTCCCATTTGCTGTCCACCGGCGGAGTGCGTTGCGGCCGCTTCACTTCCCCGCATTTAATTGATCGGTGGGACTGTATCACAATTGGAGAAAAAGTGGTCCAGGAATCCCTTTTCCGACAGATCGAAGACCAAGTCAAACTACGCGATCAAACCCTAGGCATCGGTGCCTCCGAATTCGAGTTGTTGACCGCAACAGCGTTCGAGATATTCAACCATGAACGGGTTGAAGTTGGTGTGGTTGAGGTGGGCATGGGAGGACGTCTAGATGCAACAAATATCCTGAATAATGTTCTTGTCTCGGTCATTACAAAGATAGGGATGGACCACCAGGCTTTCCTTGGATCAACACTTGGGGAGATTGCTCGTGAGAAGGCGGGCATCCTCAAACCTGGAGTCCCTTGTGTGGTAGACAATACAAACAGTCAGGAAGTGGTTGAAACTGTGAGGGCTCGTATTCAAGAACTGGGTATTGATTCCTTGTTTGTATCTCCCGCAACGGTTTCTGCACAAGTTCCGGCACTCGAACCTTACTTCCAGAAGCTTGATCTAGAGCCTCACCAACAAGAAAACATGTGCTGTGCTGTGTCCGCTCTTCGCCTTGCTCTTTCTCAGCTACGACCTGAGATGGATGCATTCTCATTACTTCCATATCTGGCCGATGTAATATGGCCGGGCCGTTTGCAAAACATTGTCCTCCAACCTTTGATTGATCGTGCAGAGCCTATCCTCCTTGACGGTGCTCACAACGCACAATCTGCCGAAGTTCTCGGCAAGTATGTGGACCGAAAAATACGTATTCAAGGCCAACCAGTGACTTGGGTTGTTGCCGCGTCAAGTGGAAAGGATCTAGCGGGGGTGTTTGGTTCCATTATTCGGCCCGGAGACCGAGTTGCCACTGCCGAGTTTGGTCCCGTGGACGGAATGCCTTGGGTCCAACCAACTAATGCCAACGAGCTCGCCTCGTCCATTGAAGCTATCCAAAACATCGGACAGGTCCAGAGCTTTGAAGGAGCTTTACTCCCTGCCCTTCAGTGTGCCAGTGAGGAGGCCCAAGGGGGACCTCTTGTCATTGCTGGTAGCTTGTACCTTGTTTCCGATGTGTTGCGCCTTCTCCGCGCCCAAAAATGATACCCTGTATAGATCGATTGGATTTCCCTAATCTATATCGGTAAATAATAGAATACCTAATGGCAACAACGAGCCTTTTATTTCTTTTTCCACTTCTCGTTTCCTATAGTATAATATAGCTATGTATCAAATCATCGTATTCTTTTTTAGCTGAATAATAAAAATTCCATCAAACTAGGCACTATAGGGCTGATCGGCGATTGTCCAGCACAGCCCTGCATAATGCGGCGGGTGGAGCACAAAAGTTCAAAACAACCACGATTTCTTTGCGAACAACCACCCTTCACGCCCTATTGTCGCCTTGATTAGATCGATATTCTTCAGAACCCTGCATGGTAACTATATCCATCTGAAGATATTGCATGCGCCTCGACTTGTTGTGGAAACAGCTCTCTAGGGCGTGAGAGCTGAAGTGCTGTAATGTCCACTTGGTGAGACCCTCCCCACAACGTCACGCGAATGGTATGATGCTTGTTTGTGTCATGGGAGACTCAGATTAATTGACGATTGTGATTGCCAGAACCTGTGGATATGATCTCTGAGACTGTTGCTATCAGCTCTTCCAAGTTGCCTCCTTCCCCGGCTTTCACCCCACCCCTCCTCTACCTCAAACCACATCCTGAGACCGACAACCAGCTCGAACACATACTGGGACATATTCGATCCTAGCCCACAGCATCATGGTCGCTCGGTCTGGCGAAGGGAGCGAAGGGCAGCCTCGCCCTCTCACCCCCTCCTCGAGAACCCCCGGAACCCCGATAAAGCCGCGGTTGGCACGAGTCGGAACGAGTCCAACGAAACGAGACGAGAAACCGAAGGAAGACAAAGTTTTGAAGTCGTCGGCGAAAGATGTTGCAGAACTCAAGGACTATGTATGGATACGGGTGCCCTGTTTCCCCGCAAAACATGTATTGGGCAGATACTGACCTTTGGTGTTGACGTTAGCAATTGGGAGACTGCCTGGGTAAAGGAGCTTTCGGTTCCGTTTATCGCGCGTTAAATTGGAATACGGGGGAAACTGTCGCCGTCAAGCAGATCAAGTTGACGGATCTTCCCAAGAGTGAATTGCGCGTTATCATGGTATGGGTCCCGATCCTTCTCGGCGTTCGTCTCACCCGCTAACACGCGATGCAACAGCTTGAGATTGACCTTCTCAAAAATCTTGATGTGAGACACCCAGCCAAACTACATCTACGCCGTACTGATATAGATCCTTGCAGCATCCCAATATTGTCAAATACCACGGATTTGTGAAATCCGTTGAAACTTTGAACATCATTCTCGAGTATGTTTCTCTCGGCTCAAGTGCAATGGAACAGGGAATTAATGGTCTATAGATATTGCGAAAATGGCTCGCTGCATTCCATTGCAAAGAACTTTGGTCGTTTCCCTGAGAACCTTGTGGGACTTTATATGTCCCAGGTTCTTCACGGTCTACTCTACTTGCACGAACAGGGTGTTATTCACCGAGATATTAAGGGTGCAAACATTTTGACCACAAAGGAAGGACTCGTCAAGCTTGCAGACTTTGGCGTGGCAAGTCGGACCACGGGCTTGAGTGAATCAAGCGTTGTTGGTACGCCATACTGGATGGCTCCCGAAGTAATCGAGCTTTCAGGCGCCACAACAGCTTCCGATATTTGGAGTTTAGGATGCACTGTCATTGAGCTACTCGAGGGGAAACCCCCTTATCATAACATGCAGCCCATGCCAGCACTGTTCCGTATTGTAAATGATGACCACCCACCATTTTCGCAGGGTGCCTCACCGGTATGTCTTTCTCGATTTTTCAGGCCTATGTATGCAATACTGACTTTATCTAGGCCGTGAAAGACTTCCTCATGCAATGTTTCCAAAAAGACCCCAACCTTCGAGTTTCAGCAAGAAAGTTGCTTAAACATCCATGGATTGTCAATGCGCGCCGAACAGAATCTGTCATCCCCAAGAAGTCTACAGAATATGAAGAAGCCGTCAAGAGTGTTCAAGAATGGAACGAGGCTTTGCGGTCACCAGAAACGGGGACTTCAAAGAAAAAGCAGAGGCCAGACCACCGCAGTACTTCAGGCCTATCATCTACCCGAAATAACCCATTGGTCGATACCCTGCCATCACCAACCTCTATCAAACCCACAGATCGCTTCCGCTCACCTGTGCTAGCAGGAGATGATAATTGGGACGATGACTTTGCTACTGCAATTTCTCCTAGCGCACTCAAGTTGCCGCATCTACGCCCACATGATAACTTTGGGGGCATGCTCTCTTCCGAGAGACTTAAAGCTTTTGCGTCACTCGATGGGACTATACTCAGATCCGATGACAATTCTGATCCCTTTGAGGATACCTCAGGCTTCTCAGATGATGAGACTTTGCAGACTATTCGACCATATCCTATCAAACCTTCTGTGGCAGAGCCCTCCAAACCTCAAAGCCCTGCACTCTCCCAGCCTGGATTCAATGCCCCAGTTTCTGCAATGCAAAACGTCCCAATCCTCACCCAAAATCCTATGCCAAGACGAACTCGTCCAGCTCCTCGTCCGACCAACCTCTTTAAAGAGAACTCTGTCGATGATTATTCTGATCTCATTATGGCCAATGAAGATTCACTAGATCGAAAGTTGGGCGGTTATCAGGTAGAATCCCCGGCAAGACTTTAAGTTCCATCCAGATTCTAACACTTTCCAGGACTTTGAGAATGACCCATCATCACCCATTCATGAAAACATAGGATACAACCAATTGGATGCCGACTTTGGTAATCCGCATCCTCAGCTGCGCAAACAGCTTTCTGTAAAGCGCGACCGCTCTACCATTGAGATCCAGAGGTTTGCCGAGAATGAAAATGATGAGGACTTCTCTGATATACTTGGGGCCGACCAAGCTGCTCTAGATCAGTCAGAGAGTGATGATGGCTCAGATCAAAGTACTTTGATGCTAAACTCAAAGCTGTCAAACTCATGGCTGGGAGATCAAGAAGATGAAGATGACCCCTTCGCGCAATTGGAAGAAGGCTTCGATGAGGTTGATCTGGAAGAAAATATCGCACGTGATAAATACGCACGTCTTCGCAACCAAGTTGAGAATCTTGTGGACTCTCTCAAAACATCCCAAGACGAAGAAGTTCTTGCAGAGATTTCTGAACAGTTGTTCACGATTTTCTGTGATCTTCCAGAGACTAAAAACATCATCATCAGTGCTCACGGCATGCTGCCAATTCTCGAGATTCTTGACACTACTCGCCGGCGTGATATTGTCTTTTGTCTGTTGAGGGTTGTCAATGCAATCATCTACGATGACTATGAGGTCCAGGAAAATCTTTGCTTTGTCGGCGGAATCCCTATCATCAATGAATTCGCATCCAAGAAGTACCCACGCGAAATTCGACTCGAAGCTGCGGCTTTCGTGCAACAGATGTACCAGACTTCCACCCTGACTCTCCAGATGTTTGTCAGTGCTGGAGGTTTGAATGTTCTAGTCGAGTTCCTAGAGGACGATTATGAAGATGAACGCGAACTTGTCTTGATTGGCGTGAACGGAATCTGGAGTGTCTTTGAGTTGCAAGTAAGTATTTCGCGTTCATTGCGCTTTGCATCTCCTCGGATCTAACTGTTTTTTCTACAGGGCTCCACTCCCAAGAATGATTTCTGTAGAATCCTGTCGCGCAACTCCGTTCTTGATCCCTTATCTCTTGTCCTGAGCCGTGCTCTCGATGAAGATGGGGAGTTGACCGAAGTCATCGAGGGTCGTATTGCTAATATCTTCTTCATATTCTCGCAGGCCGAGAATCATGTCAAGGAGATGGTTTCTGAACGAACAGTCTTGCACAGTAAGAATTACTTCGGCCAATAAACCTTTACAATGTTCCATACTGACAATTGGTTCAAGGAGTCTTGAAAGAACTGAGGCGGATGAGCCCAGTCCATCAAATCACGATGTTGAAATTCATCAAAAATCTGTCAATGCTTTCAACTACTTTGGATTCGCTCCAGAATTCCAACGCCATTGATGTCTTGACCGATCTGCTTCGATCAAACTTGAAAAAAGCACACTTCCGCGAGCTCTCGAACCAAATCCTCAACACCATCTACAACATGTGCCGCCTGAACAAGTCTCGGCAAGAAGACGCTGCACTGAACGGCATTGTACCGCTTCTGCAAAAGATCGTACTCACAGAGCGGCCGCTGAAAGAGTTTGCCCTACCAATTCTCTGCGACATGGCACAATCTGGAAAGGTTGGCCGTCGGGAGTTGTGGCGCAACAAGGGTCTGGGATTTTACATCTCTTTGCTCTTAGATCCATATTGGCAAGTCACTGCCTTGGATGCTATTTTCACATGGTATGTTTCCCTTCTCGAAAGCGTAACTGATCCCAAAGCTGACAATGAACGATGATTAGGCTTCAAGAAGAAACTGCCAAGGTTGAAGAGCACCTCTTGGATGGAATATTTGAGAGTGATACATTTGAGGGTCCCATTACATTCACCGGTGCCATTGCGGAATGTTTGAAGCTTTCCAAAGCTAACGCATTCGAAAACACTCTTGAGCCTCTGCAAAAACTTCTTCGGCTCAGCCCTCATGTGGCTGCCACATTTGCCCGGCCTGATATCTTCCAGAGACTAAGGCAGAAGCTGCATCACAGCAAAGCGGCCGTCCGACTCAACCTTCTGCGCATAATAGCCAGTATTTGTGATGCAAACGAAGAGCAAGGTGGGCTACTCGCAACCTATGGTCTACTTGACTCTATTCGAAACATGGAGAACGACCCCGCAGTCCTTGTCAGAGACATGGCAGGTAAGCTGGTTCGATCCAGCGAGGCATACAGCATCAGCAAACGTAGACCAACAGCCCGACGACAAAGCACATGCACCCCCCTCCAATATTATTCTCGGCGTCCTCTACCCCATCCACACCCTCATCGAACCGCACCAGCCAGTCAAGAGGATACCTAGAGGGTCGGGAAACTCCCCGGCACCCGCGAAATTCTCTGAGTGTTTCTTCTCTTGCTATGAGACCTAGCAGCCGAGATGGCAGCAACCCCATTCTTGGGTCTACTGCCAATGGAAGCAGTGCGGCTGCTGCCAGGCCCAGGTCTGCACGACCCCTCTCTAGTAGAATGTCTCACGTTGACCTACTTCGTGAAGAAGACTCCAAGTCTCCAAGCTCGCTAAGCCGGCGACCTTCAATCATCCCTCGTCGCCGCCGCCCGACACTCGCAGACTCTGAGTGGAAATAATTTGACGTCCAAAAATGTCTACTGCAAATTATATGTTTGTGTTATTCTGCTTCTGTTTTCTCTAGCTCATCCTAGCCTGTCATACACAGGTAACGGCGTTATCAACTCTAAATGGACCTTGGAGTGATGGTGCATGGTTTTACTCCTTTGTAACACCCTCTTGTTATTATGTGAGCACTGGTTGCTGCACATAGAGTCTATGGTTTTGCTTTTTTGAATTAATACTTCCTTAATTTGCATAAGTTTTCTTGACATAAGCTCATAAGTAAACAGCCCAGTTGTACAACATGGTAGTATTAGGCATCTCAAAGGCAGTGGGCGAGCATATGTGTTGGGGTCTTAAGGCTAGCCCTTGATATACAGTCCCCAATGACTCCCCCTTTTATGATACGAATTTATACTTCTCCTATGTCTTTAAACCTACTAGTCAACCCCATCGATTCAACATCAAATTGACCAACACCAAATTGACTATGACGTCTGTTATGGATCTATAGATCTTAGCATCACGTGCAGCGCCGAAGCCGATTGGCGGCGAGAACCGTGAAAAATCTAAGCCGACAAAGGATCATACGATGAATTGAGCCCAGAATCGCCTACAAGCACTGTTATCCCTCTCCTATTTTCTCCCGATTTTTTTTCTGGCCGGTGGCCTTCGCTTCGGGATGAGCGCTGCGCTTCGCGTGCCATTGCGGGCATTCAAGATTAATCCCGCGGTGATCGGGAAAACGTCCAAACGCTCGACATCTGGATCTTCCTTTCTTCTGGCCTCGAACTCGCCGTTACGACAGTCGCCCTCTCCCGGTGCAATCAATGCTTCATCATGGGGTCGTTCAGTGTCTTCCCGGGGCCCGACCCTCGCCGCTTCACGCCGTTCTTTCTCTGTGAAGGCTTCACCTCTCTTGTCTGCGGAGACTGAGAGCCAGCATGAGTCCGGAAATAAGTCGAATTCGAGTACATCACAGCGGAGTGTCATCAAATGGTTTCTCATCGGAAGTGTCATCGGTTTGGGCACAGTGACCTTCTCTGATCAAGCGCAGCATGCGTTCCAGGCAGCCAAACGGAGTGGACGTGTTGCCGGCGCACTGGCTGTCTGTATCAATGAGTGAGTGAGCTGTACTGGCTCTATAAGCATTTTTCATGCTACGCCTTGACCAAATCGCTAACACATCCCCGAATCTTCACAGCTACCGCGTTACCCTAAAACAAGATACCTCCTCCCCCGAAGAATATAACGCACTGCTCCGCGCATGCCACAAGCGATGCGCCGAGCGTACACTCCGTGTTCTAGAGAAGAATGGATCGATTTTCATCAAATTGGGCCAGCACCTCAGCAGCATGGGCTACCTGCTTCCCATCGAATGGACCTCGACCTTCATCCCGCTCCAGGACAAATGCCCTATCTCGTCAATTGAGTCAATTAACGAGCTATTCCGCAAAGACACAGGCCAGGAAATTGATCAGTTATTCGCTACTTTTGAACCGACGCCCATCGGTGCTGCCTCCCTGGCCCAGGTACACATCGCTACATTGAAGGAAACCGGACAAATGGTCGCTGTCAAAGTCCAGCATCCCGCGCTGGACGAATGGGTGCCGTTAGACTTGGCTTTGACACGATTCACTTTCTCCACGCTCAAGCGCTTCTTCCCCGAATATGACCTGGAATGGTTGTCCAAGGAAATGGATTTGTCGCTGCCGCAAGAGCTGGACTTCCGCATGGAAGCCCAGAATGCTACTCATGCCAGCGAGTACTTCAAAGAACACTCTGATGCCCCACTGGTCATTCCGGAAGGTTCGTAATACCGCCAATTCTGTCTTTGTATAACTTGGAGCTAACTAGACCCAGTGATGTGGTCCCAAAAGCGTATTCTCGTCATGGAGTACATTGCAGGCCACCGCCCCGACGACCTTGAGTACCTCGACGCCAACAACATCGACCGCGACGAAGTCTCCGCCGCTCTCGCGCACGTCTTCAATGAGATGATCTTCGGCGACAACGCTCCACTCCACTGCGATCCTCACGGCGGCAACATTGCCATTCGCCCGAACCACACCCGCTCACATTCCAACTTCGACATCGTCCTCTATGACCACGGTCTCTACCGCAACATCGACCGTGATCTGCGTCGCAGCTACGCCAAGCTGTGGCTAGCCGTTATCGACGCGGACGTGCCGCGTATGCGCGAGTTCGCATACAAGGTGGCCGGTGTCACAGACGAGCAGTTCCCGCTCTTTGCTAGCGCTATTACCGGTAGAGACTACAGTGTTCTCACGAAGAAGAGCGTTGTTTCTTCGCGGACGGCCGAAGAGAAAGAAGAAATCTCCGGTGCGCTGGGTGAAGGCATGCTACAACAACTGGTTGTCCTGCTAGGCCAGGTTCCGCGGATTATTCTTCTCATCTTGAAGACCAATGATCTCAGTATGTATTTCTCGACGTTCAATTCTTTTGAGTATTGTCGACTAACTCCCTCCCAGCCCGCAGTCTAGACGAAAACCTTCACACACGCCAGGGCCCAATGCGCTCTTTCCTTATCCTCGCCCGGTATGCCACGCGCACTGTCTTCGAAGAGCAGTTGGAGCTCATTCAGGAGTCTGGCGGTATCTTCCGCAACTTCTTCCGTTTCTTGTACATCTACGCAAGCTACCTTCGTGTCGAGGTCAAATTGTCTGTTTATGAGACTTTGCTGTCCTTGAAGTCTCGCTTCGGCCTCCGGAGCGGCTAGACGGTATGCCTTTTCTTCATTTGTTCTATTCTCCCATTATATCCCTTGATTCTTTTTGGTTCATTGGCACGGATTGTCTTAAGTGGTCTATCCGTGCATCAGCGATGGCGTTCTATATTTTTTTCACATATGACCTCTTCATCTCTTGACTGGATCGTTAGAGGATGGATTGTTTTATGTTTTGGACTTCGTTCTGCTGTGTTCTCGCAGAAAACAAAGGTCTGCGGTCTTGTACAGTTAGATAGATTGTGGATAAATTATAAATCATAGACTGTTTCTGACATTACTTTCTCTACTTTTACAGACGGATAATTGTTCTGATTTCAGTGTTTCATTGGAAACTATCAAGGCGCTGCTTTTCAGATAATGGAGGTGGAAGTATCGATCAAGGATCCCAGATACCGAGGCGCCGTCGCAGAAAAAAAAGAAAAAACGTACCAGAACATCAAAAGAAAAAGGGAATATGTACATCAAACAAATGGTCAATTTGTTCCTTTTCATCTCGTCCATCGTCATTCCTTGGCACGCATTTTCAGCAGCGCCAGGTACAACGAATCTCAAATGCACCCCGCTCTTGTCGATTCTCTCCGACAAAACAAGCATCCTTGATCAAATGATTGTGTGTTAGGCAATCACGGAATTAAAAATCGCCGAGATCGTCAAATGAAATGAGTGGGGTTGCGTCATTCAGATGAAGAATCCATCCGACAGGCTCACGCGGTCACAGCAAAGAGAAATCAATTTAAATGGAAGCAGCAGGGCTGCCAGTCTCAACCTTGACATCAGGAATGACGCCACCAGTTCCAGACAGATTTGTGGCACGGGTGTTGGGGTTCTTGGTGTAGTAGTTGGCGATGGCAGACTTGATAGCGTCCTCAGCGAGCATGGAGCAGTGCACTAAAGGGTATATGTTAGCATGTGATCAGACCAAATCAATTACAGAAAGACATACGCTTAACGGGAGGCAGGCACAACTCCTTCGCCACATCGGTATTCTTAATCTTGCCAGCCTCGTCGAGGGTCATACCGCGAACGAGCTCGGTAAGATAACTGGAAGAAGCGATAGCACTACCACAGCCGAAAGTCTTGAAGACGACGTCGTCAATACGGCCGGAATCCTTGTTGACGCGAATCTGCAACTTCATGACATCGCCACAGGCGGGAGCACCGACGAGACCGGTGCCAACGTCCTGATCGGTCTTCTGCATGGAGCCGACATTGCGGGGGTTGTTGTAGTGATCAAGGACCTTTTCGTGGTATCCTCTACGCTGTTGAGCTGGGGCAATAGCAGCGCCGCGGATAGCGGGTTGAGCGGACTGCAGGCCGGTGAGGGGAGAAAGGGTGCTGCGAGTTGCGACGGAGCCGACGCGGGGAGCAATGGTGACCAGGCGCTTAAACATTTTGGATTATGTGGTGATGGGTATTTGATGGGTATTTGATTTCACAGGTAATAGGTGTTGAAGGCGAAAAAAAGATGGATCTGATAGGGAGAAAGTGATGAATTCATAAATAATCTGATCGGACCTTAGATAAGCACGCTAGTCCTAATGGAGTAGTTTCTTTGGCCGGATTCGCCGGTCGTCGGAGATGACAAAGATGACGTTCACTTTTTATCTCTTCTCCGATGATATTTAAATGGTAATGTGCCAAATGGGAAAAGTTGGGGAGCTCTATCTACCAGTGATAGTGCCTGTTGGTGATATCAGTTCTCAGGGGTGGCGACCTTGTCTGCACCACTCAAATTCTTCACGGTGGACTCGATCTCTTGTTTTCCGCCTCTTTGTGAGCCAATTGTTTGGCGATGATATCAAATAGTGGAGAGAAGAACCCTGGCGATCAATTATCAGTTTGATGTTCTTGTGTTTTTAATATACTTTTTATTGACTATCATTACTTTACTCTGTACCTCTACAGTACTTTGTATACCTTATTCCCGCGGAGTTAGCGGAAACTAATTCGGAGTCTATAGTTGTAATATCCGGCTTACTCCCATTTGGATATCCATACCCGAATATTAAGGGAAATAAGAACCAGGCTAACCGCATATATTCTTTTCGGCATCGCTCATTATTCGCTACTCGGTCAGTATCATATCCTACTAATCGAACAGAAATACTTGGCAAAACCAAAAGGTATCTGAGTACGGAGTACATGCAGCTCAACGACCAGTCGCTTTTATTCAATATAAACGACAAATCTCAACCCAGACCCAATGCAAAGCTAAAACTAGATGTGCGACTTACAAAGCCTGGCGAACAGCAGACTTGAACTAACGCACGAGACAAGTTAGCAACAAGCAGGAGAAAAAGAACAACACACCCCTCTTTTGGTGCAACGTACCGGAATAATTTGGGCATTTTCCATATCCCACACACCAGCAGTGACATAGATATCCTGGTTAAGCAGCTTGAGCACTTCGGCCTCATTCTCCGCAACAGCAAGCATCATGCTTCCCTTGAAGGAGGGGGTCTCGCCCTCGGCAGGGTGGGAATTGAACATTGCGCCTGAACAAGAGACAATACATATCAGTACGTATGCCTGAGGACTTTCCATAGTACTCTCTCGACATCTTAACAAAAGAAAAAGTAAGTGAGTCACGTACCGCCGCCAACAATAGCACCAGACTCAACATGCGGCTTAACACCCTCGAGATGCTTACTGGAGACCATATTAGCACACATCCACGACGTAAAACCCTACACCATCCCACATCCGACTCCATATTCTAGGGAAACACTCACGGGCGAACCTCAATACGCTTTGCCTGCACACCGGGCTTATCGGGCAGGATGCAGAGGAACTCTTTCTTAGCAGGTGCGGAAGACATATTGCGAGATTGGAAAATTAGGGTTGATTTTCTGGTAAGAGATGTTTTAATCGAAGTTGAGGGGCAGGAGAATAAATGTGATGGCGGGACGCGGAGGAGCGGTTGCCGCCCGTGGGGGAAAGCGGGGGCTTTACATCGGAGGGTGCGGGTGACACAGAGTGACATGGTGAAGAGAAGAGAATGTATTGGATTGTTGATTGGGGGTTCTGCACGAGTATGTATATCGGTTTATACCGGGTTTTTCCTAGGGCGATTTCCTATTTGAGCCGCTTTCACGAGCTCAGGCCTTCGCTATGAGTTCATGCACGGGCGTGATTATGGGTCACGTGCAGAAATGATATTCTGGCCCCGTCTTGTTACATGCTGTTGCTAGTTCCTTCTCAGCGAGACCTGCAAAGCTGGAATCTCGACGCTGACAGCCTGACCACTCTGATCCAGAGAAAAGATGAACTCGTCCAGGCCACAGCCTCCATATTGGAACTTGTCAAGATCCATCCACGACACACAAGTCGGAGTTCCATTATCCGCCAACTCAGTCGTATCCTGAAAGACTGCTCTGAAAGCCTGCCTAGAGCCAGAGCCAGATTCCTCAACCATTTGTGTGGGATACAATCGAATACTCAGATCCGCCGGCTTCGCGATACCCATGAGCCCAGCGAGTGTTGCGCGAAAGTCGGTGCCATTACTGACAAACTCCTGGATATACAAACCAGGCAAGCCGTCGTATTCAACAGCAATAGACGAATTGAGATTAGATGCCTTGTATGCGCCGCCAAAGTTCTTGGCTGCCTGTTCAATGGCCGTTTTCATTAACGCTACTAGCACGACATCACCGATGATATCCGCGTGCGCGTTGAGATCTGCCGGGGTTTCGTTGTCGGCCGAGAGAATAGCAAAGCCGACGCCGAAGTCAGGGACCAGGCCGAGGTATGAGCTATAGAGGCTCTCGTCGTTGCCTTCGTTGCTGAGAACTGTGTAGATGTCCACCATGGATGTGTTGGGGTATGAGCCGGCGCTGTATATAACCCACGGGGATCCGATGGAGTTGGCAGGGTTGGAGGTGTGGGAGACTGGCTTGAACCAGCGGTTTGTTTGGGGTTTGCTGAGGAGGGTTGAGTTTAGGATTGCTTGGCCGGCTGTTGCGAGATCCTTGATGCTGGAGAAAAGGGATTTTGATCTGGCGGGGGTGCATTGTTAGATTGGTGACTGAGATCTGTGGAGAGGGTAGGTATAGACTTACGCTTTGTCTCCTCCTTGACGTGCTAACCAACCACTGGCTTTTTCGCTCACAGGAATAATTCCTGCAGTGGCTTTGTTTGGAGCGAAGATTGAAGTTTCATTCATGCCCAGGACGTCAAAGATATCGTGTTGAAGGACTTTGCTGAATGGTTTTCCTGTGCGCTTTTCCACTATGTAGCCAAGAAGCTGGAATGCCATGTTGGAATAGCTGGGAGTTCCCCCAGCTGGAGCCACGGGGGTCTGGTTGGCCAGGTGTCGAATGAAATCTATGAAGATATTAGTATACAGATAATAGACACAGACTTAAATTCCATACCGCTGCTATCACAGTTAGATTCACCACAGCAAGGCTTGTGGATAGCCTGGTGTGGAGGTAGTCCCGCGTCAACAGAACTTGTTTGCAAAGTCACATCCTTCGAGCAATCTGCACATGAATTAGGTCTGATCGCTAGCCGTATTCCTGTTCGGTATACTCACAATCCCTCGCAATTCCAGACATATGACTCGCAAGTTGACCAACAGTAATATCGTCCCACTTTACAGGTCCAACCATATCTTGTTCTTCTTTGCTGTCAACCAGCTCAGGGAGATACTTGGTAACAGGGTCATCTAAGACCTGGTCTCCCTCTCCCGCGAGCAGAAGACTCCACACAGTAAAGACCTCAGTGAGACCACCAATGCGATAAATACTGTCTTTGTCTGCAATGTGGGATCCCACTGAAGACTGGTTCAATGTAGGGGCTGTATAGTGATATTCCCAGAAGAAGAGCTTGTCTTCGGCATTCCCAGCGTTGGACGAGAACAAGGCGATGCTAAACGTAGTATTCGCCGAGATATCTCCATGAACACCAGTGTTTGTTTTGACTAGCGTATCAAACTCCTGTGTGAGTTTTTGCAGGGCACCTGCAATAGTTTTGTCATTTGTGTCCAGGGAGAACGGAGGGAATGCAGGGCCGAGGAGCGGACATGGGGTGAAAGAGAAGGCCGAAGAGAAGAGCAACAAGAATGTCAAAACGTGAGAGATTGACATCATTTTGAAAGAATTACAATTAGTTTGGATTTTGATTCTTGCTTCCTCCATAAATCTCTTTTATATCCAAGATCGGATCGGTGATGATGAAGGTCTTGGCGGTTTGTATACATCGGCTCGGCGATACGTAGAAGCATCGGATCACTTCAACTCCCAGCACTGCTGCCTATTCATATTAGCTCACATTGGGGGTTTTTTATGTCTTTTTTCACTATCTGTTTGATACATTCAGCTTCTAACTGGAGGGTATAAATACGAAGAGGTAAGAACAATGCTAACAGTAGAAGATCTATGAGGTAGCCCCATCAAATGAAACATTCCATAATCATACCTAGTCACCCATAATCTGCTCAAGCGAAGATGTAAAGAGAAGATCATGGGGGATTTGCAAGTCCTCCGAAGACAAAAATGAATCCCCAATAGGGAAATCAAAATGCTCCGCAGTCTCCGCGGCCCCCATAAACCCGTCAAGGTCTGTCAGTTCCAAGCATGACGTATCTTGAAAGTCTTCAAAGCTTTCCTCGGTGCGGAGGTTTTCTTCCTGTCTATCATTTGCCCCGAGCCAGTTCTCGATTTGAACTATACGGTTTCTAAAGTCGAAGAAAGCATCTCGAGCGCCATTCATATCTACGTCAGAAGTAGACAACGCCTCAACTCTCGATCTCAATTTTGAAAGAGTATCTAGGAAGGCTGTAGTTTGATCTGGCTTGCAGGCTGTCGCCGTGTATCGATAGACAACTAGCAAGGCAAATGCCATCTGTACCCATTGCGTGTTATTGAATCCAACTTCCTCCTTGGATGGAAATCGAATGTACAGATTGAGAATCGAAGTGGCTGAGATAAATGCAGAGAAAGACATTTCGTCTCTCCAGGAGTTGGACTCGAGCGGTGATTGGGACTCTTGATTGGTGATATTGAGAGCTAGTTGGTTTAGGCAAAGCCCTGTCGCGTGGTATTGTATAGCAAGGAGAACTTTGTTTACAGCTATAAATTAGTGCCAAAACCTTTTGTTAAATTGAAGTTAGTGTTCTGTGGACTTACAGCTTTCGTTGATATTGAAGGGTAGATGACGGTGAAATGCCTCCAAATCCGATTTTAGATTGGTGATATAGAGCTCTGACCCCGATCCAGGCGTTTCCAAGTCAAATCCATGCTTTGCAGATAGATGGTCAATTTTTTCTGCAATAAATTGGAGCTGTATCACATAGGTGATGTATTTGTCATGAGGATACTCGTTAGTCTCGTAGAGAGACTTGCAACACTCTTCCTGGTACGGAAGACGTAGAATAGTGGATTTCTTTTGCACAAGCATTGCGATCCTAAAGTGAAATAACTATCAGCCAACACTCAATAAGCCCCGATGGCAGAGAAACCCACGATGACGATAAATAATAGCAGCCCAAGACAGCCCTTTGCTCGTTGCTTCCCCAAGAAGGGCGATTCAACGTCTGACTCTGCAGATTATATTGAAGCCCAAAGCGCAGCTCTGTCTTCCACGTCCGTGTCTGCGGCGGACGATCCAACCGCAGATCTATCATAAGGCTTATAGCCAGTTGGAGGAATTGAGTATATCGATGTGGCCGTGAGTAATAATGTGACCTGCCATATGTCAGATGCAAAATCACGACGTCAAAGTATTGATAGGTCAAGATTTACCATGCGAGGAACACCAACAGCCCTTGCAGCAACTCAAAGGAGATTTCCCCACCGATGACCATGCGCGATGCGACAACTTTCTTGACTTCATCCCCTAGCGCCCGTTGCAGCGGCATGTTCTCGTACGAAGCTGACGCAAGGATTGCTAAGCATAAAAATGGCTTCTCCTGACGGAGCTGCCTAACAGATACATCAGGGGGCACAACCACAAAGGGGAAGTGTGGGGTCAGTTTGGTCTTGAATGCACTTAGGTACCTTTCGGCGGTCTCCATGTCAAGGAAGTCTCGGCTTATGATATCTTCAAGCGCAGTATTGCCCTCGGCTAATGGTGTGCTGCGCGTGCTCGTGTTAATGTCGGTTTCTTCTGTTGGACCAGCGCGATTGGCCTTAAGTTCATTGATCTTCGACTCAAGAGCCGCGATTTTACTGGGTGATGAGTTAGACAATAAACCATCCATGGGCATTACCATCTTTGAAAGTTTGCTCACCGGTCCTTTTGGAATCCATTAAATCGACGCCCAGTCTGGCGGTATACACATTCTTTTCCCAAACGACAGCACCTGCGTAGCTTAGATAAGCTTCAGTTTTCTTCCACAGAGAGGTTGTTCTATCCGGTTTCCTACCGATTACATGCAGCGATATCGCTATCTCTGACACATCGCACCTTGGAATCCGCGCAACTCTGGCACGTTTTAGATACGGGAGGCATGGTGTTGGTTCATCCGATGGCACAAAACCTGGGCCGACTGTAGTGGTCATGTAGATCCCATGCTGCAGTAAAAAAAAAAAGCTTGGCCTAACGATGCGTCTCTTTGAGAAAGGACAGGGACAGTATTAGGCGGATCGAAGGCGCCTTGGTTCAAACAAAGTGGTTTGGTGGATGTGATGCTATCCTTTCATCTTCTGAGAAGAGTTAGGCAAAAGATCTCTCGGGGTGCTTCAAAATGATTACGTTGCCTTTTAGCCTCATCTGCACATGTTTTTGGCCCCATTTCTTGTAAGTTTGGTATCCAGCTAATTGGTTGCTTGAAAGATTCTCGACTTTAGTTTGTTGAGTGGGGTTTTCAAACTGACAGAACTGGCAAAACGGTGATCTACGATATATGTGTACCCAACGGTTGGCCCAATATACAAGGAGGACCTTGGAGGTCCCTTGAGAAAGTACTAGTACTTTGTACCTCATATGTAGCATTAAATATCCCATGCCGCGGCTCTCATTCCTTGGTATAAAAAGCATTGAATGTTCATAGATTTATTAAGGCCTAGCACCTCAAATTACCAAATGGCTGAAAATATCCATCTGTTCAGCATGTAGCTGGTCACCAACACGTCAAGATGCATGCCGTTACCAGAGCCACATGGAGCTTTTCTACGGTGTGAGCAATCGTGGGGTATGGTCTTTAGGGTCAAACTTGATCCTATAAGAACGCTTTATCGAGTCGCCCAGCTTCAAAGCCCCTAATATCCATATTTTGGCAAAAATTTCAATCTCTATACACCAAATCGTTGAAAGTGGCAAGAAGAGGACGGGACATATTTTCTCCATACCAAACGAATTCGAGGTCAATTATTACATGAACTTTGGTCAACGATGCCGTTATCCAACAAAGAACGTGTTGCAAAACAGATCGCTGAAAATGTGATATAGCTTCGGGAGCTTTGCTCAGACCGAATAGAAGCCATCAGCGGGTAACCACTCTAATCGCCCTTCTTTTTTCCAGATAGCTATGGAATTAGACATGGGTCATTTCCGTCTGACGATAACCCATAGGTTAGGATGTCGTTAGCTCTTGACTAAAGTTACGGAGGATGTTCGTTTGAAATTGCGTCGGCGAATGTCAGCTGCGGCCCCCTATATCTTTCTTTACTCACGGCGACCTCACCAATACCAATACGATTTTCGAGAACGGTAGTCTAGCGGGGATTCTAGACTGGGAATCCCCAGTCTTTTCTCCTGTTTGGTGGGAGTTTACTGGTGTGGGAATCGGCCTGGGGCAAGATGATAAAGAGTCGAACGATCTGCTGTGCAAATATTTGCTGGATCATACCAAGGCTCGCAATTTTTGGTTGGATTTCTTTGCATTGCGTAAGTATCCCTATTGGATAAGAGAGGACTTGAATTTCTGAAGGAATGTGGCTCGGGTTTGCCAGAGCAGAAACATGAGCTTCAACTAGCCTAACAGCCGAGAGATCTGTTATAGGATATCTTCAATTAAACTACTACTGTGCTACTTGGAGGATACATCTTGGGCTTTTGCAGGGAATGAAGTCGTGTAATTGATTATATACATGAAACTCGATAGGCCAGTGCGGCGCGGATATCTGCCTTGCTTCATCTGCAAGCAATCCAGACTCATCACACAACATCTGGATCGCAACTGAGTTGGCCTGATATCCTGCCTCTCATCTCAAAAACAAAGTCAAGGACGCCAGCTCAGCATATGATAACTCGAACAAAAGAAGAAATAGAAAGGACAATGTGGAGTTGATCTGCATAGCAGAATCAGAATCAAATTTGGAAACAAGAAAACGACACATGACAGTAGACGGTCCGGTTCTCGGTCCCTAATGTAGGTTTGCGCAAGAACATATGGTCGAGAGTGACTCGAGTGTACATGGATATACACACATCCTCATAACTCGGGATGTGTGTCTCACAAGACACAAATTCGGTATATCAAGGGAAGAGGCCTGGAGAACCGGCGAACTTTATAAACCTGCGACCCGCCAAACAACATTTTCCCCCGTAGCGCCAAGGTAACAAATACACACACTCCCTAGAACGCGGCACGAAAATACTGTATTAGGGAAGTCATTAGGCTCTCCGTCGCGAAACATCCATCCAAAAAGTGAAAGAAAATGGGTAAAGAAAATGGGTAAAGAAGGAAATGAAATCCGCTGTGATTAAAAGCTTCCAATGGGGATCATCTGGGAAACACACGAGCGGTCATGAAGACTGGTGGATGTTCGAGGACGGGGTGGAATCAAAGATCAACTTGATCCCAAGCGAGATTTTCGGCGGACGGAATTCAGAAACTAGAACGCTTTACGATCTCCGAGGTTGCCGGGCTTCTCGTCGGTATCAATGTGCCAAACCACGTAATTGGGCAGTCCAACGACCTGGTAGCCAGCTCGCTTGGCCATGCGGGCGAAACCTTCGGTCTCGGCTTGGTTCTCGAATGCGTATGCGGGGAAATTAATTCCAGAGCGGTGCACATCGGCCTTGACGAGGATATTGACACCACCAATTCCGTCAAGCTCCACCTCATCATCCTTGTTGTTTCGCCAGTCGCCCATGCTGACCAGGTATGTGCGGCCAGTGTCGTACTCTTTGTAGCCTTCAGCGAGAACGGTATCGGTAGGCAGACTTGCGCGCAGACGGCGGCCCTTGTCGGATTCGATCCATGAGTTGTAGTCGACTAGGAATGAAAATGTCAGCAATATAAATAGCACATGGGGCGCCACATGGATACATACAGCGACCCTCGATATCATGGCCATCCTGATTGTAACGGTGGAACCAGATGTCTTAAAAAAATCTCCGTTAGCTAGCTGTCCGACACATCCGACGAAATCACTTACTTGGCACGAGAATGTCCTTATCGTGGGCCATGAAGTCCTCCAGGATACGCTCGGGGCAGTCGGTAATGTCCACATCGCGCCAGTACACCCAGGAGTGATCAGCTTTCAGAGCCGAGTAGAGGAGGTAATTGCGGGCACGGGCAATAGCCTTGCGTCGTGGGCCCTGTGCGGCGAACGAGTGTCGCTCTTCCACATTCATCTCAACGTCGGCGCCGAAATCCTTCTGAATAACGGTTGCACTGCGGAAGCGAACTTTCTCCTCGGCATGGTTCTGGATGCGATCGAGTTCGGAGGCGAGGTTTGCGAGTGTGTCGTCCTTGCAATCACCAACGAGGAAAGCCAGATCGATCAACTCGTGTGGGTAGGACAGTTTGTAAAGGAGGTCGAAGTATTTGGCCAGGTAAGGAGCGGCATCACGAAGAGGAGTCAAAATGAGTACACGTTCGCGGTTTATGGCGGCTTTGGAGGTAGACTTGATCGGGTTCAAGTCGAGATCGACGATTGAGGTGGAGTTGACTTCGTAGGGTTCATGGCGGTTGAAAAGGACGGGGGTCTGGGCGTGCGCACTCCATTCGACCATCTCGTTAATGGACATTTCCATGGGTGACTTGCTCGAACCATAACAGTAGAAGCTGTTGGCGCCAGTCGGGTCAGTATGGATGTTTTTCTCGATGGATTGCGCGTTCTCTCACCTTTGCATCTCCGATGCAGACCTGCTTACACCGCGCCACATGAGGATCAGTAGTCCCGTTAAAGCAATGGACACCAAGAAGCGAGTCCGTGTTAATAAAACGATGATTACCCTCCATGGCGGCAATCTGGCCTTGGCCGATTTCCAATTAACACCGCCCTTTGGCAACAACATGATGAGAGATGAGGAGGTGCGAGGTGTAAATTTTCAGGGGCGCCCGTCTCGAACACTCGTCGTAATCCCCCCAAACGAATGTGGCGAATAGAGGAGGATCGAGAAGAATGACGAAGTGAAGGGTTGATAGGGAGAAAATAGAATCGGGAACGGGGGAAATGCGTTACTTGCCAAGAACGGCTAAAATCAGTAATACAACTACATTTCTGCAATGTGAGCATAACTTTCGTAGTATACCTCTTTTCTCATTAGTTATTAGGTCTAGTTATTTTACTATATTGAATCAAATAAGCATATCAAGTTATTTATTTACTTTGACAGTCTTCCCAACACACCAAGTTGCCGAGACTCTTTTCCTTAATTTTTATTTATAGCCAAGGCCTTGGATCGTCTAGAACTTAGGGGCTAATTGGATATGTATGTACGGAGCACTATGACTTGGATACATAGTAGTATATTGTTTCTTCTGTCACCACGCAGGTACGAAGTACAACTAAATGTGCTGTACTCTGTACTCCGTACTCTCTGGCCTCCCTAGACACTTTGCAGGGATACACACCCAGCACGTAGTACTTTTCTCTTGGTCTCTCAAATTTGAACCTTTCTTAATATGCTGAGCGGTGTAATTCTATATATATTTTCCCCTATTTTTTTTTTTCAATCCTCTTTTTTTTCTTCTCCAATTTCTATTTTAAATTAATTACTATAAATTATTCCATACAAAAAGCAAAGTAATTAGAAAATGACAGTGCAATCTCCAACACGAGGTTAAAATGAGACATGGCCTGGGCCCAACCATATTTTATAACACAGCCTACGGAGTATACCTATACACCTCTAATTTCTACAGTGTTTAAAATAACCTGTAGAGATTTGAACTGCTATTCATCTGAAAAAAGCAACCTAACCTCTCATCTCTCACAATCCAAGTTGCCTGATGGAACACTTGTCTGTTTCACAAGGTCTAGACTAGTCCCCACCTGCTGACAGACTGGGACGGCCTTTAATCAACAGCTGATTCGTCCCAGGCAAAAAGAAGAAATTCTCCATGGTATCGCTTGGAAATTTGTTTGCATTCTCATGTTGTAGGCCAAGTATTCAAGGAATGTTAAGGAAATGGCTGTATGTTGATACTATCCGCGAAAAAGGGGGGAAATACATATATGTAAATTCTGTGTTTGGCTATAGAACAAAGATAGTGGGCATTAGATACATATTCTCACAATTCCCATGGCAGTAAAGCTTGATAAAAAAATAATAATACATCGTGTATTCCACATTGTGCTTAGTAGATATACGCACATAATATGAACTGAGGATCCATTAACTATTTGCTAAAGGCTTGTATTATGATTAAATGAATACATCAGACTCGCTTTCTCGAAGAAAAGTTGCGCTAGCTCTAGGTGAGCATCGCAATATGGCTAACTAGTACTCCGTACAAGACATGAAATGAGGATATGCGTTATTGAAACTCAAATCAGATCTACTGCATTTCAAATCATTTCAGAGCTGATATGAAAGTTGTACATGGCAAACTTCAGCGCATGTTACAATCTAGTAACTTACCGCTGTGATCCTACAGAAGAGCATGATGTTCATAGAGGGTGATCCATTGTGTCATAGCTATAGACATTGAAAAAGAGAAACGACAAATGAAATAAGCAAAGACAAGAAGACAGAATATTTCCACCCGAACACATATATCCATGTTATAGACAACGCCAAAAGACAAGAAACAAGAAGTAAGACAGCCACCGGATTTGTCCAAGAAAAAAAGCGTAAGGAAAGCCAACGCACAAAATCGATAGTCAACAAAGGGAAAAAAATCAAAGCAGACTGTGAAGCTCCTATTCATCCCCAAGATCAAGGGAAAAAGATACTGTTACACAATGCAGGCGCTAAATGCACATGGAGCGGGAAGAGGACAGAAGGACTAAGCCAAACTGACCCGAGAGTAAGGGAGAACAGCCACTTCTGCAAGGGATTATTGGGGGGGGGAAGGATGCAGCACAGTGAGAAAGGTAAAAAAGGACTCGTGATATCATCAGGGAACAGTGTTCAATATTGGGCGTGCATCATTAAGCTCCACTGTGGCTTTATGGAGACGCAATGGTGGAGTGGCGACGGGACGGCGCGGGGAATGTGTAAGAGGAAGGCTGCGAAGGAGGGAATGCAGGAGAAGAAGGACCAGTCATAGGCGGAGTGGAGTGGTAGTGAGGTAAGAACTACCGAAAGACTGCGAGGTCGAGCTAGGCATGGAGTCATAGAAGGGAGCAGAATAGGAAGGCTCGCAGGACTTGCTTGCAGCAATCTCATCACAAAGTACCCGCATGCCAGGTAGGCCGTTCTTCTTCTGGCGCTTGTGCTCGGGGAAATCAAGGACAGGAGCGGGGCTGGTGCTCTCCGACTTGGGGGAGCGGAACATCTGCTCATAGGACTTGAGCTGGAACTCTAGTGCGCGGTTACGGTCGGCGAGAATCTCGTTCTCAGCCTTAGTGGCTTTGAGTTGTTGCTGGGCAGTCTGGTTCTGCTGCTGTAGGGAGCTGACTAGCTGCTGCAGCTGCATGCAGCGGACCTGGGGCTGCAGCTTCTCCGAGAGCTGCGGTGTGACCTGTTCCTGACGGATAAGGTGAACGATAATGGCGAGCATGAAGTCTACTAGGTAGATGGCTCCTTGCACGATATGCTCCTTAGATTGAGTAAGGCTCTTGGAAGGATTCCAGCCTGCACGCTCGAGGAAGAAATCGTGGATGCGGCTGTCTAACTGGCGGTGCAGCTCGCTGAGATTGCTCCGACGGTTGCCCTCTGCAATGCGGTGCTTCTCACGCTGGTCATCTTCAACGGATTGGGCACTGCCCTTACGCTTACGGCCGCAGAGCTGCTGCAGAGGGGCCTTGCGGTTAAGGTTTTGTGGGGCCACTAAAGCCATGATCTCGCTCTGGGAGAGATCAGTGGGCCAATCAATCGAATTTGACTTTTGCATGGCAAAAGACTCTTGCCAGGAGCTTTCAGCGGAGTTGGCTGGCGACGGAGGTGCGATGTTCTGCTCGGGAGCCACCCAAGACGACTTGAATTGGAAAGTGTCTTGGTGTCCTGGTCCGGGGGTGGTAGGAACAAGGGCTTCCTTCACGTTGAATGGGCTGAAAGGACCGCGAGGTGGCAGAGGCAAAATCTGAGGAAGAGGGGGCAGTCGACGCTCCTCGCCCACATCAGAGGCAGCCATGGCAGTGCTAGAGGTAAAAGAACTTGAATATATGTTAGGATATGCATGCTGATCCTGGGGCAATGACATGACTCACGGAAGAGAGCAGCGGCGGGAAGTATCGTCAGTCATAGAACCCATCTCCTCATACATCATAGTTGGCCGTCGAAAAATGCGTGATATGTGCAGTGGCGAGTGTGTTGAGTTGGGTCAAAGTAGGCCGAGAAGAATATATACTGAAATATCACGGCTGATTCGTGTTTCTGTGTAGATTTGGTTGGTGAGTTGTAGATCGGATAGCGAAAGAGGTAAAAATAAAGCTGTATATGCACAGTAGTAATGGACAAAGGGGGCAGGGCTATAGACAGTGTAGAGAAGAAGAATAATCAAAATATACACGAGGCAAGTGTATACAATTAATGAGATAGTTCATGGAGAGGAACACCATGCGGGCTGGGATGCATGTTTATATGTACACTAGAAGAGTGCTCCGTACTTTGGCCCTTATTCCCAGATCCAAGGTCCGGGAGGACCTAGGCGAGGGGACCCATTCACAACCAGGGCTGATCCTCGACAGACATGAAGCGCAGAATTCGGATGTCATACAGACAATGGGTGCTTTTTTTTGCCCCACAGCTTCATCACGACGGGGAAGCAAGATGGGCATCCCGGGTGGATGCTCTGGACCACTTGTTAGTGCCCGCTTGGGCCGGGAAGAAGCGTCAGAGAAGAAAATAATTATATTCCGTATCACAGAGATTATCTGTCACATACTGCCCAGACTGAACCTCACATATGTGCCAATATGTACCAATATCTTGGATTAACGAATGAGGGGAATGCGATCCAGCCCGAGGGGAAGGTTCACGATGATCCAGGAGCCCTAATTTGTCACCGAGCTGTTGGATGTTGCGATCGACACGGGGAAGATTTTTAGTTTTCTAAAGTCATTATGGCCCTTGCATCAATAGTTGTCCCAATTAATGTCGTTAATGACGTTGGAGGTCTTCTATCAAAACCTCCGGGAAACTGATCCGGGAGGTGAAGAGTTCGCGAGAATGAAGCCGAAAAAGAAACGAAAAATGTTGAATCAAACTAAGATCTAGTTGCATATTCCACCGTACCTATGTACATCAGCGGCTATGTCCGTACTCATCAACAGATCCCTGCTGGGATCTCCAAACATGGTGAAACGCTTTCCGTAACACAATCTCAAAGTACTCCGTATGTCGATCTCTTGCATGGATAGTCAGGAGAAACTTCTATGATCGTGTTATAGTATCAAGGGGTTGCCCATAATAAACGAGCTCAGACGCCTTGAGGCGCTTCTGGCAAATTTAAATTGCCCCTAAGGTAAATAGAGTCAAGCAAGGACCGCGGGAGTGTCATCTTGATACATGCGAGGAGGTATAAACCTCAACAAGAATCAGGGTTATAGTTCTATACAATGGAGTCGGGAATAATTGATCTACCAGCAGGAGGCTATAAGCGCCATTGACGGTCTCAGCGCTAGAACTGGAACATATCATTTAATCCGTATCGTCAGGTAAGCGAATGACCAGAAGAGGCCACCCGAAGGGACATGATCCTCGAGGAGACCAGCGAGTTGGGACAGCCGAGACCCAAAGACCAGGTACGTTTTCTGTCAGAGCGCGAATCATTAGGATCTGCATTATTTGGAATTTTTGGCACACAGACGTTAGAGACTTGATATGTCAGATGAAATGAGTGCCTATGTTAAGTTTATTGGTTTATTTCAAGCCAAGCCCTAAAAAAAACCCTAAAACATGGACACGTTCCCCCCCAGTGGAGATGAGGAGATAGCCCTATGTTCAGTCACCATCATATTGATTTCATTTATTTTTCCCTTTGCGTCTCTAATCTCAGAAAAATGTCAAATAATGTACTCCATACAGTATCTAATATTCATCCCTACCTCTTTCCCTGTCTTCGAATAGGCAATGGTGTGTTGTGGAAATAGAGCTGTCATATTCCCCCTTCCCGTCTTACCCAACAGTCAATCAGCTTGCCTCATGGCGACTCCATTAAGCACACTAGTCCCACGTTCTGGCCGTTCGTGTTCACAATCCCTATTATTCTGTTTATGTTTATCGTCTTAGTACTCCGTACTCCGTACTTTGTAGTGTTGTGACAAAAAAAAGCCACACAAATTATGAACTTGTAGTTCTATACTCTGTACATTCTATTGTAAAATTCCACACCAGAAAAAGATAACCTCACCTGAATACCCCCTCTTTTGCGCTTTGCAGACTTTAATCTGAAACTCAGTTGCAATAGTTTCCCATTCCCTGTTTCCAGCGTACAGCATATGCACCCAATCGGTGGCTCACACTGAGTTTCGCACGCCTATAAGCCATCTGCAGATGGCACGTACCAACGTTAACTCGAGGACAAAACTCACACACGAACTATTCTAGTTCGGCCGAACTCTATACGTTGTAGCTCCGATCGTTCCCCGGACCCATCTGGGCCCTAGGGATCTTCACGCCTGTCCTTTTGGCTCCCTCCTTGTTTACCAGTTTAAGTGACGTGCATCTAGGATCTCCTCTCCAGATTTTCCGTATACCAAATTGAAATCTTTTGAGTTTCTTAGACGAGGAATTAAACTCGTATCCCGATTCCTGGGTCTGATGCTGAAGGTTTGTCTCGACCTAATTGCATCGGGATACGTGTTATCATGGATGTAGACATCTACTCCACGGACTACGAGGTCTAGTATCAACGCCACCTGTATGTGTTCTCAGACCCGATGACCATACTTTCGTAGTCCCTCTTTCCACATTACACAGCATTAGCTACAAGCACGGACGAGATCCCGTCCCGTGCGGCTCTCATGTGCAAGGAACAAGCCACCATATGCAAATTTATGACCCAGTTTCTCAGGTCCTCTTCGCCTCCACGGTCTCATCATAAAGCTTACAGTGCTCTCGGCGCCAATGGGCGTATCCGATGCTTTCTTTCTGCCAAATCATTCCCAATAGTCGCCTCTCCTGTGCCGCTTCTTGACCTGTCGAGTACCAACTGTCAGGGACAGAGCGGGGACGGTATAATTAGTGGAATCTTATTCTAAGCTATAGATTAGTTGTATGGGGTACTCCATAGCTGCAAATCACTTGACTGATAATTTGAGATATCCAAAATACTCTTCCTGGAGCTAAACCCTCGCCAAGCGTTGAAAAGGCGCCGGCTCATGCACAATGCAATATCCTCTTCCCTATTTAGACGATGTAGCATGGCGACTAGGATCAGGGATCTTGTTTTTACCACGGGTGCCTAGCCCATGGCGCAGATTTGCCTATGGAATGTGATTCGATCGGTTTCGTCAAGTGCAATCTCGACCTCTCTCGAAGGCCTACTCCGTATTTCCGTACCTTTCTCTCCTTCTGTGTGCAAGGCTTTTTTTTTCAAGGATCTTCGTGTATTATTGCCATGTTTAGTTCCCACTTTAGATCGCCCCTCCCAAATTCCGTACATACAGTACCCTACCGTCCGTGTTGTCTCCCCACTGGAGAGCCTAGAACTTCCCGCTTCGTTCTGTTTGAGTGGTAAGCATCGAAATGTAGGCTCGTGTCGGAGTGATCCCACGACGGAAGAGGCTGTATATACTTTTGGTTTATTCGATAACGGAAGGTTATTTCCGCAAATTGCCTGGCCCATTACGGAGTACAGAGTACTCGGTTGATACACAATAATTGTTATCCCTGTATATAATATTATGTAATGTCGACGGAGGCATTAGCAGCAAGGGCAGACCATCATAATCGTTAGCCAAAAGGCCATGTGGACCTCAAGTTCCAACTGCCTATTTTGTACGGAGTACGGGGTACAATATAATATTGTGTGCAAGGTTCACTACTGATTGCCCGAATAGGCAGAAAGCGTTTATCGTTCAGAAGTACTCCGTACGTGAGAAAGAAATCCCAAAACAAAAGCGCAAAGTCCTCAAATTTCCCAATAATAAGAAGGAGCACGCAGCAGCTCCCTAATCCCTGTTAACGCAATCGATCCTGCGGACAGGAATCTATTCCCCGACTGGTGCAATTGCCACCGGCTCCTGCAAGGACAACTCCCTAGTATACAAATCTAGCAGGCGCCCGCTGTACATAGTACATACTTTGTGCGTATGTTGTAGGGACTATTTCTGGAACTCAAATTCGCCGCATCCGAGAGGTCACACTCGAGGGGCTTCCGAAGTGCATGCATGCATACACATACACATACAGCAAGTACTATATGCTGCCCCGTGGAGGCAACATAGATACTATGTGGAGCGTTGAACAACGTACATTTTGGTCTCATTCTATGGAGTAGAGATCGCCTGGATCTAGTTCCTACATGATGCATTGCGGTATCGATTCCCACCACGGTGCGCTCAGGGCCTCCACCATTTCCCATTACCTGGATCGCATGTTGCCCCCCATGCAAGGCGGATGTATATTCTGGTGGGCCAGACCTGAATATGTATATTCTTATTCAGGTACCTTGTTTTTCTGTTCTCATTTCGACCGAAACGCATCATATTCGTGCGAGATTTGACTCACAAAGATACCTACAGTAGCGGAGTTCCGTGAGGAATAACTCCTTACCACCTCGATATTACGCTCTGATCTCTACGGAGTACGCCGTAATCTCGAATCCCAGCTCATGTCTTGCACTCCTATCTACTTTCTTTTTCGCGCTGAGCCCAGGCTGGTCGGTAATCAAGCGAACAGCATTGCCTACATACGACGGTGGCGTTTTCTCATATTCTGATCTAGTTTCTTCTGTTATGAAGCAAATAAAAAGAGAGCCAGTGTCCACTCTCAGCACCACTGGAACCCATAACCAGCTTATCTTGCCCATTCCTCGTTCACGTCGATACGTCAATACGTCGTTGCCAAGGTACATCAAGGACACTAAAAAAAGTCAGCCAAAGTACGATGTACAATATACAGTTGTACCACGACGTCGAGAGTTTTGGCCAATCGGGCTATGCTCGGTGCTACTCTGCTCGCATTCATTGCAGATCAAATTGAAGTATACTTTGGCCTTGTAGATCTACGCTTTTGACGTCGAGAGATCAGATTGTTTGATAATGCATCTCAAAGGTTTCAAAGGAGCGACCCGAAACTTAGAGGAACAAAAAGTACGTACAGAATAATAATTTATCTACAGAAAATGACACACACCATAGACGGATCACCGTCGGGGCTTTCCGTCCCCCGCCATCTGTCTTTATCTTCCAGTTTTTATATAGTAATGGCCCTATATTCCATCCTGTGGGTTTCAGCCGTACAGGCACGGTCTGGAGTGCATGTAGGTCGACACATGCGGCAATCTTTGGATGCAAGCATACATCCAACGCACCTCCACAGTCGTAATCTAAATCCGCCACTACTGTATACGACCTGTGGTGTACACGGGATTGTCTGTTTGACTGATTTTCACGATGAAGAGTTCGTCACTTGAGATAAGATTTTAGCGACCGTAGACTAATGCAAGATGTTCTTCAGAGCGTAACGATCGCCGATTCCCCTCTTTCCGGCCACCGGGATAGGATCCGGCTCGCTCTGCATAACTATTTATTGCAATCAACTTAGTACTCAAACAATCATTTACGAGCATACTTCTCTGTACCATATAGCAATATCCCAATATATGTACTCCATACTTTGTAATAATATCTACAGAACAAAGAAAATAGCATACATATAACAATATCCACCATGATTGACCAACCCACTATCAAAACCGCCAACGGCCAATCCTTCCTTCACCCCCATATCGTTTCCGGATATAGAACTAGCCAATCACCCTACGATTAGCTGTCGCTACCCGTGTAAAACTAGCTGCGATCCTAATTTTTTCGCGCTTCGGGGAGGGGCCGCCTTCGAATCGGATTGAATGACGTGGTCCGGCGCTGTGGATTCGACTTGTCGAGTTTTCCCCAAGATGGATTGGCTTTGGCTTCTCCATTTTTCACGCTTTTGAGGCTTTGATGCAAGTCAGAGTACAGTCCTGAAACGCACATGGTAGCTTAGTATAATGTACTGAGGCAGCACTGCCTATATTGCACTATTCACATATCCCTAGCATAGATATATATACACAACGGGTGTCTATTTTTTTGACACATGCAACGCAATAACATATGGACGTACCTACTTGAGAGTAGATACTTACTGGCCTACAGGGAATACTATTCTCATTCTCAAACCCTGTAATGTAACTAAGCCTCTCTCTGATTCTCCCCCAAACCAACCCACCGGGGACAAACAACCCACGCCTTGCCACTTTACAACCCCCGATAGAGAGCAAACAAACCCAACAGCCATCCAAAAAGCACAAGAGTATCTCGGGAACGACTTCCCAACTTCCTATGCTCTCTAGCCCGTCTTCCCGATCTGTTAATTCCCGCATTCCCACGGACCAGATTCTATGATCCATCCCAATACTAAGGAAGCTAGTAGCTAGCCCGGGCCAAAAAAGAAAAAAGAACAACGCACACACTGTGGTCACATGGATATGTTCTACAGATAACCGATATCTAGCGTCTAGCGCTTAGATTGTATCCACCGCAATCCTGGTCTTTGTGATGCTGAATAGATATGAACTCGGATTCGGATAGGCTGTAGGAGTGGATGGTAGCATGTATATAATGTAGCTAGACGATCTAGGTAATATGGCGTGCTTGGTTCACCGGGGATGTTGTTGTGTGTGTATTGTGGATTTGGATGTGGTGTTCGCCGTGTTCGACTTTCCGATGCGGGAGTTGGAAATGGGGAGGTTAGGTTCGATCATTGCGGAGATTTGACTTTTGGGAAGCGGAAGTTGATATATATATATAAGTTAGTTGGAAGTTAGAGTTAACACTTGAGAATTGAATATGACGTGGTTGTGGGAATTCGTGATGGGTGGATATATCTCGTGTTGGTAACAGCCAAAATTAGAAATCGTTTAACGTTTCGGGCTTTGGTCGATTATGGAAAATCGGGCGATCGGTGGATATGCCTAGACGAGCGGCAGCTAAGTTTGCGAAGGCACAGTATCCAAGGGGGTATGCCGAGGCCTAACGGATGAAGGGAAAGTCGCTGGCTCTTCGATACTACCAAGACTACTGTGATAGATGTGTCGAAGGGAACTACGTTGCTTGGGCATGAACATAAGGGGTAAGAAAGATACAATTACAATCATTAGCTCGCACGCAACTAGAGTAAAAGGGAATATTACGGCATAAAAAACAGCTCAAGGAATGTTTACACAAGAAGTACAACGAGAACCGAGATCCCACCCACAGGCTCGAAGCAGCCTCCCCTCTCGGCATATCAACAGGGAACGATCAGGTTACAAAGTGCAACCAAATGCATTAGGACGCGATGAGCGAACATTGAAACATAGCAAAACAATAAACAAAAAGGATAAGATAAACTCCTTCCTGGTGCGCGACGGGGATACGTCTCCCGAGGTCAGATTCCATATTGCGAATTTTCTCCACGAAAGACCGAATTATTATCGTAACAACTGCAATGTGGAACGAATATTGAGATCGTTGCTTGGTTGACTTTTATACAAAAATCCCCAAGTTCATTTGAATCCTCCACTAATCAATCGCTTACAGGAGCTGAGCAAGAGCACCGAAGATGGCGGCGAGACCAACAACGGGGACGTTGGCACCGGTCATGAAGGCAGCACCGGAGCTGGTGCTGGAAGAGCCGCTGGAGGTAGAGCTGGAAGTACCGGATTTGCCGTTGGAAGTGGTGGGGTTGTTGGTGGTGGCATCACACTTGAAGTTACCCTTGATGACATCGTCGCTCTTCAGCTTGCTGAGGTCGTCGCAGCTGAAGTTTCCGCGGGTGCTCTGCATGTTGAAGCTACCCTCGACATCCTTGAGAGCACCAAGAGCAAGCCTATTCAGTGTTAGTATATATATACGTAGATAAAGCTGTGGGAGCAAGGCCACTTACTTGTTGAAGGTACCGCTGAAGTCAATGGCACCGTTAACACGCTGGAGCATGGGAAGGCTGATGGTGGAGAGCTTGTCGTCACGGGCAATAGTGAATCCACCGTCAACGGTCTTCAGGACGGGCATGCTGATGTTGGACAGCTTGCTGTTGTCCTTGAAGATAAGATCACCGGTCTGGGTGAGGTTGGGAGCAGAGAATGTCTCAAACTTGGTACCCCAGAAGCCGAGCTGGCCGGTAAGCTTCTCAAGAGAAGGCAGGGAGATGGAAGAGATGTTCTGGAAGGTCATGTTGGTACCGGTGCCAAGGTTGGGGAGGTCAATCTCGAGGGTATCGAAGTTACCCGAGAAGCTGATCAGATCGGAGGCGTTCTGAAGGTTGTTGATGTTGATGGTCTTCAGGTCACGGTTGTTCTGGATGCTGAAGATACCAACAGTCTTGAGGGAGATACCGTTCAGGTCAACCAGACCAGTGTTGGCGATGATGACATCACCAGCCTTGGTGACACCGTCGCCGCCGAAAGTCAGGGACTGCAGCTTAGGGAGAGCCTCGAAGTTGATCGAACCAACGGAGTCGAGCTGAGCGAAGTCGAGCAGGGTCAAAGTTGTGAGTCCCTCCAAGTCGAAGCCCTTGCCGATGGAGGTGAGGAGGCTAGCGCTGATGGAGCTGACGTTCTGACCACCAGAGCAGACCAGACCACCGGTAATCTTCTCGACGCCGTCGATACGGAGGTCGCCGCTGTAGGACTTGTCGATGGTGATATCACCCTTGATGGTTTCGCAGGTGTTGATGGCATCGGCATCGCTCTGGGTCTTAATCTTGGTATCGCCGCAGTCGGCTGTAGGATGGCACTGTTAGTGGATATATATAGAGAATGACAGGAACAGAATACTCACGGGCAGCGAAAACAGCCTGGCTGGCGACCAGCGCGGAGAGGATGTACTTGAGAGACATGATAGATTCTAAAATCTTATGTGTCAGCGATGAATTTTTGAATTGGGACTTTTGGATCAGGGGAATTGCGTACCGATTAGAGATATTGGAAAGTTAGAGGGGAATCCGCAACGAGTGATTAGAGAAGAAGCGCTTCAAACGAGAGGGAAGCGGAAATACTGCCGAGATGGACAAGGCAGGAACTCTCAAATATGGTAAGAACGAATGGACGAAGGTTGGAGGAGGGAAGAAGAAGAAGGAGCCTTGGGCGAGGAAAGGGGAGAGAGTGGAGATTGTTTGTATTCTAATCTTACCAGGTGCCACTTTTTTTTTTTATGGCTGTGCCATACCAAGGGGGGAAAGAAAACATACACAGTACCGCATCCGGCGTGTCAGGGACGTGCCAGGGTAGTTCCAGGTATTTTATCGCTAATTCTAACCTGACTGTGCAGCCATTTTTACCAAGAAAAAAAATTACCAGCCACTAATAAACTGAAAATTACTTCAAAATTACTCAAATGAAACAAAAATAACTCAATTATCAAATCAAATAATATTGGCCAATTCACCAATTCCTGCTTTTGGGCGCTAGACTCTTGCACGCTTATCCCTCTCCATTCGCCCCCCTTTCTCCATTAGAGAATTTGGTATTTTGTTCAATTGTTTCCATGGAGAATATTCTGGGAATTTAATACTCCGATGTCATTGTTTACATAGTAATAGCTATGGGTATACCTAGATGTTTTCGTCACTTTCAAATGAAGCCATGCACTCGGCAAGGTACCCTGTACAACTTGACGGTGATCAGGCCTCGGCATAGTGTCATAGTTGCCACTTCTGTGCAACCATACCCCGTACTCCGTACAATCATTTGCAATGCTATCTTTGTAGCTTTGCTTGGCCCTATTAAAAGTACAAACTACATATATGTAATCACATCTCCACGGTATTTTCGACACTAAAATCCCATGCCAATTTATGCTCGAAAGGACAGATACATCCTTAATACTACTAGGATCTAATAATAATGCATAAATACTAGCTTGTAACAAGCGTGCAATCCTCCAGTTCGACCGGTCAATCAGAACTTCGCTAGCCAGTCAATCAACGGCCCCATCCTACCTATCGCTTGTTGTCGTCATCTATACCACCAAGCTTAAGACTCCCCTGTTGATCTTCAGGTGTTTCGTGCTGTAACTTTGCTTCTCATTGGATCTTATTGCATTTACATGAGACAATCTCCAACCCTGATAGATATTATTGTACAATATACTTGGCAACCACCGAATCCCTACAACACTATCACATAGCAACCATTCTCCCCGAAACACTAGATACTGAACACGCAATCTTCAAATTCGTCGAAGCTTCTCACCTTTGATAGTGGGCGATCTAAATTTGCGGGAACCCAAGCCTTCTCTGGACCCGCCCCCTGCCGCTATCGTCGATTGGCATGCACGACTCCTGATTGGCACGTTGGAATGACTCGCCCTGGATTACTGTCAATCCTCGCTGTTTTCCGAAAATACAGATCTACCTGAGGCGAAACAATCGCCTCCTCGCGAATGAGATATGCAAATTGTATCAGAGAAAGCCTATCAAACCCCTATTTTATGCGCAATGCGCACAACACTTGTTATAATACTCCGTACGGAGACTCCGTGAGTAATTAATTATCGGAGATCGATAGTCGATCACAACTGATTCTGTGAAACTCCGCCACACTTTTTGTACCCGAGTACTTTTGTGACGGGGTGAACAGGGTACACATGCACCTACCTTGCCTATATTGTGCGATGTACAGCTTTAAATCACAATGATGCACCTTCGAGTTGGTCGCAAAAATTCGTCTGGAAATTTTCAAATGTGCAACGTACTGACAAATGAAAATTTCAAACATCTGTGCGCTGTCGGTAATAATGCAGAACCGGCTATAACTTTGGCTCCGGGGGAGCTTCTGTCAATTAAAATGCGACGATCAAATTCTAGAGCTTCATCGGCCCCGTAAATTTTACGGATTCAATGGCATCTCGTTCTTCAAGACCCAATGGAATTGATAGTATTGACAATGGAATATCTACAAAATGTCCCTTTTTGAATGGCGACAAAGTCATTATATTTTTGTCGGAGACGTTACGAAGTACAGCCCTGTGTACGGGACTAGAGTTGGCAAATGTTCCACTCGATACGTCTCACCCCACTCGTGTACGCTCCACCAATCCGTTTTGCTTCGATGGGTTAGAACCCTATCAAAAAACCGGTTCATGATATATATTCTACCTCTTTATAGAGCAAGGCCGCGTTGTCTTGCATTGAAATCCAGGTCTGCAGAATCGCATAAACCTAACACACGCTGACCTGACTGAATACTTGCCCGTGCTCGTTACGCCACAAATATGGGTACAACTCGGCATTAAGCTAAGCCCAACTCTGTACTGGCGGTCCTATACTTGGCCGCCACTTGTCACAAAACGAAAGACGCCTGTGTATGGTGATTCATAGCATTCAATTCACATTCCTATCCTGCCTGTTCGGGAGGCCAAGAGAATGACCACGCACCGGAATGCGTGGAACTTTCAGGTACGGGTGTATAACTATCTATCTAGGGGTCGCGAATGGCCACATTCCCTAGAACACCAGACCATTGAAATGTACGGAGTAAGCAATGCACAATTCACTTACCCGACCTCTCTGGGGTATGTGTTTTCACCCTAATCTGGATTATCTTGGTTGGACTGCAATGCGAAGCTTTTCTGCCTTCTTGTTCTTGTGTGCTGGCTTCTGAGGCTGGTCTCACAAACAAGGATTCATTCTTGTTTCGAATTGATGCACGAACGTCTTTGGGCATTTGACTCGCTTCGGTCTAAATGCTAATCTCTTTTTTTTTTTTTTCAACGGTCGATCTCTACTTGTCTTAGATGAACAGTTGGTTCATCTCCACTAATTTTTCATTTTTTTCATTTTGTTTCTTACCGGATATAATTAGTCGGTGATGGGGTCAATAATAGAATTGTAGTCCACTAACGTGAATATGGGTGTTTCATGTAATATATATGTACGGAGTAGCTGAGCAATACCTTCTAATATAAAGCCATATAAAGTCTCTGATTATCATTAACTATATCTACATGTACATGTGCTTGATTCTCGCTTGTCGAAATTTCAAGGTGTATTGTATTACCGAGCATTTATTTCAATCTCGGTCCACGGGTGTTCTTGCGGATAGTTCCTTGGAATTGTACCGCAGCGGAGTATATTGCATCCAATCGCGTGACTTCTCAGTATAAATCCAAGGTACAATCCTCTCTTCCTGTCTACCAAAATTGGGTTGCCATTGCCATGGAGTCAATGGGATATTTATAGCCTATGTACTTAGTAATATTGACATATACCAGAAAAACTATCTTGGTTTAAATACTTGGATTCGGTTTCATGTACGGAGTACACAGTATGGAGCATATATGTAGGCTAAGATGTTTCTCGACCATTCATAAATGCATATCATAACACCATTCACAATACAGTACTAAATAATAGAATAAAATAGGTCATATGGTCATATCACGCTCGTTGCCAAGATATTTCAAGAATCAAGCTGCGAGTCATTTCATAGTGTCTCTCAGCATCAAATTTCGCTTCCATGTGTTACCTACTTAGACAAAGCCTTGCCACTAATATTCAGCAGCAGTTAGCTCACAAGTGAGCTGCATCATCCCATCTTCCATGGATAGGCATAGATTGAGTGTGTGAATAACCTTTCTGGGCTCCAGAGGTGTTTAAGGGTCTCTTTGTGAGGAAGATTTATATAGAAGATATTGGTCAGAAGAGAGAGATTGAATTATATATTTAAATCTATATCACATGTAAAAAGTGCTATCCCGGCAAGAGAAAAACAAAACTAGTTATCATTGAGAATCATGCTCAATGATAGAAACTGTCTCTGCCCAGGCCATTGAAAAGCGTCATCATTGTGCTTGGCACTCGTGGGGTAGCGCGGCGAAGCTCCAACTCCACCTCCGCAAACCCTAGCTTCGCCTACAACCCCCTCGAGACTTTCTCAGATCCAGTATATAGGTCATCGAAGACGAGTCATCCCATCTATCATTCAAAAATGTCACTCAGACGCTCAGCCCGACTGAGTTCCATTCCAACACTCAAAACACCACTACTCCAAAGCTCAGCTCCGAGCGAAGCAACCAGAGTCCAACGCAGTGCAGTGACAAAACCTCGCAAGGCATCCACAAAGCCCAATAAATCAGATAAAAAAGCCACAAAGACGAAGCCAAAACCAGGGACCTCCTATTGGTCCCCTGAGCCAGCAGTCACAGAGAAACAAGAAACAGACAACCAGCCCTCAACCACTAACCCCCCGATATTCAGACCCCAGACACCTCCTCCCCTCGACCGCCCCGTTGATCCGCACCGCACAAACGCAACCCTCATCACCCCCCACGGCTCAACAGTAAACGCCTACCCAGCGCGCGCAGAAGATGCCTCCCCCTCGAAAACCGGCCTCCCACGGCCAATGGCTACAACAGGGACACTACTCGAGAAAGCCACCGCGTACCTCATAGCAGCAGACCCACGCATTGCAAAAGTAATTGAGAAACATCCATGTCCGCTCTTCTCGCCTGCCGGCCTGGCAGAGGAAATCGACCCCTTCAACAGCCTGGTCAGCAGCATCATCGGTCAGCAAGTCTCCGGCGCGGCAGCAAAGTCCATCAAGAACAAGTTTATAGCGCTGTTTGATTTACCCGATACCATTGCGCCTGATGGTCATAAGCATGCAAAGTTCCCGACCCCGGAACAGGTCGCCAAGTGTGATATTCCTACTCTGCGCACAGCGGGGCTATCGCAGCGTAAGGCGGAGTATATCCAGGGCCTTGCGGAAAAGTTTGCTAGTGGGGAGCTTGGGGCGAGAATGCTAGCGCGGGCTACTGATGAGGAGTTGTTTGAGAAGCTTATTGCTGTTCGTGGATTGGGGAAATGGTCGGTTGAGATGTTTGCTATGTTTGCGCTCAAGCGCACTGATGTGTTTTCTACTGGGGACTTGGGGGTACAGTAAGTTCTTTTCTTCTAAGGTTAATTTTGTTCTATATGTATGCAGATTCTTGGTCTAATGGCTAGGAATTGGTTGTGTTGTGGTTTAAGGGAAGGGTTCGCTGACACCTTAGCAGACGAGGCTGTGCTGCCTTTGTGGGTCGTGATGTGAGCAAACTCAAGGGGAAGGGTGGTGGCAAGTTCAAATATATGGCCGAAAAGGATATGCTGGAACTCGCTGCCAAGTTTGCACCATATAGGTATGTCTAACTCTGTCCATGGTGTAGACAATGTGCTTACTTAGTTGATTCAGGAGTCTGTTTATGTGGTATATGTGGCGGGTTGAGGACGTTGATGTGGCTGTTCTTAGTGGTTAAAAGACGTATAAGTACTACCTGGCTGTCTTGATACCGCGTGATTTACTGGACATTGAGCATTTGAGATTGTGCTGTATTATAGATATTGCCATAGTGTATAATTGACATTTGAGTGAATTGTGGCGCCGGTTTCGTGACTATGAGAAATGAATATAATTGAAGATGTTATACACATGCAGGCACCGATGTTGGGCGCCTGACGCCCAAACCGAACAGTTACCACGGCTCCCACGAACCACCAGTTATTGTCAGAGTTCATCAATACTGCAAGAGGTGCAAGATCCGCTTGTCGATTACAAGATTAACCAAAGATATAAGAGCGCGAAGAAAATCGATTTGTACAGTATCAGTACACTCAGGCTGCGTAACCAAGCCGTGGGCCGCCGACGACGGCGCCCATTCCATTACGAAGAAAGCACACCAGGCGTTTATTTCATGCCAGCAACAATGGTACACCAACCCCCGTGTTTTCAAATTCTATGAACCAAGCAGAAACCGCTTACTTGCGGACAACAAGGTTATCAAGGTCAGCACGCTCCTTGACCTCCTTCTCGATCTCGCGAATGATGGGGCTGAGGTACTCGACATCCTATTTCATTTGCATTGTTAGCATTGTGTTCCTTGCGGCGAGTAAATGCTTCAAAACGAAGTCGAAGTGGATGTGACAAATCCGTGCAACAGGATTGGCCGATACGGAGACCCATGCGGGGAGAGCGAAATTTGGATGTTGGGGACTCACCTCCTCGGGCTTGGTCTGCTCGTGAGCGGGAAGGAGAGTGTGGGAGATGGAGCACTGCAATTGACATGTTTGTTAGGTTTTGCGCCAATTGGATACAAAGGAAGGGGGTCGGTCGAACCTGGAATGCACGGCGGATACGGAAGACACGGTCGTAGGCCTCCTTGGCGGGAAGACGCTTGATGGCCCGCTGGACGTTCTCGCTCTCCTCGGGGATCAGGTCATCGAACCTAGTTGGATAGTTAGTAAGTGTTTCACAGTTCAACACTGCCGCGAACGATATTCGAAAGACCGGGCCTCCGGGCAAATCCGACGCAACTGCGATCGCATTCAAAAGATATGCCACCGGTGCACGAGGAATTCAACCAGCGAATTTCCAATCGTTGTCTCAATCGCTCGTGGTCGGGGATAGTCGATGTGGGAGGGCAAGAATTACTTGAGTCCGAGTCTCCTGTAGCCGGCGGCATCGGTGTACCAGTGGGAGAGAGGGGTGAGCCAGCTCTTGAGCCATGGGCGCTTGACGATGTAACTGGCGAGCGAAGGGGCAGACATTTTGAATCCCGGGTATCCCAATTGACGTGGGTGTTGTGAAGGGTTGGTAAGGCTATCCGACTGGAACACGAGATGACCCGATGTTGCGAGGTTGTGCAAAACGGAGCTCGGGCGGCTAGTCCCGAAACGGAAATTATACGCCTGAGGCGATATGCACGTGATATTAGTGCCTCAGGCGGTGGAGAAACTAGGAATGTCAATCGGTGCGCTCCACTAACAGATGGGTTTCCTATGTCATATCCCCTTCTCAATCTTATTGCTTGCTTATTCTCACAGTGGTGGGATCTGTTAAGTCTTAAAGCAACTACTGATCCCTGCTTACACCAAGAAGCTTGATTGTTCTGAGACCCCGCCCGCGTCCGTGCTGCAAGATACTAGAACATTGCGCATTCGAAGCAACCACACCGGGTTCGGTAACCATCGGCCCTCGAAAACTCTCTCCCGGCAATCCTCCGTCATTACACACACCTCCTTCCTTCCACCATTTACAGACTTTGGATATTCGAATAAATCTACATTTCTTTCCCAGCTCGGTTTGAGATAGGGTTCTTGGGTTCCGGATCGAGCACCCGATATGCTCGTGCCCGGGGGCCCTCGTTGATTCAGTACGGTTCGACAAGCTACGTGAGCGCCGGCCACCAATATGTCTACAAACGGCCGAAGCGCTCCGGGCAGCTCCCCAAACCAAACTCGGTCAATCCATGTCGACAATGATCCCAATGTGCCCGCCGTACCAAGCTCCGATTTCAAAGCCCGCCTCGAGATATTTTCCACCAAGATACCCAACTTCTACATAGCACCTTTCTGCGGAGCCAGCGCTGGCGTGGCTTCTGGTATTGTCACCTGTCCTCTTGATGTCATAAAAACGAAGCTCCAAGCCCAGGGTGGGTTTCGGCGCGGAGCAAAGGAAGTTGCCTCAGGGGTGCTGTATCGCGGTATGCTCGGAAGCGGAAGGAGGATTTGGCGGGAAGATGGCATTCGCGGTCTTTACCAGGGACTAGGTCCAATGTTGCTGGGATATCTTCCCACTTGGGCTGTTTATCTAGCAGTCTATGACCGGACTCGTGAATATTTCTATGACCAGACAGGTAGGTACCTCCAGAATAGAGGATTGGGTTATTAATCAGTACTGATCGGGTTACAGGAAGCTGGTGGTTATCTCGCGGCTATGCTTCAATCTCGGCCGGTGCATGCTCAACGATTGTGACGAACCCCATTTGGGTCATCAAGACCAGGCTCATGTCACAAAGCCTTAAACAAAGCAGTGAAGGAGTGCGAGCCCCTTGGCAATACTCAGGCACATGGGATGCTGCTCGCAAGATGTATCAAATTGAAGGCATTCGCTCCTTCTACTCTGGCCTCACCCCAGCTCTGCTGGGACTAACCCATGTGGCCATTCAATTCCCCCTCTACGAATATCTAAAAATGGCATTAACAGGCTATGGTATCGGCGAACACCCTGATACCGGTAGCTCACACTGGATGGGAATATCCCTCGCCACTTTCCTCAGCAAGGTCTGTGCTAGCACAGTCACATACCCGCATGAGGTCTTACGGACCCGACTCCAAACACAGCAACGGACTATTCCGGCACAATCTCACGAAGAGATTGCGTTCCGCGGCGGATTGAAACATCCACACGACCGCGGCCGCTCGGGAGGCATATCCTCATCAGATGGAATGCCCAGCCGCCCTCGCTATAATGGCATGGTGCGCACGTTCCAGACAATCCTCAATGAAGAGGGCTGGCGTGCGTTTTATTCCGGGATTGGCGTCAACCTCTTCCGGGCCGTCCCGGCCGCCATGACGACTATGCTCACATACGAATACATGCGGAAGCAGATTAATACCTTGCAGCATGATGGCGCCCTAAGAATCCAGATGGAAGAAGAAGCTCGGGGATCTATCTGATATCCACGATCTATCAACACAGAAAAGATTATTTCAAGTTTCAACTCCTCCCTTCACATCCTTCATACCCGCCTCTTAAAACATCACACACCACCACTTCTGATCGCCAAGTCCTCCTTTCTCCCCTTTTTGTCACAATATGTATAGACAGTGACGAGGCGGTCTGTTCCTTGATATCTGCAGTTCGATCTTTAGCGAGTAAATTTTGGCTACTGCATTCCGAAAACATACGATCGTCTCGGCATAGATGACAGTATCTCCAGACTTCGGGGTTCTGACATGTGAAGCAGCTTTCACATGTCTTCACATGCTCGCTTCATTTAGCTGAAAGAGACTTGCCGATTAAAGCATTCCTCTTTTTTTCTTGTTGCCTTCTAAACTTGTCTACCATCTTCCCGGCTTCTGCATCTCTCTTTTGTATATACATTGGCTATTATATATGCTTGCCCCATTCTCGTGAATACACACTCTCAAATAAGGAAATGGCTCTCACATCTGATTTTAGAAGACGTAGAACGTATTTTATTTAAAACTCTCCACTAGATTTCAATGCTCGTGCCGTGTCTGACAACTGGCACAGTAGAAGAAACCGTTCTGAAACTCTCCCCCTTCAGGATCACATTAAAGGGTTCCCTACACTCCCGACACTGGGTGTTTCGATTGATATTATGAGCGAGATATTTCACAGTATGACCTGCCGAACTTATGCCCTTTTCTGCCAATCTTGCAATAATGAGAGATCCAAGTTGACCGTGATCATAGAGTCACCAAGATGGCCGCAAATGACTTTTACTAGAGCATTAAGAAGACTAGAACCCCGAAGGGAAATTGATGACATGATTTCACGAGCGATTTTGGGGAACGAGTATGTCATCCAGTAGTCTTTCATCCCCGTAGAAAGATTGTCCAAAGCAAGCTGCTTTAGAGGAACTATGCTGAACTTGTCTGCTTCAAGGTAGACAGATATTGGTGTAGGCAGCGGCCTTGCCATGTTCAAGTTCGCTCGCCTTGTTTTCACACTTGCTCGGCACTTTCTGGGGGTTAGACTGGTGAGTTCCTCGGCGCCTTGATCATGGTCGTTGTAGTTCTGTCGGTAGAGAAAACACAGAACTCGTTTGATTGTCTCCGGATCGTCCTCCGGTAGATTGATGGTCCCGATGATAGGTTCCTTGAAAGGCTTGAGAGTAGCATCAAAAAAGTGAGATTTGGTGCAAATAATGGCACCGTGACCTTTAAGGCTCTCGTTCTGGCTGATGATAGTTACATGAGGAACGATCCTCCGTAAGAAGATCTCCCAGTGGCTGGTGAACCTGGGAGGAGATTTTGATCGATGCCATCTTGGAAAGAGAGGCGCTCCAGGAGAGGTTGAGAGAACTGGAACCGAAACATTCAGGCGTTGAGGCTACGAACAACAGCTATATCCTAGCCTCATGTGGAAGTCAACACCAGTTCATATGTGGTGCTTTAAGTCAAATCCAAAAAATTGTCCATATAGAGACCATAATTGTAACCAGATGCAGAATGACGGGGCCACTATGATAACTTGCATGGGAGGCACAGCTTTGATACTATAGTCACAAATGTGGGCATTCAAAGTTTCCAATTTGATACCGAGAAGAGTATTCGGCCGTGTCTGCAGCCTCTGCCCTTTACCATTTAGGACTTCAAGAGCCTGATTTAGCTGGCTCAATAGGATCTAAGGGAGGTTATATGTATAATACTTCGATGTTCTTTTTGGGCGTCTTTTTATACGTGCGCTGAGACGTCTTTTTTTTTTGCGGTCTGGTAGGTTGACAAATATGTTGTAAGAAGAGAAATTCATACGTACTATCCATAGTTACATGTATGTATCTACTATTTACACACTACATACTTTCAGTAAGGCGCATCTTGGCCAGCATTTTTCGCCGACCTTGTACTAAGGTACAGAGTACTCCGTACATAATTCCACCAAGCTAATTTAATTCCTACACCACTAAAAATGTAGTTTTTCGAGATTTGAAAGACGTATATAAAACATAGAGAGCTAGTTTATGTATATCAATTATTTCGTATGATTTAAATCGCTCTATAACAGTGAAAACAGTGTACAAAAATGTAGCTGTAGGATACAAAACTAAATGGGTCAGTAGGCGCGAAGGTTTTTTAAGTAGCTCACATGGCCCAGTGGTAAGGCGTTCGTCTCGTACTTATTCAAGAACTTAACGAAAGATCCCCGGATCGATCCCGGGTGTGAGCATTGTCAATTTTTTTTGGATGATCTTTCTCTCTCTTTCGACACTAACAAAAACATTCGGAATCAACTTGAGACTCGCCCGAGGATATAGTCTGTACCCCACCCGGGCAGGCACCGATTCCATGACTCAGCGTACCCTACCTGAACTAGAGAGACTAGATACCTGATTATACATAATAGAAAGAAAGACAGGCGAGAAAGGGAAATACGTGATAGAAATGAGCTGCATAGTAGGTTTAGATCCTCTGCCATTCTCGGCCAGGATCATATCAACTATACGATCAGCTCTATAAGCTCACTTCAATATGAGACAACCATCCTATTTTAGGACGGAGATGATACTGCCTGCGTGGTTTACCAAAAGTCTGAATGCCACAGAATGATCATCTGTAGCCCTATTCGGCATCACGATCCGGATATAGAGCCCTAGTATCCATGTTCGCGAAGAAAACTTTTGGTGGTCTCTTTTCCTTCGTGATGGGACGAATCAGCAAGTTATCAGGTGCTGTGTGGAAAATTGCCATAAACATCGCCTCTTCATTCAATTTGCTTCAAAAACATGAATTCATCCACTGGCGTACGAAGCTCGTCGAGATAATCTTCGATCTCCATAAGCCGACGGTGATCTTTGCTAGTGCCGAGTGACCTGAAACTTGAATGCAAAAATTCGCCAGTTGGCTTAGCTTAGGCCTGACTTAGACCTAACTTTGGATCACAGTTGCATGTTTTCTATATATAACAAGGGAAATTTATACGTTGTATAAACTGCATTCCAGGCTGAAAGTACTCCCCGAGTAGATGAGTGGTTCTTTAATATATGGGGCAATCACGTGACACACTATTGAAATTTGCCCAATTATTTTTTTTCCCTTTTTCCTTTCCACTTCTCCCTTCACACTTTTCTCTTCGACAACCATCAATCCGTACTTGTTTCTCAGGTGTTTAATGCCGGCACTTGATCAATTTGTACAGCGGTCACAAATCAATATCGGAACAATATCAGATGTTGATTCTGATCAGGTTCACTTGCACATTTTTTTTTGTGTAACCCATCTTGCATCAAACCAATATCCCCATTGGCTTTGTAGCTATTTGATTTGTTAAAGGCAGTTGGATTTGCCTGTATAGTTTCCTGTTTGCTCTTGTGCATCTTGCATTTTCTTGCCCAAACACAACATTACTTCGCTATTCGCATGATGAACAATTTCAAGATTGAACTGGGTTGTCAATACACTTAGACTCCCAGGGCATGATCATTCATACACTGAAAATTCTGATTGAATATGAAGACCCAGATGTTATTTCCAATTGATTATGATTTCTTTTCACCTTTCGCATATACAGCAACAAAGAGTCTCAATGAACAAAGAATTATATATATACATTTGGTTTAACAAACTATTTATCAGACACTGTTGTAACAAATTCAACCCATATCGTAATTGCATGAATGGAAGATTGACATTTCAGTATGAATAAAACTTAAGGTCGTCCCTTCCCACCATTCTGCGCTCGACTCTCATCAAGTGCTTGTTGAACCCATGACTCGTCTTTTCTCTCAAATGGCGTAGCTCGTTGATAGGAACCCTGCCTCGGAGCCTGGAGCTGGGCATCTCGCCGCGCAGTACGAATAGAGCTAATACAGTATGAACAAAGGATGACAGCCATTGTAAAAGCTGCAATAGGAGCATTGAGCGACTGGACAAGATCAGTATTAGATAGAGCCCTTTGATATGAAAAATACGAAAGATTGGAGAGCGTGGCTGAGATATTAAGTGGGTGTAAAGTGTTTAGGTTGATATTCGTAATGTATTGTACATACCCCTTTTGGCTTGCCTAATTCTTTGGGATTTGATCTTTGGGCCATCGCGTACGGAGTATGTTGTGTCGGATTCTGGTTTGGGCTTGAGCTATCTTCAGGCTCACCTTTGCCAGCAGAATGAGTAAATAGAGGTGTAACCTTTTGATAGTGAATAAAATTGAGCAGAGTTGAGAAAATTCAAAGTAAAAACCAACTAGATGAGAAATAGGTAAGGATAAGTAGATAGTGAAGGTGATATCGATGGTACTGGATAATAGAGACGGAGAGTTGAGCAGCACGGGGAGTGCAAACAGGCCAAACCACTCTGTATTCTAAGGTGACGGCGAATTACCAATTTCGGTTTAGCGTGCCTCTTTAGGTCTAGCTCCATCCACGTGAGTAATATCGCCGTGCGTGTGTCTATAAAGTCGCCTTTATCGCCACGACTATTACTCGAACGTTTCGCCCGTTACGGCTCCTTTCTTACTATCTACGTCCTATATACGTCCTACCAGTGAGGCATTTTTACTATTAATCTAGCTTGCCGAGCCCTACCGCCCCTCGGTCACCGGCGCGAACTAACTAATCCTCGACTGCGACATCGCCCGTCTATAGGCCCATCGCCCGTCCACGGTGGGCGGTGGGCGGTGGGCTATTTAGATTTTCGAGTGCCCGTCTATAACGCCCACGGCCTACGGGCATACCTGTCCTGGGTGTGCTCACCATACCCACTAGTCGTGCCAAGCGCCCAACACCATCTATATTGTTACAGGTGGCGTATCCTATTGGCTGAATGTGATGTGTTTTCAATCTCTACCGACTAGATTCTTGTCAGATTCATTTCAAGAAGAAGAGACCTTGGACCAATACTGATCTAGGCTAGGTATTTTGGAACATATCGGCTTTTTGTATCCGACATAGAAATATTCGGAGTCACACTGCCAACGACCCTGGCGATCCGAACGGTTCTCCACTATAGGACGAAACATGTAGTGGTAACCCGCCGAGCGTTAAAAAAGTGTATGTACGGAGTATGTGGTATTCTAAGCGCTACTTCCCAAGACTATATTGCACAGCCCATTTCCGAGTAGAGTTGTCTCCAAGTAATAGATGTGACCTCTCTATATGCAATTGTGCTCTCAGATAAAAAGAGGAGGTGGGATCAGCTTTCCGCAGCCAGAAACCTTCTGGGTTTTTTGGTTGTAATAGTTATGTCTACCCAGTAAATTATGGCGTCGAATCTGTTGAATATACCACAGATTAGAACGTTCTACTGAGCTTTCAGCCCATTGGCCACACGCTTAGAAATGAGATGGTTTAGATATAGTAAAGGTAGATAATTCTATCTATCTATAAGGCAAGTAAGGCTAGCTTCAGAATGGTTTTAATATATCATACTGATTTTATTTGCTGAAGAGGGGCTTAAGCTTGCAAAACATGTTCTGGGGATCTAATGCTCTCCGGGGCCTATCTGAATTTAGGCCTCTACTGTTTCGAACCCACTTTTTGTAGTTGAAGTTAATGGTTCTGGACAGGAAGTGATTGATACAGGAAATACATATTAATAGTTATGCGAAACAAAAAGAGTGAGAAATCGAATTGCCAATCTCGCACGTGTGGTACATCTATATCTCTACCGTGCCGATATCTGGCTTACGAGGAATCACATCTCCAAGCACCTCCCTCGCAGCTAACATCAAGGAGTGTGCTTCGGTAAGAATCAATTCGGGAGATTATCTCCGGCTTTCGAATTATACCGCAAAAGAGGGGTTTGCTATAGATCATCTATCCTTCGGCTCCGAGCATAGCCTATGCCTGGGTCGGATGAGTGCAGCCGATGGAAACTGTGTCGCTATTATAGTCTCACAAAATTTCCCAATCCTAGGGTGATTGTTACAGCCATCTTTTGCCCGTCTCGTACAATGTATACACAACTACTCGTTCACGACGTCGCCCCTTTTACGACGAGGCTGGCCTCGTGGGCTACCGTCATCTTTATCGGCTTCCTCTTCTATCGTGCATTCCTAGGCCCGCTATCGCATCTACCAGGACCTTTGCTAGCCAAATTCACAGGGCAGTGGCGAAGTTTGCGATACTGGCGTGGAAGGTGGCATGAGGATATCTTGGAAGTCCATCGTCAGTACGGTCCAATTGTGCGAATCGCCCCAAATGAAGTCGCGGTGGTCGACCAAAAAGCCTTGAAGCTCCTTTACGGTCACGGACACAACGCTGCAAAGACGGACTGGTATGGATCCTGGGATCCTGCAGTGGGACCTCCTGCTTTCTTCGCGGTACGGGACCGAAAACTTCATTCTACCCTTCGAAAGCGCGTCTCGGGTGCCTATACCATGTCCGCCATTCTCAAATACGAGCTGCATATCCAAGACTGTTTAGATCTATTTCTCCGAAAATTACAGAAACACAGCGCTGCAGGCTCTAAAATAGATATGTCGAACTGGACGAATGCTTTTGCTTTCGATGTAGTCGGCGAATTGGTCTACGGTGCACCCCTCGGACATCTTGAGAGCGAGACCGACGTTTCAGGTTTGCGCAAGTCCATTTTCAACATATTCTTCTGGAGCGCAAATCTAGGTCACTACTGGGGCCAAAAGTCCTTGTATTATAACAAATACTCACTAGCGGTTCGCAAATTACTTGGATCAAAGAATTCGATTACAGCGTTTCGCGAATGGAGCATATCGAGAGTGAAAAAACGGTGGGACATGCGTGAAACGGTGCCATCACCAAGAAATGATATGTTGTCTCATTTTCTGCATATGAAAAATCCAAATGGCCAGGGAGTGAGATTCGACGAGGTTTTGGGCGAAGCAATGAACATCATGTGGGTACACAAATTACTTCTGAAAGTGGCATATTTCTGACGGATTACCAAAGCGGCGCTGGGGCTGATACAACCTCGATCGCAATGAGAGCTTGCCTTTTTGCGGTATGTTCACGAGCAGATGTTTATCAGAAATTGCAAAAAGAGGTCGATGACTTCTATAAAGCCAATAAACTCTCGCGCCCAATCCAGTATCTTGAGACGCAAAAGCTGCCATATCTATGCGCAGTCACAAAGGAAGCCATGAGACTCTTTCCTTCCATTGTGTTTCAGCTCCTACGCTTTGCGCCCGAGGGAGGCATTTGTGTCGATGGTAAAACGGTCCCCGCAGGCACGCCTATTGGAATCAGTCCTGTCGCACAAAATCGGGATCCCCTTGTCTGGGGTGACAATGCGGACGATTTCCTGCCAGAAAGATGGCTGGAAGGAGAGGAACGCACAAGATACCTTGATTCAAACAACATGACCTTTGGAGGGAGCGGGCCTAGGATGTGTGTTGGGAAGAATATCGCCCTTGTAAGTGTCCCCCCTTTCATCGGTTAATAGGTATATATATTAACCGGTAATTAGGTCGAGATTCACAAGTTCCTTGCCCAAATACTTCGACATTTTGATGTTGAGATTGCGGACAAAGAGAAATCGTGGCACGTCACGTCTTATTGGTTTGCGTACCAACATGATTTCAACGTCCACGTCCGCGTCCGAGCACAGAACCCCTTACTATCTAAGGAGAAGCCGACAGAAATAGCAGTTGCCGCATAAGTGAAGCAAGACCTGGGTTGAAATCTGTATCTACAGTTAGTAATTGAAGACTTGCTAAGTCTGTGATTCCCAAACCAGCTTAGATGATAGCAGCGGCTTCTAAATCTCAGTTGGCTGCACCCCAAAAATGTAAGGCCTGCCCAGTCGTAGTGCAAGCTCTTGATCGAAATAATTCAAAGTACACCAAATCCGTCGAGAATTTTCCCTCTCTACCTTACCGTGTTAAGTGTACATGTCGAGATGAAGGCCTAAGGAGAATTCTACTACAGGCGTACAAATACGCTATGTTTGACTACTTATGAGTATGTAAAAAGCCAAAGCCTTTAGCTAGCTAGGATGACAGGACATTCTAAGTGAAAAGTGGGTATAAATGGTGTGGACTAATCAACAATATTATTGCTCTTAGACTATTAAGATCAGCCTCATTAGAGCTAGTGTTGAGGGTCTGGTGGGGTAAGGTGTTGGACAAACCTACATTTGTCAGTAACAGCCAAGATAGATTCTAATAAAAGAAAGGAGCAACTCACTCCCTAAAGTTGCGCTCTATGTGCCATATGGATTTCAGCGTAGAACCGGCATGATCCGCGTTCACTTCGGGTTCTTCTTGTTGGATAAACAACATCCAAACGGTTTCATCAGGCTTGGCTTCACTTTTTTTTAAACATTTTGCCGGCGGAGCAGTCCAATGTTGTCAGAAAGTAGAGACGCAACGCCGGAGATATAGAATTATTTAGACATGATAATAAAATGAAGCTATTCCCACCATACGAAACGGCACACACCCGCTAGTCCTAGCGATGAATGAAGATGGTTGAATAGGCTAGCACGACTTAGAGAAATCTGATATTTCTACAAGAGCATAGCCCGAATAGCCGTATATGTTGTGTTTTGGGAGAGAATTTGAAGGACCTCTGCTTTGTGAGGTTCAAGATCGATGTAAGTAGGTATTTGTGCGGTCGCGGTCGGTATCACGGCGATGGATAGATGTGGGAATGACTTAGGGGCGATAACGATGATGACGATGATGACGATGATGATGATGATGAAAATGATGAAAATGATGGAAAGAATGATGAATAGCTTCAGTTTCATTAAAATGCAGTCAGAATAGTGCAAAACATCCATGGATAGCTTCATTTACAATACAGTGTATAGAGCGGTGCCCAAAAGCGGTCTAGAATACGGCATCTCCAGACACCTTCAGGCATTTTAAGGCATTAAGCCTGAAAAACCAGGCATTTAGACCTTGGCCGTTATACACCTTCGTAAATCACCATCTTCACCGCTATCCCTCTCTGCAATACTTAATTGAAAGAGCTGCATCAAAGGGGTTGAGCCTAGAAACAGACAGACGGTATTGTTAAAGAATAGGCCCCTATTACTAGGACCCCCATGGGCCTAAAATCAAACCTAAAGCCTATAGTAGACTTAAGAACCGGGCCTGAAGCCTAACCTATTCGTCGGTTGGGTCAGGTTAGACTTTGGGATTTGTGGAAGCCTGTAATAGATTTTAAATAGATCAGTTATATAGTGATTTGTGTATTAATTGATCCTTGGATATGAATGTCCACGGGTAGCCCTGGAGGGCTGGCAATTAACCGGTGGGGATAAGATAAACCCATTGGCACGTGACTCAGGTGGATCACCGAGGTGCCCAGGTCAACTGCCCTAGAGCCTTATCGCATCATCTAATCGATGCCGACGTTCTCAGGCCGTCGACACACCCACTCTTACTTAACCATAGCACCCCATGGCTTCTGACCAAACCCCATCTAGAGGGGGCATGTCCCTGTATGCCAACCTACTTAATTCTACTGATACATCGACCACCATCTCTCGCGCTCCTGTGGTCTTTAAGCAGGCGGAGACCGAACAACAAGCGGACGACGCGGCTGCCAAAAAGCAACAGCTGAATCCTGGTATTTACCTTTGACTCATTGGGCATTCCGAGAGGCAGATTCTGATTTTTTTCCTTCTCATTCATAGCTTCTCTTCGGTTCCAACCTCCCAAACGACCCCAGCTCTCAGCCCAGAAGCCTAAACCCAAACATACTTTACCCAAGGCAATAGCACAACCACAGCCCTCAGCTAACCAAGCTTCGGTACCGACGAAGAGTACTTTAGCTGATTGGACCACTATTGAAGATGACGATTATGAGTACGCTCGAGAGAAGCGACAACGTGGCGGAAGAAAGAAGCGCAAGAAGAACCATGAAACAGATGTTGTCCAGAATTACGATGACTTCTATGAGTCTTTTCGACCTACTAGCCATGCACAGTACCGCTATGCTGATGAAAAGATCAATGAAGTCCGCGAGTGGAAAGATCGCATATATGCGCATGTCAGAAAACGTTCACCGAGCAGATTTTCAGATAGCGAGGATTACGACCGGCCAAAAATGCGTATGTTGAGATGTTTTGCGATTAGTGATGATTTCCAGACTAAGCAGATATCAGGACAATTTGCACCTCCAAGCAACTTTGCACCGCCACCAAATCTTAATGATATGCCACCAGCTTCGGTTCCTAATGACATATCTGGTGATGATGCATTTGCTCGCCGTGCAGCATTAGGGGAACGCTTCGACACTGAGTTCACCACCGCTCAGGCCCAATTCCCGACCTCACCCCCACGCCATACTGAGATTCCTACTTCAACCCCCAATATCCCACCCTCGGGACAAGTGATTCCACCTCCACCACCATCACGCCCTCTTGACGCCTTCCAACCTAGCTCCGCGACTATCTCCCGTGCACCAGTCCGATACCATCTCCCACCGGCCCCAGAAGACATCCCGGCCTCCGAAGCTGAACTTGAAGCCGTATTGGCCCAAGAGCAACCGTCCGAGGAGGAAGAACCAGATGAATCTGCGCCACGATCCCTTCGTCCTGGACAAAAAGGCTTCGCAGAACGACTGCTTTCCAAGTATGGCTGGACCAAGGGGTCTGGCCTCGGCGCTACTGGCTCTGGTATGGTGAAGCCGCTGCAAGTCAAGATTGAGAAGCGAAAGAAGCGACCAGACTCAGAGGGTGGTGGCTTTGTCACACCTGCTGGCCGAGGGAAGATCATTGGAAGCAACAAGAAAGGTGAATACGAAACCAGCAAGTTCGGTCCCATGAGCGAAGTGGTCATACTGCAGGGCATGCTGGATGGAATGGACTTGGATGCTGAAATGGATGGAAGTAATGATGGTGGTTTGATGCAGGAGATTGGAGAGGAATGTAATGAAAAGGTATTTTCTCGTTTTGTCAATGCGCTTGAGGGATGTCACTAACTTCGGGGACTTTAGTATGGAAACGTGGAGCGAGTCTTCATCGCTCGCGACGTCGCAGCCCCAGTCCCGGTCTTTGTCAAATTCACCAATCCCTTGTCAGGTCTACGGGTAAGTTTTTTTTAGATCTATATGTGGTTTTAAATGTAAATTTAGGCATTGCTGACTATTGCATATAGGCTGTGAACGCGCTCGAAGGCCGGATTTTCAATGGTAACAAAATCGTTGCACGATTTTTTGATGCCGAGAAATTCGAGCAGGGGATTTACACGGACTAATTGTCCATGTTCATGCCCTTTATGTACGCCGTGACATCTCGATTGCTTATTAATTTGTGCTCTCTCGACCATTGCACATACAATTGGCCATGAATGTGCTCGGAGGTCAGGTACTCAATGGCCAGAAAATCGTAGCACACTTTTTTTCGACTGATGAGTTTGACCCGAGATTTAAGTGGCCGATTGCTTGTGTCATACCCTTTCATGTACTTAACTATGTTAATGATGATGTTCGATTCATTTGATGTCGCTCTCGTGAGGTCTCGTTTCAATTTTCTCCAGGACTACCTCTAACAATAAAACAAAATGCAGACTATGGAGTATCTCAACAGTGAACCATCCGATCCCCTATGAAATCTCAAAAATTCCGACTAACAGAGTTCTATTCTATCATTGTAATCCATCAATTTATTGTCCCGACATCTTCTTAACAGGGCGGGGAATTCAGGAACGCCAAGTCCGGGGATTTTCCTTTTGTTTAGAAGTGCCGATCAAAGGCTCTATGTCCAACATATTATCATCAGCGATAAATGCCAGATATGTACGATGCTGCTGGTTGCGCACCAACCTAGTAGGACGAGGAATCCTAGAGCACCAGGCCCGGCTCGTCTGCGGCTGAGGTTCCTGCAAAGGCTCGGATTCACGCTCGTCTTCATTATCTGCGCTATCATCAGCATATTCAACCAAAGCGGCACTAGGTAAGTGAGACGACGACGGTTGCACTAGGACTGGGATGCGTGTCGGACCCGGGTGGAACGATGCACGGGTCTCCCGGTTCTCAGCCCTACTAGTCAAGCTGGGAGACTGGGAGACCTGTGTTTCCATATCAGGTTCCTCAGCCTCGCTTCCGTCGATACTACTGTCATCTTCGTCGCTATATTGGAGTGCATCGCATATTTCAGACCAACGACGCTGTCTCCGCAATTCGCGGAAAATAGACAGGCGTCGTATCAGTTGATCAAATCTGCATTGCAGGCAACTTCCTTCAAGTGGGAAAGGTGTTACAGTTCGGTGCTCTCCGGTGCACTCATAACCCTGCTTGAAGGATTTGTTGCACGCAATCAGGGAAGTTGACCCCGGGTCTGGGTGCTGGCACATGGCAAAATACCAGGTAACTGAATGACACATGATGATAGATGATAGTTGATAGCTGATAGTATGTAGATTTGGGATGTTTGTAAATATTACTCACAGGAGTTTACCTGAGAGTTATTGAGTGTGGATGGGATGAGTGTGAGAAAGGATAAACTTCATTCCCTTTATACTCCTTGTCGTGTGGGCATCTGCCGATAATCTTTTTGTTGCGGAAAACCTTTGTCGAGGATTCAATTCATCAGGGTTCTTAATAAATAATGATATTTCCGTTGCATCCATTTGCTGCAATCATGTTTGTAGTTATTGTCCTAGATAAAGGCATTGTGTACAGGCCATATTTGGCTCTTTGTTGCTATAGGGAAGATAGGACTTCCTTTGTTCATAACCTTGTAGGCATCATAATAAGTGGAATATTTCTGACTAGTAGTGACTCATTGATTTTGAAAGCCCCCTCAGGTTAGCAAGTTTGGAAGGGCCGTGTCAGATAGGTGACCTGAAAATCACAGTAAGGTGGAATGGACCTATGCCTGATCGGGCAAAATGACGTGAGTTGCCTATTTGTAGTTTTTGTTACGAGCCAGATGTTCAAAAAAAAAAAGTGCTGTTTATTCAAAATACTAATCATAGGGAAAGGAAAAGAAGAAGAGAGCAGGGGATATCTCATAAGCTTGTCCCCCGCTTTCTTCTTTTTCTTTCCTCCCTATACTTAGTATTTTGATATGGAAAGTTCTAGCTACTCTATACAGTAATGAGACACGAAGTATATATATCACTTGGCGTAAAGTACCGTATAGGTAATCTAACAGGAATCTTGATACTCTGCGTCTATTCTCAATGTAGTACAGTAAACCCTGGCATTAGGGTCTGTGAAACAATCGAAGAGTGTAGGTGGTGACACCAGTTTTGGGAAGTACTGTAGTCGATTAGCCAGTTCCTGTATTTTACATGACGCCAGTGAATCCTAATTGATGTAATTTACGAGAAACTAATGTACATGCTACCTCTGTGCCTCTCTTCCGTACCATCCATCCCCAACAATATTGTCAGATTACATAGCTCGTAGAATCCAGCTTCTACAACTCTCTACTCTTAATCAAGCTTCTCACATTACACCATGCACTTCGACGTAGCCCTCTCCTGACAAATATGTTTCTTGCCTTTTCACCCATACACTACTTTCCAGCGTTACCAACGTTAGGCTTGGCAATATGGCTCCAAGAATTTCCCTTCTAAAGCTGCATTCAACCGTGACATGATAGAGCGCCAATCACCGAGCACATCTCAAAAGGTCGAAGGAGCTGAATGCAGTAAGTTGAAAATGGCCAATATTCGCAGACACTTGAGGCAATTTGGAAGTATCCACGCACCCTCAACTAGAATATGCCGGATAAGCACTGTAACAGCACGGACAATTGAGGCGCTCTGCGATCACCTGTCCGAAAACCCTGGTCTTTACCTAGATGAGATGGCTTTACTCTTCTGAGATGTGTTCCACACCGCGCTTACGGGCTCCAGTGTCAGAAGAGGACTCATCACTGAAGGTTGGTCTAACATGATTGTTCGGCAGCCGAAGGTCTGGGGACTGCTAGGGTAGAGGATATACGTGTCCTGGTGATCTCCTACATAGTTCCAGCCCTCTGCAGCTCGGGTTATTGCTATATACTATGAACGAGCCAGCGGGTATCCTATCAGTAAGCAGCAGCGGTCGAAATAATAAGGACCAATCGAAGAATCCCAATCCCTGCAGTAAATGGCTGATATTTTACAAGAGTAGCATCTTAGCCTGTCGTGGCACTTTGCCAAATCTCCACAATGAAGGCGAAACAAGAAGGTCTCGAATAAGCCAGGCGCCACTCAATTCTTATGCAAGTTGACGATCATTCATGTCGTGGAAACCACGGGTGTTCAGACTATGAAGGGTAGCATGCCACGTAAAGCCATGGACGGGTAAGTGGCAGCTAGTTCCCACGCCCGAGAAGGCAGGACCGGTGTGGTGGAAATCCAGCATGGAAACATACTGTCGTATTGCGTAGAAGTGAACTGCAGGGGATCATGTGAGAAGAAGCAACATGAAATATAAAAGGGTCGCATGGGAAAGCCTTTTCCAAATGCCAGACTTGATAAGACTCTAATTGTCAAAGAATATCGCACTGTGCTGCCCAGTTTTCGAAGATCTCCCAATTACTACTTGATTTCATAAGAGCAAGATCGAGAGAGATCCCACTCGGCGTTTCATCGAAAACATAATGACAAACGCATCAGTTGTGAGAGGTAAAGGACAGCGGATATGGAGCACTGATAATATCGAATGGCATGGCTTACAATGTATCACAGAAAGGCTTTACTCAGCCAAAAATGATGAGCACAAGTTCCCAGTGAATTACGTGTATGACTATCTGGGACGATGCACTGGATTTCTTTCGCTCCCCAATTTGAACCTGAACGAACATCTTCAATCAAAAAGGTTCTTACGGATGGGTAAATTCAGCAGCCAAAAGAATGTTGAACGAAGCGATCACGGAATTGACCTGCTTCCTCTGGCAGCCCAGCTGCCATGGGCCACTGGCATTCGCTCATGTCGACAATCAAAATACTGGGAACTATGCCTCGATACAACACGTACGCTCCTCGAGCACTTTGCAGCTGACCCATCAGCCGCGAAAGTATTTCGGTCGGGAGTGTCACTCGCGGAGATGTCGCGCCAGGAGCTTGGTAAAAAGATGGAGGATGGCTGGGTCAAGTTTGCGCCCTACTTCTTTTCCGATAGCGACCCAAAACGCATGCGGATTTTGGCTGTGCTTATGGTTTTCATCTTTATATTTGATGGTACGGTATCGCTGGCTAAGTTATAAGATATCTTGCTGACTTGGTGTATCACGGCAGAATTTTGGGAGATGCATGATGCCAGCTCGGTAAGTCTACGAAAGATCAATTATGACGGAAATTATATCCTAATGACGGCGGGGGTAGTTCAATATTGTGTATGAGCAGTTTATTGTTCGTATGAAGTCAGGGTTCACACCTCCAGTAGAAGACAGGACCCCACTGTTGCTGCTAATCGACCAGATAATGGCAGAAATCAAGGAGTTGGATAATGCTTCTGGTCACTTGGCTGGTCGCTTGATGTTGGACGAGATGGTAGCTTTCTTTTCGCGGCCACCTCCTTCGAAAGCATACGAAAACATGGAAGACTTCTTGTTGTATCGACACAAGGACGCAGCAATAGAGTACGGAGCTCAAGTCTCAATATTGGGAATTTTGTTTAGCTGATCCTTCCAGTTTTGTCCTGGCATGTACCGCGTTCAGCCTCGATTTCCCCATCGACATCAGAAGTCCGAAGTTAGCGAGATACTACCGTCTTGTGAAGGATCATGTCTCAATTGCGAATGATCTGGGATCCTGGGCCAAAGAAAAGCGCGCCTATGACAGAGGGCAAGTTTTATATCTGATCAATACAGTAGACGCCATCAAGAATTTTCTGAGATTGGAGACGGAAAATGCAGCAATTGCGATGGCGTATGCCCTTCAACTGCAGGTCGAGACGCAGATTGATGATGAGATCGAGTATCTTATTGCCGAAGACTCCCTCACAGACAATGAGTGGCGCTTTATCGATGCCACATTACTTGTGCTGAGTGGCAACGTTATGGCATCTATTGTCATGTCGCGATATGGAGGGGAGGAGAACAGGCTGATGAAGGATGCTAGTTGATAGAAACTATTGAGAATATGAGTGGGACCGACTGCTAAGTGTGATCCAGAGAGCTATCAGAAGACCGTGGTTGATTTTATTCTTATCGCAGTTGGTAATGAAGATTCTTGTTATTTGATCGTCACCCGCCAACAGAGTAAAAATTGCGAGAAGCAGTCTGCATATATATTTCTTCATTTTATAATAAAGATAAGCCTAAGCCCGTAGGTAGTATGATGGCGGCTTCAAATGTATCCCTCAATATAATTGACAGTGCTGCTGTTCACCGAAGGTAAGAATATTCAGAAAATACAAAGAGTCCGCTTTAGACAAGTAGTGAGATTAGTTTCGAACTTCGCTGCAGCGTAGCTGCACTAGATCTCCTCTACGGTTAGGCCTGAATGCCGGAAATGTCCCTCTGCGCTTTCCCCCCTTGCCCCAACCATGTCAACGCACCATTCGAGGAAGTTATCGAATCCTTGGTCAGGGCTTTCTTCGTAGGACTGCCAATGACGTCGAATGAAGGCTTTCAGCTCAGCAAAGAACTCCTCAATGGGATTTAATTTTGGAGAATATGGAGGCAGGTACACTAGCTTGACACCGGCTTCTGAACACATATGGTCTATTTGGTCAGAGTGATAAAATGACTACAGAATTTCTAGCACATTTTGAAAGGGGAAAATCGTATCTATCTCGAGATACTTAGCTAATGGTTGGAGGGGGGGGGGGGGGGGGGGCATGAACTTTGATTGATTGATCGATTTCATTAAGACTTTGGGAACGACTACTAGTCTAGCTAAGGGGATTGAGTGAAAAAAGCAAGAGTTACATTGCACAAGAAACTCTGGAAATCCAGCAGGCACCTAGTAGCCTGACGCTCCGACTTCCTCCTTCCCCTCTTCGTCAATAAGAATAAACCCTTCATCCGCTTCATCGGCTTCTTCAGCCTTGCCTTTTGCCATCTGCTCTTTTAAAACAATATTCTCACATCCTAGGGGTATTACAATCATATCAAAAGGGCTGTCATGACTATCAAGAGATAGTCCCCATATTGAAACTCGATTGATCCTCAGGCGGTAAAAACTACCGTCATTCACGATATGAAAATCCGTAAGAAATTCCTTCTTTTCTTTTTTTGTAAGATCAAACCCCCGAGCTCGGTGGCAACATCCACATGTCACCATACAATGTCCAGCTCCAAGCTGTCGTGTCTTATCAATCTTGCGATCAACGCAACATCCGCAGCTACGGCTACAGCACCCTCCCCTCCTCACGCAATCCTCGACCAAAACTCGGTGCATATACCATAGAGGATGTGATAGCCATAGGTAAAATGCTCGTATTAGCGGTCCCTCCACAAATGAGCTTCGGACTTTCCACCACTGTCGTTCCAGTAACCAATATCTCTTGTTTAAAGCCTGAAGCTCAGCTTGTATATTATTCCTATAGATTGGCCAGCTGCACGTTGTTTCGGGCTTCTTGGCGAGGATCTGCTCTTCCTGGACAGTACTTCGAAGGTCTTCTTCTATCCGGAGAAGCTTAAGCGCTCGATCGGTGTAAAGATACTCTTCTTGGCGAATCACGTTCCGCCGATACCGTTGAAGAGCATCAATATCTCCACTCTGTTCGAGCTTGATTTCATCTTGAGTTTTCTCTCTAGGCAGGGTTAAAACAGTTTTTGATTGAGTCGGCTTTTCCGCAGGTTGCATATTGAGGACAGGTTATATTCGTATAGAGAATAGAGACGTATCTAGTTGAAAGTAACCTAGTTTAGGAGATGAGGGAAGGCCATCGTTAGAATTGAGGTCTACCTGGTGAACGACTCATCCTGATGTCAGTAGGGCGGCGGCAAGAGGGACTTCCCGAACGAATCAAAAATGAAAACAAAAACATACAACAGCTTGAGTATGACCATGGTCACCTAGCGCCCACGGTTCGGGCGTGGGCGGCTCGCCGCTCTATTCAGGGTACTCAGGGCAGATATTCACACCTCCACCATCTTGTTCTCTTTCCTCATCAGAAGGAACCTAACGCTATTCATCATGTCGTCACACCGTGTCCAGCCCTCAACAAGACCACTGGAATGTGAGAATATCAAACTATGCCTCTATCTGAAATACTTTTGACTAATCTTCCCAGTTTGCCCGAATTGTGCTAGCTATTTGACCATCTTACCCCGTGCTACCGATCCAGTTCATGGATTTCAAAACTATTTTACTTGTCGAGCATGTCTATATATCTGTCTTGTGTCCGAAAGCGAATCTTGCGAGGATGAATCTTGCAGCGACGAGACTGCTGACGACGAGACTGCTGACGGCGAGACTGCTGGTGACGAGACTACGGACGATGAAGCTGTGGACGATGAAGCTGTGGACGATGAAGCTGTGGACGATGAGTCTCCCGTGGATCCCTTGAAGTCATACATACATACCGCAGTCCAGGAGATGCAAGATATCCAAGATGGTCAAGTAACTTCACTCTTGGCTGATACGAAATTCCCCTCCCAGGCTTTGATGCATCCAAAGCAGGATGAAGGTGTCTATCTTTCCAACATACCTCTAGGAAGGGTGGTTCAATATATGATCACAAAAGTTCTCGAGACAAACTCGCAAAAAAGGCGCTATCAAGATTTTGTCAACAACCGTGAGAATATCGAAAATATTTTGCTAGGTTGTCTAACTATGGCCACTTTAGCCGTTGTTCGGTGTCAATTGATTGGCCCCAACGAGCTGATCAAGATAGGGGGTGATCCAGAGAGTGACCCCAACGCAGGAGTCTATCTTCATATCCTTCTTATACCAGGTCTTATGTATCTCTATACTGGGTAAGCAGATGACCTTTCCGAGCGTATTAGATACCATAACGACCCAGCATTTCGGAGAAGACACCCATCGCTGCATTACAAAATATGGGAATGGCTCGAAGAAACTGGAGAACTTACCTCTGTTTTTGTGAAGGTCGCAGGTTTCAAACAGAAGTTACGAGGCGAATTAGACCAGCTACTCCTAAACCTCTTGGAGATGTTTATAGCATGTGTGTTCCAGACGCTCCGGTCCTCCGATCTAGAGTTCTACCTACCTGATGAGGTTGAAATTTGCTGGGGAGGACGAGGCCTAAATGTTGCTCTGCCTATCTGGCAGGGCTATACGTTAAGAGGGGAAGAAATTCCTTCATGAGATCGGACTATCTAAGCAGGATTTCACAGCTGCACTACATAGTCAAGATGTCCTAGTCCGTGAATGGGCTATGGAGGTCCGAGATGCCTACCAAAGTCTTCGAAATCACCCTGATTCAAGAGTTCAAGAAGTTTGGGTCCAGGGATTTCAAAAATTTCGAGATGCCGCTGCGAAACGCCTTTATTCTCACCAGGATCGGGAAGATATCTCTAGCGATCCCGGCCATTCCCTCTATTTCTTTGAAGAAGGGAGATTGTCCTATGGAAGGGGCGGTAATCGAAAATGGACTATTGAGCTACAACAAAAGTCTTTTAAGAGTGCCCAAGAATTCCTTTCCTCTGGGAAGCAAGTTGGATTCTATAGGACTGGTGAGAGGGGTATATTCAGTGTTTACTATTCTCTTTACAATATCTCCCTTTCTACCGTTTTCCACCTCTTAAAGGGGGACGGGGATACTATCCCTGAAAAAAGTGGCTATGTTCCGGGCAAATCAGTTTTCCTGAAACCGATTCTACTCACAAGACCAACCCCATTACGGTATACACAAACTGCCCTTCTGAATGACCCAGCGAGCAGACTGATTATACTCGCGGATATCGAGCCTGGAGATGGCACGGGTCAATTCCACCGTTTAGAGACGAATTCGGAGGTAGCCCCTTCCAAGTTCAACCGGCTTGTGGACCTTATGGAAGGGATTTGGTACGAGGAGTTAAGATCTTTACCTCGTCGATGGTTCCAGAACAAATAGTTAAGGGTACATACAAACTAGCGGTAGTTGAAGAATGATAAGGATCTAGAGGAGTTTTTAAACCGTAACTGATAGGGGCTACCTATGTAATTAGGTCTGATATAAATGTTCTATAGTTAGCTATTCGAGAATTTCCCTTTTAAATCATTATACAAGGTGCGAAAGTTATTGGTGGTTATCATAATAACAGCAAGTGTGGCCGAGTGGTTAAGGCGCTGTGTTTAGGTAATCATAAAGTTGACTACAAATCCGCAGTTCTAACGAGCGTGAGTTCGAATCTCACCGCTTGCAAAATCTTTTTTTTCTATCTAACTATAGATGGAAAAAAAAAACTAGTACGGAGTACACTGCACCAAGTATTTTAGAACCTAAGGTACTTATCGTACTTCACTAAGTTTTATAGCTATTAAACACTATCAATTAAAATATAAATTACAAAGATTTGATCATTAGGAAGCAGTATTTACAGTGAAACCAAGTAAGCATAACAGAGTTAATATACATAGATCTATCTATAACTACAATTATCTAGATATTGAAGAGGGGAACGCTCAAGGCAGTATGCTCTATGGCATACGGGTCGATTCAGCAGCTGCAACCAGGCCGTCTACCCCCCATGGCATACAAAGCGAACCGGGACAGTAAACCAAGGAGTCAGCCAAGAGAGGTGTAGGAGTGTGTATTGTCAATCTGTAAACTATCTACTACTTGTAACCTCTAAAGCACTAGTTGCACTAACTGCTTACATAAATTATCCGCTTGCACAAGTGAGAGGATAGGTGCCGGCGCATAGTAGTGGAGGACCACGTCCCCCACTACAATATATAGTATTGTATGGTTCCATTAACGGCGATTACTAAGTTTCTGCATGGCAGAAACTCCATTGTCAAATTTGGTCCAAATCGGCTGCCGTATTACCCCGGTGGCGGTCAGCCACAGTCAAACCCAAATCACACTACGGAGTAGAACATAAGATCATCCTAAAATTTAACCTCTTTTCTTTTTAGCTATTGCTACGATGCCAATCATAGAATTGATATATAAATTAGGCGATGTGCTTATTTAGAGAGCTCTATATACTTTCATAAGTGTCAGTACGGGCTGCTCGCGCACATGATCCACAGTAACCACACAAGCTAATGTTCATTCCCGTCCCTGTTCATAAACCTTTGTCTACCTACATACCTATGGATAGCCTGCCCGTAGCCTGCCTGATTCTCTAATTTCTAAGACATCCGTTCTATCTGGACCTACATCCTGACATAACGGGCTTATATCGGCATGCCACCTCACCATCTAGGTGTTTGACCGGATGTAACAATGTGGGGTCATTGGTATAGGTCTCAGGTAGGTGTTCCAGGAGGTCAGTTAACCCTAGATAGGTATGCAGGGGTTTGGTAGGCCATAGTTCATTCCATTTTATAGTTAATTCTATATAGCTTTGATACCTCGTTTCTTTCTGCATGCTTAATACTTATGATTACCAATATACAGAGTGGTAACTTTTGAGGCATATAGGCGTTGTGGATAATCGCTTACGACGGGATACCAGGGATGAGAATAATTCAGAACAAGATATCGGAGTTAAAAATACAATTCTGATGCAAAACTTGCCTGACTTGTGCACTACCCACCAGCTGGCCTAGGAGCTCATAAACGAAGATGAAAGTCTAAGCAGCCTGGTGGGTCTTTCAATTAATGGTCATGCTATAACAGGAAGTGCAAGACACAAATGTGTTCCATTTGGCCCGTCATGCTCAAAAGGATTCCGCAGCTCAAGGACCTGTTCTTTGCAATATAGGTAGACAGCTATCACAACTCCGAGTGAAGATCTCCTGGAGGTGTACCGGACGATAGCCACATCGACAATGACTTTCAACAGGCTCAGTAACATCATATATTTTCTCGAACAGCCGCATATTGAAGTAACCAAGTCATTTCACGAACGCACTTCCATGGAAGCTATATAGCTAGAGATACTGATGTAGCATTACATGATTGTCTGGTTCTTTCGTCTGTCTTTTTAATCTATCCAACCGGCCATCCACCCTGCCCATTTATTCAGACACCAACGCAAACAAAATACCGCAACCATAGGCTCGAGCATGAGCTCCCCACCAACGGATTCCAGCGATTGAATTCTGTGGCCGTAATGCCGTACTGCTGCTGAATTGACCAGCAGCTGTCTCCGTCCTTTACCTGGTAATACCCCTTACAGGTGTCGATAATTCCTGGCATAGGCTGGTGGAGCTCCGTTGCAACACAGTAATAGTACCCAGGGAGGAGGTTATCACAGTTCTCCCCAACAGCGGGGTTCCACCGTTTGAACAGGGGCAGGGAATAAATGTAGCGGAACTTTTGTCGCGCAATGATTTCGCATGTATCCCCGTTTTGGGCCTTATAGAAAGTTACACAGGTTGCAGTGAGACCGGATTGAGTGGGGGAGGGACCTGTTGCGGATGTGGTTGTCGGTGGTGGTTTGGTCGTGGTGGTGGTGGTGGTTGTTGGGTTGGGAGTATGGCCGATGACACTGACGCAGGCATAGGTGTTGGCCCACAGGCCGCTGCAGGTGGGACCGACGGCTGAGTTCCAGGTAGCAAACTGGGTAGTCGTGATTTTATACGTGGCAGCGATGGTATCGCAGATGTCTCCCGACTTCACCAGGTGGAAGGCATCGCAGTTGTCGACCATGCCTGGTTGGATCGGGAGGGGTGTTTCAATGCCGTTCGTCGGGCCCGGTGGTGTACTGGTTGTTTTTGTTGTTGTCGTCACAGGGTTATGGCCGATTACACTGACGCACAGATAGTAGCTTGCCCAGAGCCCGGTGCAGTCGGGCCCGACAGAGGGGTTCCATTCGATGAACTGTGCGGTAGTAATGCCGTGGACGGAGGTGATGGAGGGACATGAGTCTCCGACCTCGACATAGTAGAAGGCGTTACAGTTGTCCGCCATGCCTGGTCGTGTCGGCAGCGGTGTCTCTATGCCATTGCCGCTTGTCGGTGCTGGCCCTGTGGTTGTGGTGGCAGTGGTGGTCGGAGAAGGTCCAGTGCCACCTGCAGGGGCTTCAACGCAGTAAGACCGTCCGGTCAAATAGTTGCCACAGTCGGCAGTGATGGAAGGGTTCTGTCGGCTTGAGGTCAGTGAGAGCTTGGGTAGTAGAAATGCACGGGCTGAACTTACCCAGAGGAGGAAGTCCTCCATGCTAATGCCCCATTCGAACGGCATGTCTTCGCATGCAATGGCCCCGTCGTCATTATCCCACCACCAGGTACAGGTCGAGATGGTGCTGGGGTCCGAGGGCAAATTGGGGCTCGCAGCTTTCAGCGTCGGGGGCCGTGCCTCGACGCCGCATAGGGCAAGGGACAGGGCAAGAAGACCAGCCAGCCGAGACGAAGACCGGGTCATGGTGAAAGAGAAGACGAGGAGAAAACGTCTGAATGGGGTAGCACGATTGTACCAAGAAGACACTCAAGCAACGACAGAGAAGCAGTGAGCGTGATGGGAGGCTTTATACCTCACATCACTGCGGCGCAGAGTGGGAAAACCGCCAAAGACTTGACCTCAGGGCTCCGTAGAAAGAACACTTCTGTTGGGCTGTCCACCGAGTATCGGACTGAGATAGTTGCATGATACGTTCAATTTGCCGGCTTTGTTTACCCCAAAAGCCACTCATTTTACGAGTGGATAGATAGAGAGCAAGGGTTACATTCAATTTCGGTTGTGAGCAAACTAGTCGAGTATAGAGGCAACTAGTCTAGTATAGAGACATTCCTTGGTCCCAATCTCGCGCTCGAAGTGCCGGCGCAAAGATAGTATGTGTGGATCCGGTATGATGCAGGGACAGCCAAGGAAAATTGAGCCCCCACGGAGGGATCCGGATGGACGAGTGGGGGCCACAGGGGCGAAACATTAGGGCATCAGAAGTCATGGGATGATGCAGAACCTGGCGCAAGAACGGCGTAGAAACGGCATAGGAACAGTTCGACGTAGTGCAGCGACGTGGTTGAACACCAAGCCAGCAGACAATTTTCCGACAGCGCCAAGGCAGCAATGTCTCACAGTCAAAGTAACCACATGTCTAACCGAGAAGACTTGTTTACCAGCGAGACTAGACCGACAGTTAGGGTCTTGTCGCCCAGACCAGAAGTCTTGGCCTCATGGCCCGCGGCCTACGCTGGGTATCTTGACACTTAACAGCGGCGAGAAAGGGTGCTCGAGCACAATCTGGCCCAATGGCTCATACGGACAAATTTCCGTCTCACATCCACATTGCTAATGAACAATGAGATTATTTTCAATCAAAACCCCAACAGCGCGGAACCAATTATGATTAGCCGTCAACGCATGGCCAGTTTGAGAACGATGGCAAGACACCTTTCCCTGCAGCTCCGGCATATACTGTTAACCCAGGAGACTCGACCAGGCATTCCCGTCTTCCTGTCGTGGCCGGGATGTTCCCGCCAGTGGCAATCAACCAGGGAATTGGTTGTCTCAGCCTCTCATCCGTTCGGCAGTCCCTGCCGTCGGGGTGCCAAGTAGGCCTGAGCCGCAAAGCCCATAAATGGGGGCCGAAGGCCGAACCAGCAGTGGGCTATGGGCTATGGTGGGCTATCTATAGGGGCCCATAATAGCCCATCAAAGCCCTCAGGGAGGTCTTGGCGCTTATAAACAGACGACTTGTAATCGTCGTATTCTGGCCTTCTTCTGATTCTCCAGAGTTTAAAATTCAGGAGATATATTTTAGAATTAGGTAGGAGTACTACCACTTTCTGGTAAACCTCTGTATTTTAAAAATGATCTAAATAACGCGTTTTCTTGAAAATTTGAACGTAATATCAAGATCTGACCTAATATTCATCATTTATAAATCAGAATAACAAAATATTACTTTAATATAAGGGCTAATTACAGGGCTTAAACATAGGGTAATTAATTTTTCAAAAAGTTTGTATTGTTTGGTGCCAATTAGGCTTAATGGGCCCCCATTAGCTTAGTGGGCCCGGCTTCAGGCACACAGCCCATTTGCGGGTTGGGTGGGGTTGGGCTATGGGCTTCGTGGGCTTTGCGGAGGTCTAGCACTGCCGAGTATGTTCTCCAACAGAAGAAAGCAAGAGGCCAACAAGTAGCCGAGAAGGAAAGCCCGGAGATTAGTTACTATAGTAGCTGCTTGCCAATGGCGCCATCGATACCACTGTCAGGGGGATGGACCAGGGGACTCCGGAGTCGGATGGAACCCTAGATAGACACAGCCTGGGATTCAGTTGAACTGGTTTTGCTTGGACCTTATAAAGAGCTTGTTCTGGCCTGTTGTTTGGAAATGAAAGCTATTCTGCAAGACTCTCTCGCTCGTACACGATGAGGGCATCCAGGCTGGTGCTGCTTTCGGCAGCCAGTGGTCTGGCCTCTGCCCTGTCGCAGTTCGAGCGCATCGATTTAAACAAAAACCCCTGCCCGAGCGCCTGTGACGCCATCGGGGATACCTCCAAGTGGTTTACCTACCACAGTGTGGACGAATTCACCGCCTGCAATGAGCCACTGTTGCTGAACTTCAACATCTACACCCCCATCGACGACGATTCAACCCACACCACGATCCGCGCCTGTACCTTGGGCAATGCAAAAAGTAAGGTCAATTTCCTTGCAGCCTCTGGCTACGTCGCCCCTGATGCCCTGGGTGAAACAAACTTTGGCCCGTTGTCGCTGCAACGACGCGATGACTCCGATATGACTGCAAATGAGGCTGCCTGTGGGGAAGGCCCTGCCATTGCATCCAGTGCCACGGCCTCCCGGACACCGTATGAGACCAGCCGCGATCCTCTCAGCAGCAAGGCTCCCGAAGACGTGGTTCTTGCTATAGAGGCCCTCCGACGAAGCCTCAAGGAGGAGACCGCGAGCTGCGGAAAGAAAATGGTCATGTTTGCGTATCTCCATGGCACGCTTGTCGGTCTCTATTCCGGATCCCAGGTCGATCTGATGCAGACCTCTGAGTCGATGCTGGACCAGCTGGTCGCCGCTCTGGAAGAACAAGACGCAGAGTCTGCCACCTCTAGAGAGGCATTTGACATATGTGCGGGTCACTGTACGGCCAGCCACATCTTCGGCGTCGTTGCGGACCCGGCTGGTGATTTCAACGCCGTCCAGCGCATTATGCAATCATGGAATGACGGCGAGGTTCTGTCCGCACGATCTGAAGCGAAAGCGAGAATTCAGTCCGTTGGCCTGCCTTCCCTCTGGATCTTTCCCAGCAACAATGAGACGGAGCCCCAGAGACGCAGCCATGTGCGAAACCTCAATCCCCGAGCAGAGTGCCGTAGTATCCGAGTCGAGGGCGGCGACACGTGTCCCTCGCTCGCAACGCGCTGTGGCATTGGACTTACGGCACTCAAGAGCTTCAACAAGGGGACGACAGACTTTTGCACCAACATCGAGCCCGGCCAGGCCGTGTGCTGCTCGTCCGGCACGCCGCCAGTCGTCGGGCCCGGTCCCAACCCCGATGGATCCTGCAAGTACCACGAGGTACAGCAGGACGAAATCTGCCAAACAATTGCCGCCAGCTACGAAATAACGACGGCGGATCTGTTTGACTTCAACAAGAAGACCTGGGGCTGGGATGGCTGCGACCTCCTGGTTGGTCTGCGGATCTGCGTTAGTGAAGGGTCCCCCCCATTGCCGGCATCAGTGTGGAACGCCGACTGTGGCCCAACGGTGCCGGGGACAGAGCCTCCCAAGAAAGGCGAGGAGCTCGCGGAGATGAACCCCTGTCCGCTGGACGTCTGCTGCAACATTTGGGGTAAGTGCGGCACAACAGTTGACTTCTGTATCCCCTCCGAGTCCACGACGGGCAACCCCGGCACGTCCGCCCCCGGTGAAAACGGGTGTATTGACAACTGCGGCATGAAGATGGTGAATAACGACGAGCCGCCGGACCAGTACCGAAAGGTTGGCTATTTCGAGGGCTGGAACTACAACCGTCCGTGCCTGAATATGCATGTCGATGACATCCCCGACGGCTACACGCACATCCACTTTGCCTTTGGCGAGTTCTCGTCTGACCTGAAAGTTATCATCAAAGATGACCATAAAGAGCAGTGGAAGGCCTTCCTCCACGCGGACCGGGACTACCGCAAGATCCTGTCCTTTGGCGGATGGGAATTCTCCAATGCCCCGGCCACCTCGGGCCTCTTCCGCCTGGCAGTGTCGCCGGGCAATAGGGAGACGTTTGCCGAGAATCTCGTCCAGTTTGCTCTAGACAACGACCTGGATGGACTGGACTTTGATTGGGAGTATCCGGGTGCCACAGACATTGAGGGATCGGAGCCTGGCCAAGAGGACGATGGCGAGAACTACCTCGAGTTTCTCAAGCTAGTGCGGGACAAGCTACCGGACGACAAGTCGGTTTCGATTGCCACAGCGGCCTCCTTCTGGTATCTCAAGGGTTTCCCCGTCAAGGATATGGCCCCGGTGGTAGACTATTTCATCCACATGGCTTATGATCTTCATGGTGAGTTTGCCACGTAAATCCCAAGTCACTCGACACTAGTACTAACTCACCTTGCAACACAGGCCAATGGGATGTGGGTAGGGAATGGTCTATGGATGGATGTCCAGCAGGAAACTGTCTCCGGTCTCATATCAACTCTACGCAGACGTACGACTCCCTCGCCATGATCACCAAGGCTGGCGTCCCATCGCACAAGATTGTCGTGGGCGTGACCAGCTACGGGAGATCGTTTAAAATGGCGGATGCGACTTGCCGCGGCCCACTGTGTACGTCTCTCCTTCCTTCTTGTCTCTTGAGATCTCTCCCGAGAGTGTATGGGATCTGACCCCTGGATAGGCACCTTCCTTGGCGAGAGGAATGATTCCCCTGCAAAGCACGGCCGGTGCACGGAGACCGGCGGCTACATCTCCAACTTCGAGATCAACGAGATTGTCGAGGAAGGTGGTGCCATCAAAAGCTGGTACGACGAGGACACGGATTCCGATTACCTGGTCTATGACTCCGTCGAATGGGTGGCGTATATGACCGACAAGACCAAAGACCGCCGGCGTGGCCAGTACAAGGGCCTCAACTGCGGTGGTACTACTGACTGGGCCATCGATCTCCAAGGCGTGAGTGTCCATCCCACTGATGCATCATTAACTGCCGCTAACCACCAGCGACTTTAGGAAGGACGGCGTGCGAACACCGGGGACGTCATCTATCTGGACCCTGTCGTCTACCAGGAGCCAGAGGCCTGGTGCGAACCCCCCTGCGTGCTCGTGTTCCCCCCGAGCCAGCTTCCTTCTCACACCACCATCGACCCGGGCACGTACGTCACGCCTCTTCTCTACGGCAAAACCGCTGAAACCACCAAGGACGGCGAGGTGATCACCGTCTTTGTAACGCAGACCACGACCGTTACCCTAGATCTTCCCCGAATCGTTACTGACGAGGTGTCGTACTCCAACGTCAACATTAGCCGGCATCAAGACACCAGTGAGCTCTGGGTCGGGGTCAGTATTCCTCTCGGACCTGTGACCGTGGGCCTGGACGATGGTGAAGGCGGCACAACCACACGAACTCTGAGCCTCCCTGCGTGGCCGGCTGTGACTCAGGGCCCACCGGCTCCTGGTGATGATGACGACGATGGTGAGGACGGCTGGGAATACCCCAATCCAACTGAGACCGCAGTTGAGCCAGAACCCACTACTACCGAGGTACTTGATTATTCCTGTTATAAGCTCCCCCTGACATATATTGTTGTATGACGTTGAAAGCGCTGATGCGATGCCCAAGATCATACAGCCCGACCCGACAGCCTTGCCGACTTGGCGAACATATCCCCCGTACATTGTCGAGCCCGTCGAAGACGACGGCGGCGGCAGCGACGACGGCGATGATGATGAGGACGGCGTGATCATTACGAGTTGCAAGCTATGGTTTTTCAATGTACATCCTGCATCCCTGTCATATGGCACTGTTTCCCCGCTAATGATGTCCAGATATGCCTTGGTGGGCGGTTCAAGTCGATCAAATGGACCCTCCCTCCCGGAGTCTACCCCCCGTGAGTTTTCTTCTTCCGTGGAGTCCACCGTGTATGCGATAGGAACTAACATGGTTTGATTCTCCCCGTCAGCGGTCCGCCGCCCCCAGATATTATCGGCCCCCCTGCAGACCCCAAGTTGACCGTCAAGGCGACGCTTCCCCCTTGGCCGCCACTCACGTAAGAAGCTGCCCTGCTTGTATAAATAAGGCCTTTTACTGACATGATTTGCCATCTGCAGCGTGGGCCGGGACAACAAGCTCACATACAGCGAGGAGCCACCCTGTCAGACCGAGTCGGCCGAGCTCTGCTCTACGACGGTCACGGCGTCGGAGACCCTGGTTGGAACCATCACGTCCACGGTCACTGCCACGTCGGCTGCCTGTGAAACCGTCTACGGCTGTTCCTTAACCGACTGGGAGTCGACCACGACGACTACAGCGCCAGTTTGCGAGCCCACGTCAAGGAGCGGCGAATATCAACCGCCTGCACAGGGGTGCCCGGCTCCGGCCATCGTCTACCCCAAGGATCCCGAGAACGTGGGCTCGATTCCGAGCCTGCTCCAGGGATATGACGACTACGTGGAGGTTGGACTGACTACAGAAAGCTGGGTTGCCTTCTACTGGATTCCCATGCTCGGTCAAGACACTATGGACGCTCTGCGACGGTCGGCACGTCTCCCCCTGCCCGTGATGGTGATGAATCGAGACTAACGGACCAGCGAAACAGCCCGACGTCGGGTACGCATACTACTACGAGGAGACCAACTACAACACTGGGTTCCCCTTTGAGCTGGAGGACACCCTCCACGACTGGGACCTCCCTCTCTCGCCCGAGGTGCAAGTCGACGATCGAATGCCGTCAGATGAGCTGCGAGCGACTTTGGATCTGGATCCTGGCTCCCTAAACGACACGCTCCGGCTGGAGATGCGGCATGACAAAAGACAGGCCGATGCCCGCGTGGCCCGAGATACCCCCTATTGGGCCGCCTCCCAAGTTTCCTTGCCCAAAGGCAGTGTCTGGGGCGCACCAGGCAGCGAGAGCTACTTCCCCCAAGCCGCCGATGGCAACAAATACCGGTACAACTACGACTCGGCGTCGCCGGCGGATACCTATGTGTACATGCTGCACGACAAAGGCATCTGGAATACGCACCCTGTTCGTGCCCCGTCTGGCGATCCGGTCTGTCGGCTAACATTGAATTGTAGGAGTTTGCGGGTCGGAGTATTGAGTACCTGGACCCGACGCACGACTTCGGGCCTGACTCGCCCCCCAGTACGGATCATAAACATGGATCGGGGGTGGCCGCCATGGTGGTCGGGAATCAGCTGGGCCTGTGTCCAGCGTGCACCTTGGTCGTGGTCACCACCCCGCGGCCCGTCTCGCAGGCGCAAGACTGGCCGCAACTTCCCTTCGAAAAGATCATTGCGCAAATTCTAGACGTCGTGGATGATGTCAAAAGCAAGAACCGGCAGGGGAAAGCGGCCATCAACATGAGTTTTTCTTACAAACTAACCAATCGCCTGCCGCCGATGTTCTTCATCTGGTTCCGTGAGTCGCAGCCCCTTCCATCCGATATCCCCCTAGCATGATGATGCTAACCCACGGCGGTCGACTCCAGGGTGGCTCCTTCAGAAGCTGGACGAGGAAAACGTCGTCATCGTTGTGTCGGCCAACAACCATGCGCGTGAAGAGGGCGTCGATGTGCAAAGATATCCGGCCAAGTTCGCGGACCCCAACGATCAGTACGGCGGCTTTCCCAACATGATCGTGGTCGCGTCCGCCAACGCCAAAACCCAGCGGGCGGTTTCCTCCAACTACTCCCCGTGGGTCACGACGTTTGCGCCTGGAGACGGCATCCACTGCCCCGCCGCCCCCGGCTCGAGCGACCCCATGCGAGTGTGCAAGGGCACTTCCTTTGGTATGTCCCTTGGAGCCACCGATCATGCATCTGATAGAATGACTGACATACTCTCTGCAGCCGCCCCCCAGGTCGCGGCCCTGGCCAATTACTTCCGCACCGTGCCTTCGCGTTGGCAGTCGCAGCTGGACAAGCCCAGCAACGTGAAGAAGCTCATCCAGCTCTTTGCGCGCCGGTTCGCCGTCAACACGCCCGTCGATCCCGCCGGGCGGCGGCCGATCATCTGGAACGGCCAGGTGGGCGAGCACAGCTGTCTCCACGACTACGGGTCGGAGGACGACTGGGCCAAGGTGTGCCCAACCATCCAGGACAATCTCGAAGACGAGCCCCTCAACCCGGGCGAGGCCGTGGAGCCTTGCACCGCCGGCGCCAGCAGCAATCCCGCGCGACGGCAATCCGGCGGCGGGGGGAGCTGCCCCTATATCCCCGGGGATCGAGGGCCCGGCAAGAACGTCAACTGGGACCAGGGCCCGTCCGGACCCGAATGTACCAGCGATGACCACTGCGGCGGAGAGCTGTGTAAGGGATACTACTGTGACCCCGACCCGGAGATCCCCCATCCCCCGGATTACTATGACCCCAAGGACCCGGACAACCCCCATGGGCAGCCCGCAGCGCCTCCTCCGAAGCCCTCGTCCACCACGACCAGCACCGCCCCAACACAGACAGCAGGGCCCCCCGAAGGAACATTCCCAATGGACTTCTGTATCGGCTCCTCCGTGACACCCACCGGGCAATATCCCGTCTACGCCTATAGCGCCTATGGTGCGAGTATGTGGCCTTCTATCCCCTCCTCCGATCCCATTAATATATTCAAGACAGACGAGCTAACCCTCCCCCCTCCAGTGGCGCCCTGCAACGGTATCTTCATTGTCGATGGCAATATCGGCTCCTCTCCAGATATCTGCGAAGCGCCCAACACCAACTTCTCGATCGATCAATGCGGCACCGACCTGACCTTTATCAACGAGGGTCCGGAGCTCATTTCCGGATGCGGCTTCCAACTCGAAATCGCGGGCAAGAAGTATACCCCACGCAAGCTGGACCCCTTGGATGAGAATAACCCGTGTTCGGGCCGCTGTGACCTGGCGTCGATTACGGGGCTGCTGTTGTATGAGGATTTACCTATGCCTGATTGTGATCTATCGAAGAGATGGTTGGGGAAGAGGAATTAGTGGGATGGATGGGGACGGAGTGGATGAGATATATAGATAGATAGATAACTATATATGTATAATTTTAGCACAGTTGTGATTAGTCATTCAATATATTTTTAGTATTAAAACTGTGTCACAGTTTACCACCTCTATGTTCTTCGTAGAATACCTCGCCCAGCATCACGCTTCGTCGTCGCTTGCGTGAATCTTGAGCAACATACTTCTCAACTAAATGACTTACCTGAGGGCGCTAAGGTGTCACTTACTTTAGATTATTAGACAAGCCCGTTCCAGCAAGCATTCATGGCAATTACAGCCTATTTCATCGACAGTGATTGGAACTATCGAGAACTCCTTGGGTTTGAGCCATTGCATGGTCCCCATTCAGGGAGTAACCTGAGCGACGTATTACTTGACTTATTACAAGAGCGCCAACTCGTGGATCGAATATTTACGGTGACCACAAATAATGCAACTAATAATGATACTTTGATTCGGGACCTACAGGGCGTACTTGCTACAGGCGCAATCAACTCCCGTGACTCTATTATCCGTGTCCCTTGCATGGCTCATGTCAGATAAGGTCCATCCATCACATAGAAGAGCCGTACGGGCTGATTGCTCATGCTTGCGTAATGCCCATATGCTGTCCTATACCAGAACAAATATGTCTCCTCGATTGTCGATCGAGGCTTCGAAAGAAACGCGTTGGGAGAGCTGTGCTCCACCAGTCTCCGGCGATGAAAAGAGGGATCGATTCTCGAATTCCTGGATCATTTGTTGTGGGGTAGCCGCAATGGCTTGCGGTAGTCCTTGATATTACCTTGGCCAAGGTATGGCCAAGGCGAACCCCTCCTTTGCTTCCGACCGGGCCACTGGACTGACACCGATTCTCGTTCTTCTCCCCCCAGTGACTCGAGGAATACTATGCCGTGGGAATACAAGTCTCTCTACTCCAGGACTCCTCGCTCGTTCCTCTTCGCCGTCGTCGCCAATGTCGGCCCCGGCGGCGCCAGCCGCTCCCTGGCCGTGGCCTACCGCCAGCACCACGACGAATACAATAGCGAAGAGGCATCAGGCGCACGAGTGCACCATCTGGTGACCGACACCCTTGCGCTCATCGAAATCTTCTCGGATCCCGCGAACCGCGCGCCGCTGGAGGCAGAGAGGGCGCTTGCGGAGGACTGGTATCGTCGGTCTCCCCATGAGCCGCCGGTTCATGAGCGGCCCAGCATCCCCGACACCGCGCAGCCCCCGTATATGCCCTGTTTCGAGCGTCGGGTGCCAGTGCAACAACAGCCCCCGCTGCCGTGGCGGGGTGATACGCTCAGCCAGTTTCCCTTCGTGGCGACCTGTGTTTTGCTGGCATTGTTGCGCGACGATCGCGCTGCTGATGCCACCCGCCTCGGCGACGTCCAGTTCCAGCCGCTATCGACCGTCTTCCGGGCGGACTGCACGGAATATGGCCTGGTCGTCCTCGACATCTCCGACCTCGACCGCGGTGTCCAGTACGGCATTGCTGCCTTCCCTATACACTACATGGCCACGGTTTGGGACCTCGACGAGAACATGGACTGGGATCCGGTCGAAGACGACCAGCCGGAAAAGGTGGATATCGTACTTGTGAGCCCGCGGCCTCGAGTGCCTTTGTCAATTGCGCAGTGGGTCAGGAAATATTACAGCTGGTCGGGTCTGGAAGACCACCCTGGTATCCTCCGACTGGAGGAGAGGCCGCTGGCGGATGCGGCAGCCTTGGATTGTACGTCTGTTCACGCAAATGGGATCCGGAAGGTTTTGCAGGTGCTGACGAGGAATGGTAGATATCTGGCCACCGGAGCTGGAGGATCCGCCTCCAACATCGTCAAAATGTATTCTCTCGCGCATGTTGGAACATCGATAGATGACTCGCGCTGTTCTAGCTGCACCTATATTGACTACATTTGCTAACCTGTCTACAGACTTCCGACCTTCAACAATGGCCACCCAAATCGAGGCCAGATCCACCCTCCGATTCCCGTCTGATATTGTAGGCCACCCCATGGTAGACGAACCGCCGCGAGATAGGTCTATAGACGATGCAAAGGATGATGGATCAACCACCAGCGCCTCGAGCGTGACCACATCAAACGAGCCGCCGCAGAATGTCCCCGTGGGCATAGATCGCACAATCGATGACCTGCTGGTTCTCACCCAGGAGCCCGTCTCCCCTCCCCGCGAGAAACAAGCGCTCGCTTACCTGCAGATGCTGGTCCCGTTCCGCGAGAAGCTGCGGCAGCGACTCGAAGAGTTACCTGACAGCCTCGGCCCCTCCACAATCTCCAGCTATATCCTCCGCGTGGCATACACGGAACACAGCCACCTCAACTGGGTGGTGTTTAGGAGCCTGCCGCCTCGTGTGATTGCGGCCGTGGTTGTATCGGATGAGCTTCGGGGTGCGTCTGCGCTTAGCCTCTGTGTCGATACGTGGGCCGGAGATAGGGAAGAGGGAGCGTCAGAGCTGGTTGACCTCGCCGCGGCCCTAGCACAATCCACCCAGCTACAACAGCTCTACTTCTTACAGCGACCGGACTGGACCCCCAGCGATATCTCGGCTCGTTTCTGCTCGCGGCTTCTGCGGCTGTGGGGGCGGGTATCAGGAGGAGAAGACTGGGAGTGGCTCAGGCCTAAAACTATCCATTCGACCTCGGCCTTCTTGACCGGCTTACGCAGCCGCAAGTTCCTCACATCACCCTCGATAATAGCTTCGGGATCCAGCTTCCCCTCGGCCGCCCCAGTCTTCCCTATGATTCATCTATTCACGTTCCTCGGTCCCCAGCGCGACGATATCCCGGACGCAGCTGCAGACCACCTCGTCCCCCCTGCTCGTCCCGGGTACAGCGCCTACTACTCTATAGACAATACCGGGTTCACCGCCGAGAACTTCGCCGTCCGATTCTTGGACTACCTCCGGGCGTTGGGTCCGTATTCGGATCTCGACAAGGCCATCTTACGAATAGCATATCATGGGGCTTTCCCGTCGCTCGCGTCCACGGCCGACGACAGCGAGCAACACCGCCGCCAGCACGACTGGTCGCCGCCCCGGAGACCGCCGCCACCATCGCCGCTCCGGCCATCGCTAGATCCATTGGGCGTGAGACCTATTCCCGCCGGATTCTTCGACGACAAGCTCGCACCTGACGACCTGTCCCGAGTCCGACTTGGGGCTATCCCCCCCGGGAGCTGGGTGGTTCTTGTGGATCGACGGGTCCGGAGGGGCCGGGCTAGCGACGACACCACCTTCTTACGATACTCTTTCCTGAGAGTCCGGCAATCCGGTGCTGAACTCGCGCCCGAGCAGCAATCTCGCGCTGTCGAGATGGTCGGCGGGCTGACCGACTTCCTGCGCGAAACCGTGCCAGGGACTGATCTTGCCGCGTGGGAGACACGGGTCGAGCAGGTCGAGAGTGATTTGGTTTCGGAGTTCACGAGGTCGAACCCACCCAGCACCCCATCCTCGCCGGATTTAACGACGATGATGGAACGGGCGGACGAGTCGTTCAGGCTTTTGGCCGAGGCTTCCACGGGGATGAGCGCATCCACCCCCCCGCCAGATATGGATCGTCCCACGTGGGAGAAACAGATGCAGGAGGTATACAGGAAGCTGGCTTCGTATCAACCTCCGACAAACCCACTCAGCGCCCTGCCCGAGAGCGATGTTCCCGATGGAGAAGAACAGGTCGTGGAGTGCTGCGTTGACGTCAGTGTCATGGCCGAGAGTCAGGCCTCCACTTTGCTAGGCCAATTAGTGTGAGAGTATGCCATTGGATCTCTATAGCACGCTGGCTGCAAGAACTATGGTGCAGGTAGGTAGCTTTCTATTTGCGCTCGTGGGTCCGATGAGTACTTCTTACCCAGGCAAAACCGTTGTAGATGTATCGTAGGAAGGCACTGTGTTATCTTGTATTCCGTTACCCTCTTCCTGTACATGGTTTTCTAAACACATTCTACATATATATATCACACCAAACAGCAGCATCCTTGCTGCGAAACGGAACAAATCCTTTCATTTCGGAATAACGATGCAATATACATAAGAATCCACGACAATTATGAAGATAAAACCACTAACCACAACGAACCCGAAATGATAATCGCATGACCACTAACCCAAAACATCTAGTCGTATACGAGCGAACCACAGATCTACGGTTCCGAGATACCGGTATATCTCCATTATTCCATATATGGACCATACTTTACCTGTAGTAATAATCGAATGAATTTACCCGACATTCCAAGATTGCCTGTCGAGGGAAAGTGGGATTTCAGCCGTGTTTTTGTGTCAATATACAAATATGGCATATATAGAAGCTTTGGGAATACTGAATAAAAAGAACTCAAATATTGATTAGAAACTTATAGGAAACTAACAAGAGCATACTCGGAATCCATGTTTGGAAGTAATGACATAGGGAGAGATGGTATAGGCAACAACGCATGGCTAATATGATTTTACTCCAGCAAGCTTCAGTACCAGCTCCGTTTCAATCAGATATTCAAAGGGTTGGTCCCTAACTATGTAGCTTTAATGATATGTATCCCGACCGAGATAAGTCGAGAGAAACTCAGCTCATGCAAGAGCAGTTATGCACACTCCGCATAATATTGACCGGCTAGCTTGACGGCTACTGGCTGGTTCTCTTGCCCATCCAATCTGACTTTCTATACGGAGTACTTGGAGCGATACCTCGATGTTATCTTTCTAAGCAAACCTTTCCAGCTTTTGGTTTCATGAGTTTGTGATAAGAATCCAATACTGCAGCAATCTATTTGATAACTCTTGAAAGCGCACCACGCTATGGCAGTAATTGATTCCTCTAGAACAGCTCTATCAACGAGTTCACAACGAAGACACAAACTCGGAGCCACTCAATGCGTCAAGTTTTATTGCAAGGTTTATTGTGCCGAGAATTTGCTAGAAATCCCATCTTGGTCTCATTGCTCCGTGGATAGCTTTCTCCTTCTTACTAGCCCTGATTATGGGCTGCCTACTATTACAACAAAATTCCTCCATATGTCTAGCTAAATCTGTGGTATCCTTCCGAAACCCAATATTACGGCATTTCATCTCCTGAGATTGATGATGTCTGGGCTCATTTAAGCGAGGTAGGCCCCTTCTTGGATACTTCAGAGCCCATTCGACACCAAGGTAACCATTCCAACTTACACAATGGCGGAATTTTATAGGCAAGTTACTAATAATGACCAATGAAGAAGCAGCACCACACACATCAGAGCTTAACAAGGCACCCCATTTGGATTATTACCACTTTGAGAAAGCCCTCTAAACCAGCTATATTCCCCTATGTTCCTAATCTAATATTTCCTCTTTATTAGGCCTGACATGTTCCATTCCATCCACTGCCTTAACACAATCCGAATGAAACTCGATATGGTGGATTATTATTCAACATACTCACCATCACGACGAGCTGGAGAAAGCCATCAGAAACTCCACAAAGTTTTCTGATAATTGGTTTCTGATAATTGGAATCTAATCTACCGTGGTCATTGTCTAGATCAGCTGTGGCAAGCTGTTCAATGATATGGAGACCTATCGTCGGTTCCTATGTATGTATCATTACAGCAATGACATAGTTGGGCTTGGAGTTGGCCAAGTTCATACGTGCCGCCATTGGGAGCCTATAAGAGAGTGGATGGATATTCGTGGGGCGAGTCAGCGCCAAAAGACCGAATGATATACTATTTTGCCATGGAAATAATAAATACTTATGCTCTTGTTTCGTTCTGTTCTGCCGATTGAGCTCTTCTGGGCTTAATTTTTAGCAGTCAAGTGGCTAAGAAGTGCAAGTAGAGCCCTGCATGTCTAGTACTTCCCTCGGAGAAGTACAAGAAACGATATCAGATTGAAACCATCAGACAGAAATAATAACATTTATAGTCATATAATATCGTGCAGAACCAGTTGTAGTTGCTATTTATGCCTAAACATTAGAAGCTTGGATCCCAAGGCCAGGCCAGGCCCGGGAGGTCCGCTGTAGACATTACATAAGCAAACTCATTGTTCGCGTGGGGAGGTCAATTGCTATCACCTCCCCGGCTTTGACCATTGCCACCTTTAAAATCTTCCGCTCATCGCCTCACCTCTTTCTCCCTCTCTCATTACCTATTTCTCAACAACTCATTGTGCTCTACCTTTCCTATAGCTAAGTTGCATCTTTGTGCTGCTTGATCTCGTTTCGCGCTCCGCAAGTCAATCCGTTTCAGCTACTCACCCGCTGAACACTATCCGAGATGTCGTTGTGCCAGAACCGTCTTCAAGAAGAGCGGTAAGCATTTTTTTTTATCCTGTGGACTCCGCGACTTTGCGCGTAACTTGCGCCGCACCCTTTTTCCTCCCACTGACTCCATGATTTCCCTAGAAAGCAATGGCGTCGCGATCACCCATTTGGCTTTGTCGCAAAGCCAAAGCGTACCCCACAGGGTGGCCTGGATCTGAAGAACTGGGAATGTGCCATTCCAGGGAAGGCCAACACTCTCTGGGAAGGTGGTCTTTTCAAAATCGACTTGATTTTCCCCGATGGTGAGTGGCGCGATACATCTCTGACCACTGAAATCCTTGTACTAATCTATATTCTTTCACGCTTCTAGAATATCCCACCAAGCCTCCCAAATGTACGTATCTCATTTGCAATATACTAGTGTGCCAGCTCATCGGAAGAGAGCTTCTGCTGGGAGCTATCACTATGGTCTCTTGTGGCAATCTCATACTAATATAATGACGGGTTAGGCAAATTCACGCCAGCACTATTCCACCCTAATGTCTATCCTTCCGGGACAGTTTGCCTGTCAATTCTAAATGAGGAGGAGGGTTGGCGACCTGCCATCACTATTAAGCAGCTCTTGCTTGGCATCCAGGATCTTTTGGATGACCCGAACCCTGAGTCACCTGCACAGGCTGAGGCCTACAACCTTTTCAAGAAGGATCGTCCTTCTTACGAGCGCAGAGTTCGCATGGTTGTCAAGGAAAACCAGCCCAATTAGGAAATCAGTCCAATCAGACTTTGAGATACCAAAGCGTAAACAGCGATGGCGCTGCATGGGTCATTTACTTCTTCTTTTTCTTTCAGCATGGGATACCGGACTTATGTGGGAAGACTATGCATTTATTGTTTAACGAAGTGGGCAAATTTTGCTTTTCTATCGCGAGCATGGCGTTGCTACATATCCCAATGGATGGCGTTTTCTGGGCTTAGGTCATTCAGATACAATGATACTACATACATGCTCCCTATTGGGATGCTTAGGTCTGCCATGTATTGAGTACAGAACGACTCTCGCAGAAGAAATTCGATATCGTACTTATTTGCTCTTGTGCATAGGTAAAATTACCTGGGCAGCTAGCACAACATCCATGAATATCTGCGTTGATGGAATGAGCCCATGGATGGTAGGTGTCTTGGGAAGCTGTATTGACTTGCATTTCTAATTAACAAGACGCCAACGTATCTACTTAATGAACCAAGAACCCAATCGGCAAACCTTTCTTCATTTGGAATCCCAAAATTGTGGGACTGTGTACTGAACACTGTGTCATATCTACCAATTCGGCTATAGCTAGCTCAAGGCACCACCATAGGCTGAATATATTCGATCTCGGGATATTCCAGAGTCAAATCAGCAACAAATCGGCGGTGTTTGAGCTCTTCCACCATTTATTGAATTGTACGGAGTAAAGGAACCCAAGATGATACCGCCCCACTTTGGTTTTGAGGCCCAAAATGCAAAGCTAGAAAAGACTTATGTATTTAGTAGTTTCTTATACATTCAAAATCATCACTATATCACCGATACAATCCTCGTAGATGTCACATAGGTCTTCATGGTCTCAATATTGAGGCGGGTACGATCTCGCCTTTATTAAGTCCGCACTTTCTCCCTAACACCGACTTTCCCAACTGTATTTATAATAAAAGAAGTCATCTTAAACATTTCATGCTGATGGGAGTAAAATCATACAACGAAGAAGCTTTTCCTGAATGGGACTACACACCGGTTTATTTTCTTTCTCAAGCAGCATAGTGTGATAATCTTCACAGGGGACCATGTGTCAATCCAGATGTATCTTTAGGATCGCAAGACCGTCAGACTAGGAGTAAACTTGAAGAAGGCTTATGTTGCAGCTTGTTCGATACCTTGAATCCGCAGTGGGTAAGTGAGCTTACATCATTCATTATCCTCATCATTTCCACACACGTATGACAATAAATAAGATAAATATTGCCCTTGTGGTACTTTCAATGTCTCCCGACAACAATTGGGACGAAAATGGAAAGATAGAACTAGTAATCAGGAGTAAATGGTTGGATGAATGGTTGCCATACACTTCGTCAAGGAGGGGCTTGGCTAGGGCTAGTATAGTTCACCCGTGGACATGGTGGGGGTATACTAATCACGTGATATTGAATCAGATCACTCTTCAGGGATCCCCTGTCAGACTTGAGATGGACTAATAATAATCTAAGGATATGACCCGATAAAAAAGAACCCGCTAATCTAACTACGTATCTAGCCAAAATAAAATCCCAAAGCTGTAGAAGCTAACTGGCCCAATAGTCCAGGGCTGTTATCTTATCGGTGACTCAAAGACTTGCCGACATCGCCCCCTGCCCCGCCGAGAGAGGGCACCGGGGCAAATTTGAAAAAATCGGCCTAAGGTTCCCCATATAACCGGACGATTAGTCAATTGCCCTTCTTCCCGACTCTCTCCTCTTGAATTGATCTTCATCTCTACCCACAGTCACCAATTGCCCATCATGTGTGGAATTTTCGCGTGCCACCAGTGCGTCATATACCCTAACTCACCGCGCATGCATGTCAATTCGGGAAATATTAACCAGCGTACAGTCACCCCGATGTGCAAAAGTTCAAGCCTACGGCTTTGCGCATGGCCAAGGCGTGAGTATCTCCAATTGCCTCCCTAATTGCTTCCTCAATTGCTGCAATATGCAATCTTCAATTCGCAATTCGCAATCTATAGAATTCTTACTGACTTGTGTCTTGATCATAGTGTGCGCCATCGCGGTCCCGATTGGAGTGAGTCACAACTCGAGTTGCAACATTGCGCATTATATGTAGGGACAATAGGGTTAACAAAGGTTCTCCAACAGGTGGAAACTTCTGCGCCGAGAGCACTAGTGAGTTGATACGCAATAATTCCGGTGTCGACGTGGTCCGCTAACTTGTGATTCATAGTCCTGGCGCACGAGCGTCTGAGCATCGTCGGTGTTGGTACGTGGCCCCTATGAACGGTCAAAAATATGGAAATCGACTTTTTAACAATGTCTTCTTAGACTCCGGTGCCCAGCCCCTCGTCAACGAGGATAGCACCCTCGCTCTTGCCGTCAACGGTGAGATCTACAACCACCGCCTCATCCGCAAGAACCTTCACCACAAGTACAACTTCAAGACGCACTCTGATTGCGAAGTTATCATCCCCTTGGTATGTCGGGCCAAATATAACGGAATTGGGGTTAGAGCTGGAATGCTGATATATACTAGTATGAGGAGTACGGCCTCGATGCCCCCAAGCACCTTGACGGCATGTTCTCTTGGGTTCTTTGGGATAAGAAGCAGGATCGCGTTGTTGCTGCTCGCGACCCTATTGGTATCACCAGCTTCTACCTCGGTCGGTCCTCAACTACTCCTGGCGCCGTCTACTTTGCCTCTGAGCTTAAGTGCCTGCACCCCGTCTGTGACGACATCATTGCCTTCCCCCCCGGCCACATCTATGATTCCAAGACCGACACCCTGACCCGCTACTTCGAGCCCAAGTGGTGGAACCCCGCCAACGTCCCCTCGACCCCGGTTGACTACAAGGTCATCCGCCACAGTCTCGAGAAGGCTGTCCGCAAGCGTCTGATGGCCGAGGTGCCCTACGGTGTTTTGTTGTCTGGTGGTCTGGACTCCAGCTTGGTCGCATCTATCGCCCAGCGTGAGACGCTTCGCATGGCTGAAGCTTCCCGCAACGCGCCTGCGACCGGAAATGTGGATGCTGAGTTGGTTGGCATTGATGACGACAACGAGTTGTCCACCGTCACCACCTTCCAGCAGCTGCACTCATTCTCCATCGGTCTCCCCGGTGCCCCCGATACCGCTGCTGCCATTGAGGTCGCCAAGTTCCTCGGCACCAAGCACCACCCCTTCACCTTCACTGTCAAGGACGGCCTTGATGCCCTTTCTGACGTGATCTACCACCTCGAGACCTACGATGTCACCACCATCCGTGCCTCTACTCCCATGTACCTGCTCTCCCGCAAGATCAAGGCTATGGGTGTCAAGATGGTTCTGAGTGGCGAGGGTTCCGATGAGATCTTCGGTGGCTACCTCTACTTCCACGCTGCCCCCAACCGTGAGGAGCTCCACAAGGAGACCGTCCGCCGTGTCAAGAACTTGCACTTGGCTGACTGCCTCCGTGCCAACAAGTCCACCTCCGCATGGGGTCTTGAGGCCCGTGTTCCTTTCCTCGACAAGGAGTTCCTTGAGACCTGCATGGGTGTTGACCCCCAGGACAAGATGATCACCCCGGAGCGTATCGAGAAGCACATGCTGCGCAAGGCCTTCGACACTACCGATGAGCCTGAGACCGCTGCTTACTTGCCTGACAAGATCCTCTGGCGCCAGAAGGAGCAGTTCAGCGACGGCGTTGGCTACAGCTGGATTGACGGCCTGAAGGATGAGGCTGAGCGCCAGGTCACCGACGAGATGATGAAGAACCCTAAGGCTGAATGGGGTACTGATGTTCCCGATACCAAGGAGGCGTATGTTTCCCACTTTTTCCATTTTGTTTCACTGTTGAAAAACTAACTTTGGGATATAGATACTGGTACCGTACCATGTTCGATGAGCACTTCCCTGCCCACTGTGCCGGCACTGTCGAGCGCTGGACCCCAACCTGGTCCAAGCAGACCGACCCCAGTGGAAGGTAAGCTATTGTTTTTCCAATCCCTCATTTAATTGATTTCTCTAACCATCCTTTACAGAGCCATCGCCATCCACAACCAGAAGTATGACAAGTCGGAGTAAAAAAGTCTAAGAACATAAATAAAAGGATCTGAACTTTTCTGATTTAGCATTTTATTTGGGGGATATAGCACCGGATTAGATTGTATATACCCTTTTGGTATATGTCGGTATAATGTTATGATCTCAATATTTTCAATGCTTCTTTTGGATGTATATTTTCTTTAAAACACGTGATCTTGCCCAAACATTACCGGCGGGCTTTCCCGGCAGCCGGGCAGCCGCCAATCACCGCCCTCCCACTAACCCGTGCTAAGCCCCTAGGTTCCCCCAACATCCATCATCACAACTCTTCTTCCCTTCCTCTTTCTTCATCTCTTCATAGAAACCACCTTTTCCTCACTCCATCTCTAATTAGATTTCTCTCGCCAATATGTCTGCCCCTGCTGCTTTCTCCGATATCGCCAAGGCGACCAACGATGTACGTATAAAAAAATGTTGGGGATAAAACTCAGAACATTGGCTAATACATCTAAATAGCTCCTGAACAAGGATTTCTACCACTCCGCTGCCGGTTTGTTTATCCACAGCATTACCCCACTTATTGAAGCTTCAATGCCTGATTAGAAGTCCTTTTTAGCCAACCTTGAGGTTAAGTCCAAGGCCCCCAACGGTGTCACCTTCACCGTTAAGGGCAAGTCTGCCCATGAGGGCCCCATTGCTGGCCAGGTATGTTGAATATCCTCTCCAAATTAATTACGAAAATTGCTAACTGGTGCACTTATAGCTCGAGGCCAAATACGTTGATGCCCCCACTGGTAAACGCCCCCTCCACAAAAAACCTCCCGATCCCGGCGCGCACAAAGCGCATCTTATGCCGTTGATGTTTGGATGCGGTATTCCAATAGCGCGCCGGGTGAACATATTTATATCTTCGGATGCCACGGTGCATAGGATTAGGCTAATATGCTCACCCCGACCAGGCCTCACCCTCACCCAGGCTTGGACCACTGCCAACGCTCTCGACACCAAGCTTGAGCTCGATAACAACATCGCCAAGGGCCTCAAGGCTGAGATCCTGACCCAGTACCAGCCCGCTAAGCAGTCCAAGGGTGCTAAGCTCAACCTGTACTTCAAGCAGCCCAACCTGAACGCCCGTGCCTTCTTCGATCTCCTGAACGGCCCCACCGCCAACTTCGACGCTGTCCTCGGCCACGAGGGTTTCCTCGTCGGTGCTGAGGGTGGTTACGACGTCAACAAGGCCGCCATCACCAAGTACTCCGCTGCCGTCGGCTACAGCGTTGCCCAGTACTCCGCTGCCATCACCGCCAGCAACAACCTGTCCCTCTTCGCCGCCAGCTACTACCACCGCGTTAACGCTCAGGTCGAGGCCGGTGCTAAGGCTTCTTGGGACTCCACCTCCGGCAACGCCGTCGGCCTCGAGGTCGCCAGCAAGTACCGCCTGGACCCCTCTTCTTTCGCCAAGGTTCGTTTTACACGTGTTTAGGGTGCTTATATGGCTATTGTGGATCACAACTAATCGCGCAATTTTCTCGCAATATAGGCCAAGATCAACGACCGTGGTATTGCCGCTCTGGCTTACAACGTCCTGCTCCGCCCTGGTGTTACCCTCGGCCTCGGTGCCTCCTTCGATACCCAGAACCTGAACCAGGCTGCCCACAAGGTCGGCGCCAGCTTCACCTTCGAGGCTTAAGCGTCTATACCTTTAGTCTTCCAGGAACCTGATAGATGACCTACCATCTTTTGGGAAAATTTTTGTAAACTTCATTCACTATTTCACTCGTCTTGGATTCACCAGAACGATGATTGTGATGGCGGGGGTTTCATCCAGATAATAACCATGTGTGTTGTCGTAGATCTTTCTGCTCGATCACCATTTTGTATATCAAATCCAACTGTTTCCTTTGTTGATCAATTCGATCGATCTATACGATCTAGAGCACCACGCGGTGCGCTCGTAGCAAAACGCTGAAATAATATATGAGTACATCAACCAGCAATGTATTCTAACTTGAAGTATGTATATACATACAGAAAACTATATCTATCCAATGATGTATGTTCTAAATGATGTAAAAACTTGTCCGTCAAGAAGACAGAGCCTCCCTCTGCTTCTTTTTCTTCCCCCCATCAGCAACTTTAGGAGCCGGCCGACAAAGATCGACCACAACCAGCATAACAATCAAACATCCAGAACAAAGAATGAACCTTGAAAACGTCTGATCGATCCTAGGATCAGGAGCATCCCTATCCTCATCAAGCCTCCTAGTCTCCATCCTCCTCTCCCTCCTCCTCCTATCCTCTGCCGCCTGTGTTCGGAAATGGCTCCGAGCATTAAAATGATTCAACGGATTCCGATGAATAAACCCCTCCCAATCCTCAGGATCAGCACGTTTCGCCCCGGCACCAGCCCCAGCCCCAGCTCCGAACCCCGTTTCAGCACCAGCGCTACCAGCGGTCCACCCCTGAGCCTGTCTCCCCGTATTACCATACCCACCATGCTCGTAGAAACTAGGCGGAGCACCCTGGAATGCGGTGCGCCGCTTGCTCAGCCCGCTGGCGGGTCGCGAGCCAGCATAGCTGCTGTGGCTGCCCATCGGGTGTTGGTGGCTGTGGCTTTGTGCTGGGGAGGCGTGCTGCGGAGTGTGGAAGCCGTGGTCGCGGTCGTAGTTTGCGCGTTTTGCGACATTGCCGAGGACGTTGTAGGCGGCGGAAATGCGGGCGAAGCGTTGGCTTGCGTCTGGATCTGCGCGGTTGCGGTCTGGGTGGTGGCGCATTGAGAGGGCGTAGAACTGTCTGACAATTGGGTAAGTATTAGGGATATATGTGGGATTGGAGATGGAGGGGTCTTAGGTTTGGGTGGGTGTACTTTTTGATTTCCGCTGCTGATGCGGTTATGGGGACGTCGAGGATTTCATAGAAGTTTTGTTCGCGGGCGCGGGCTATATTGCTAGTTGAGAAGAAGGGTGTAGTTGGCCTTGGAAATTGCTGCGGTCGTCGGCGTGGGTGTAATTGTGGTCGGAGGGGTTGGGTTGAGATGCTCGAGTAGGTTGAAGGGGGGGGGAGAGAGGGTCGTGCGCGGAGATAGGAGGATTGCTGTTACTCGAGGTGTAGGCATTGTCATGTATTTAGAGGGTGTGACATGGAAATAAATTGAACATAAGAGTCCGGGTAGGGGGCGAGAGGAGGGGAGTGGTGGAAGAGGAAGAAAGGAAGAAGCGGGAGAAGGGACATCGGAGGTGAACATCGGAGTGGCGTCACTGCGGTTCGAAGTTGATTTGAGTATTCACATCTTTACCACGTATGTTGTACTACTTTGCTTGTATGTTTGACAAAAAAAGGTAATATATATTCTATTTCTTCTGTTTATCCCTCGAAATAACACATTCATCAGAATTTACCCTCAGTAGCTGGTCGCAATTCCCACTTGGGCATAGCTCTAGCTGATGATCAGATTAGATAAGAGATTCAAGCCCTAATTAGTTATACCATTTCTGGCATCAACTGCTTGATCCAATGAAAACACTACTTGGCCAGCTTGAGATACCTAAGGATCCACATCTTGTGAAGCTATTGTCTCTGCTGTTCCAGAGATTGTCGATGCTCTTCATGAGCCCGAACTCGGTGATATAGCTCTCATTGTAGCTGGTGGAATCGTTGATGGGAGAGTGTGCGGTAATATTTTGCTGGGGCTCCAGGGTGGCTATTGAGGCCCGATCCCTCAGCGCCAAGAAGGCCTCCATTCCTGCATCTCACTGAGATGCACTCTTTGAGGCATTTGATAGGTCACGCAACGGCTAGATCGAGAATTCTTGATGAGATCTGAGGACCTAGTTTCTAGTCGAAAATCTACGATATTCGTGCCTCAGGAATAGTAAGTATGAGCAGTACCAATTTGAAATTGATGTTAAGGAGATATGGGCTTGGCTTCTGGGGCCATCGATGGTCAAGCTCCCCCACGGTCATGCACAATTGCTTGCTCTTGAAACCCTAATTGGTTCGAAAGAATACATACCTACTTGGGCGCTTCAAAAGTCTTACTCGGTATGTTATTCACACTTCTCAAGTCCCAACGCTATAGAACTAACTCGCTATCTTATATATTACAATAATAATTTGAAGTATGATATGTATCCCGTATATGGAACAAAGAAGCCCAACAGCGCTGCGCGACGGCGTGCGGCTCCTATGTTCTTGTGCCTTTGTGCATACTCCGCTATTATTATCGCTTTATTCTACTTGCTATCACTTTTTACACATAAATAGACAACAAAATACCTAGCAGCTACATCTGCCCTAAACATAAAACACCAAGTCTTCTTTCACATATAAAGCCATTGATATACTTAGGGATGAAAGAGCTACCTAGACAACGACGCGCTGACTTGAAACACAGGCTTTATCTAACAGCTTACACCATATAATAAGGCTAGGAGAGTCTATATAAGTATTCTCATACCCAGCCACCTAAATTGAGATATGAGTAGCTGCCTGCCATCTGGGCTTAACCTAGCTGGGTAATAAAAGACTAAACTAGTTCCTTGTTCTGTCCCCAAAACAATTTGTCGACAATTGAACCACATCATAAACATGATAACTCTTCGGAGGCTCACTGTGTTTGCAGCCATAGGATTGCATCCCCATTGTTGTATCCATGTACGGAGTAGATAGGCTCAGATAGTATCTCGTCATTTCACAATCCCGCTTCTCCTTTCTCTGTCTCATATCCTCGATTTCATCCCGGTTTCCATCATGCTACGAGGCTATCAAAATAATTTTCCTCTAGTTCAGAATTAGTACGATCACTGATATTTTCTTTTGTTTTATTCCATTCCTTTACTTCGTGGTTTGGAGAATACATTTATTTCGTTCTAGACAATAGCAACGTACTTCACCAGCCTAGCTCCCTGTCAATCAGGTGCATTACGGCCATCTCGGCGGGCCATACCTGAACAAACTCCTGGACTCGCCAGGACCAGTCTTCATCCCATTGGAAATGAAGGGGGAAGGATGCACAAAAAAATTCCCAGAAATCAGGAAACCAACCGGCATTCTCCCAATCAACTAGTACGACGTCAAATGATCGCTCATCATTTAGATGACTCGTGTTCTCCACCACCATAATGTTCTTTTGCTGAACGTCCCCATGCGTTAAGGTGGGCCGGTGACCTTGAAGGACGCGAGGGAGATATTTTTCGTAAAAGCGAGCCTTATAATCTGGGTGATTATTGCGGTCGACTAAGGCTCTGTAATTACCGACAAGGCCTGCAACGAAGGTAGGTTCGTCGGAGAAAGGCCCTAGAAATTTATTATCGCCATGCTGGCTATAGAATAGGTAGTGATGTACGCCGCCCCCGTCCATGCCTCCAAAAAAGTTGGGCCATGGACACTCGACCTTTCGCATTGCGTCAAATATTATTTGAAGTTTTGCGACAATATCATCCTTCTCAGACTGTGCCAGTGATGACCAAATAGAATCCAGTGACACCCCGGGAACGCGTTGCATAATTAAAAAAAGTTGTTTGGAGTCACGATACATCGCGTACAGTCGAGGGGCCGGAACTTCTGGGACATATCGTTCAAGGTAAACCAAAGCCTGGCCTTCCCAGTCATTTACATAACTTCCATATTTTGCAACGACATTCTCGCTCACTGCCACAACCTTGGTGCCGTGAGTTTCGAATAAAACATTGGTGCAAGCGCGGATCTCATCTGCTTTGGGTAGTGTAGGCAGAGGCTGGGAGTTCTGGAAGGGAAGAGCTACTGGTTCCCACATCGTGAATAAAGCAGGAGTCGACGGAAGTAATATTGAAATATGGATGTTGAATGGAAGGGAAGTGAGCTGTGAAGGAAGATGTCAGAAGTTCAGAACCTTCCAAAGTTGGAAGGCAACCCCCAGATCTCGGACCACCAGTGCCGATTTTCCGGCTATGTGATAGTTCCCACCGCAGGGTCTATATGGAGTACAAATTGTCTTACTTGAGAAGGCGTGAGGACGTTAGCGACGGTGTATAATTTTATTACTGGCATGTAGATAATAATGTTGGTTTTGAAAGAGACTGATTGGATATACCTCTAGAAGTAACTTTACAGTGGTTCTTCCAAAAGCGCTACTCCGTAGTCAGGTGCAGAATAGAAGGTGGTAAAAGTGGAAAAGGTGAGCGGTTAATCGGCGGCTCGCTGTCTGAAGTTACAGGGGGGAAAGTAGGGCGCTGGCATTTTCGGCGTTGATTTCACAACTCCCTATTAGCACTCCGCAAAGCCCACAAATGGGCCCGAACCCCAGGCCCATAGCCCAACCAGCAGTGGGCTATAGGCTCAACCTCCGAAGCCCAACCCAACCCACAGCCCATTCGTGGGGGCCCTTCAGGCCCCCGTTATAGCCCATTCAGGGGGTTTAACTAGGAACTTATACTCACTGTATTCTAACCCTTCTACTAATTGTAAAGACTTTAAATTTGGAATATATAATTTCAATCACTATATCAATATATCAATATATTATAAAAATTCATCTAATATCAGATGTATATTTTAAATATATATAAGAAGTACCACCACTTTCTTAGTGAACCTCTACGATTTATAACTTTTCTAAATAGTGCATTTTCTCGCGTTCTTAAACGTGACTAATATGCTTAGCTATTAACTTATAAGATATAAATTATACCAATAAAAGATTACACCTAAATAAAGGCGAGAAACGGGGTCTATACATAGAGTAATTAAAAAAAGAGGACGCTTAAAATAGCGTCAAACCTAGCCCTTTTCGGCGCCCAATCTACCGTTACCTAGCGTTGTGGTGTAAACTTTGCACCAATAATCATGCTAGAGGATCCTTTGCACGGCCAAAGAAGGCTCCTTCTTTCCCCAATATTTCTTTCGGCTACTCCTAAGGCCGTGCAGAGCAAAGGCGTGTAATTACAAGAGCCGGTTGGGTGATTGATCTGTGCCCCGTATTATAGCGAAAGATCAACTGCGGCTTCTGCGGAATTTCGATCTCTCGCCTGAGCTGCGAGAGTAAGGAGCGTAGCATCTCGGTTTCCGTCGAGTGTCAATAGCAGGTTGAATGTGCCATGGCCTAAACCCTGTACATCTAGACTAAAGGCTGCCTCCAAAAGTATCCTCAATATAGGAAGGAACGTTAGCTAACATGGCAGCACATGCGAATGCATGGGAGTGTCCAGCGTAACCTGGATGCAGTTTTACTCCGTGCCCAAGCAGTAATCTGAAAACGACTTCTCCCCCTGATACTGCGACCTGAATTGATAGGCCATCATTTAACAACGCAATATCTTCAATTGATGGACTAGAAGTCTCAAAAATCATTTGGAGGATTTCTACTTTGCCTAGATAGCGTGCTCTATTAAAAATTAAATTATTTCCATACTATCATGCAAGCCCAACATCAATACCCTTGTTAATAAGGTATTTTAGCCTCGTCAAAGTGCGAGAATAATTAGAGAGGGATTATTATTGGGATCCCAGTTCTCATATATATCTTTCTCTTCAATAAATGCAGGATAAGTCACGGCGATATGAAATGGATTTCTAAATACAAGAAAGTAACTGATATCAAATGAGATAGGGCCGTCCTCGGGGACCGTTTGAGTCGGGTCTCTTCTATGATCAAGGAACATTTGGACAACATCAACATGACCATTCTTTGCAGCTGGTGTTATAGGCTCCTCTCTACTATCCTACAGAGGATTTAACAACGTACCTGCATCTAAAAACCTGCATCTAAAAACCTGCGAACACATATTTCCTTCCATTCTCTGCGGCCCACGTCAGAGGTCGGCGAGACTGCTCCGTCTTGAGAAGTTCGTAGACTCTGTCTTGTAGAAAAAGCACACAGAACAGGATGGCATTGGGGGAGGGACCTGAGATCGCAGACACATCCTAGATACGCAGATACCTCTAGTAGGAGTTCAACGGGGAGTTAAAGTAGCGACATGGCCTGATAGTAGACAACAGTAGACAACAGTAGACAACGTAAACGGGAGTTATTGGATAACTTCTATCTTCTATAGATGATAGTAAGCGTCTGAGTCTAAATATACAGAATTACATTTGTACTCATGTCTAAACTTCAGAGTTGTCATGATCAGGGCAGCTTGTCGTAGTCCGTTCCATGTAATAGTTAGATGTTGTAGTAACATTCCACCGCCAAGGAACCTTGGAAATCTCCCCCAAAAATCCTTATCTTATCAGCAAAAATCTTTCCCCGAGATCCGGCATTCCCCTCTTTTGCCTTTGAACATACAACTTGTTAATTGCCACCTTCAACATGGCAGCTCAGACTACAGAGAAATTGGATCAGTTGGACCGTAAGATTTCTATATTTTCTGTTTGCTTTTCCTGTGCGTGACTGATCAGAACCAGTGAACGTCCAAGCCACCCCAACGGCAGACCAGGTTCCCGCTGAAGTTGAGGAGGATTCGGACGACGCCCAAGACGGCGAGGGTGCCGCAGAGGCTGGAGCTGCTGGAGGTAAGTTTGTTGAGCTTTCTTCCCGTGATGGCGCTTTCGGAACCCCACCCATAATCAGAACCCCACTCATAAAAGCTAGTCGAGTTGAACTAACAGCGGGGTCAACTCTAGCCGACAAAAAGAAGAAGAAGAAGAAGCCCAAGAAGAAGAGCAAGAAGAAGGGCGGCGCCAAAGTTCAGAGCGAACCACCCCGTGTCCCCGTATCTAACCTCTTCCCCAACGGCCAGTACCCCGAGGGCGAGATCGTCGAATACCTAAACGACAATGCCTACCGTACCACCAACGAAGAGAAACGATACCTCGATCGCATGAACAATGACTTCCTGGAGGAGTACCGTCATGGTGCTGAGGTTCACCGTCAAGTCCGCCAGTACGCGCAGAAGAACATCAAGCCCGGTCAGACTTTGACTGAGATCGCAGAGGGTATCGAGGATTCAGTGCGCGCTTTGACTGGCCACTCGGGTCTGGAAGAAGGTGACAACCTTAAGGGTGGCATGGGCTTCCCTTGTGGTCTGAGCATTAACCACTGCGCTGCGCATTACACCCCGAACGCGGGTAACAAGATGGTTCTGAATCAGGGGGACGTGATGAAGGTGGACTTCGGTGCGCAGCTCAATGGCCGCATCGTGGATAGTGCTTTCACCATGACTTTCGACCCAGTGTACGATCCTCTCCTCGCTGCTGTTAAGGACGCCACCAACACTGGTATCCGGGTAAGAACCCCTGGTTCTCTTAGTTTCGGGCAGAGCTGACGGGTTTTTAGGAGGCGGGTATTGACGTCCGTATGAGTGATATCGGTGCCGCCATTCAAGAAGCTATGGAGAGTTACGAAGTTGAGCTCAATGGCACGATGCACCCCGTTAAGTGTATCCGCAACTTGAACGGTCACAACATTGACCAACACGTTATTCACGGCGGTAAGAGTGTGCCTATTGTCAAGAGCACCGATCAGACCAAGATGGAAGAGGGCGAAGTTTTCGCTATTGAGACTTTCGGTAGTACCGGTAAAGGTTACGTGCGAGAGGAAGTAAGTTTGTACTGTAGTTACTGGGTCAAGAATCGAAACTAACATGACACCAGATGGAAACCTCGCACTACGCTCTCGCCTCTGATGCTCCTAACGTTCCCCTACGTCTTTCATCTGCCAAGAACTTGTTGAATGTGATCAACAAGAACTTTGGCACCCTTCCTTTCTGTCGCCGCTACCTTGACCGTCTGGGTCAGGACAAGTACCTTTTGGGCGTAAGTTAACGACAAAGTGCATATATGAGGACACCGAAGCTGACGAATTTAGTTGAACAACTTGGTTTCTTCTGGGATTGTCCAGGACTACCCTCCTCTTTGCGATATCAAGGGCTCATATACTGCTCAATATGAACATGTATGTTTCTATTTTGGGAGTTTCCCCACTTGAACTTTTTACTAACTTGTTTTCTTCTTAGACAATTGTGTTGCGCCCGAACGTGAAGGAGGTTATTAGCCGTGGCGACGACTACTGATGTATTTCATAAACATACGTAAATAAACACCAAAAGCATCTTTCAAAGATTTATCTCATTAGTAATGTCTTTGATGTATTGGACAGCCAAAGCCCTGATATCAAAATGCCGATCCTGCCAAGCCTCAAGCCATCAAGTATGCGTGTCGCCCCACGTGGGACGACCGGCTCCCGACTTTTTAATCCGGCATCTCCTATCTCTCATGGCCTAAACTTCGACACATATCCACTTTCATAATGTCTGCGGTCGTCGAAACAACTTCGCCGCACCTCCGGGTATCAGCAGGCAAGGCATCCGCCAAAACACAACCCGAGTCCGCCAGAATCCAGGCACCAGAGGCTTTAGTTGAGGACCATTTTTTCTGGACATACACCGAAGAGCCACATCGCTCAAGACGGCAGGCAATTATCAAAGCCCATCCGGAGGTACGTGGCCCTGTTGTGCGGGCCTTGCAGTGCTATAGGGGTTCGGCGAAGACTCCATGCGGAGCTTTGCGGAGTTCCTATACACACTTGGCCACTTTCCTAGGCGACGGACAGCACCCACAATTGCAATTGCACTTCCAATGCTAATTTGTGATATTTTATGTCTATAGGTCACCAAACTATGCGGTCCCGAGCCTCTTACCAAATGGGTCGTTCTCGGCGTTGTATCCCTACAACTCACCTGTGCCTACCTCCTCCGCAACACCTCAATGCTCGATTGGCGGTTCCTGGTCACGGCATACGTGATCGGTGCGACTTGCAACCAGAACCTGTTCCTCTCTATCCATGAGATCTCTCAC